TATGAGTGTACGTGTGTATGCACAGAAGTGTGCATGAATGTGCACCTGGGTGGTGTGCATCCATGGGCTGTGTGTGTGTGTGTGTGTGTGTGTGTGTGTGTGTGTCCCCAAACCCCTTTGTCCACATGAGCATCGCCGTGTGTGTCTCCAGGCATCTGATTTATTAACGAGGACAACACAAGGAGAGGGTGCCTATTATTTCTGGTGTCCGCATCAGCTCCTGACAGCTTTGTGGAATTGAAATATCTTATTTAATGTGAGTAAGAATCATTTTAAATATCAACTGTGACACTCAAGGACTCCAACCACAAAGGGCAGTACGTGTCTCCCCGGGTGCCGCAGACGAGGCCACATTTGTTAGGCAGTTATTTTCTCCCCTGCTCTCCTCTTGTCTCTAAAAACCCAATTATCTGTCCCAGGGAGTCTGTGAGGGGAGTCTCCCCACACAGCCTGCCCATGGACCCTGTTCCTGCTTGGGTAGAGTGCACTGGGTGGGGCCATTGCCAAGGGATGGGAGTAGGGAGGATGGTGTGGGCTCTCGGTGTCATCCCTCGCTGCCCTCTGGCTGCCCTAGTTCCCAGCCCTGCCTTAAGGCTTCACACTGCCTCCTGCCTCTTTGCCCATTGGACAGAGCCGCCTTCACCCTTTCTACATTCCCTGGATCTGTCAGAGAGCTGAGGAAAGCCCATGTGGCCCTAGGAAGGCTCTCCGAGATAACTGTAGAGCACAAGGTGCAGAGCCCGGCTTGCAGAGGCCCTATCCCCTGCTTGTAAAGGGCCAGTGGGAGGAATTAGAAATTTGAACTTGCTTGGCATCTGCATAAAGAAACTCTGGGGGGCGATGTCATGGTGTAGCAAGCTAAGCCTCTTCTTGTGGCACCAACACCCCACACGGGCACTGGCTTGAGTCCCAGCTGCTCCACCTCCAACCCAGCTCCTTGCTAATGCGCCTAGGAAAGCAGCAGAGGATGGCCCAAAGCCTTGGAGCCCGGCACCTACATGGGAGACCCGAAGGAAGCTCCAGGCTCGTGGCTTCCTATCCGCTCAGCTTCTGCGATGTGGACATATAGGGAATGAACCAGCGGATGAAAGACCTATCTGTCTCTTCTCTGTGACTCTGCCTTTAAAATAAAAATAAGTCTTTAAAAAGGTTCTGGAAAGATATCCAGGGAACTAAGAGCAGAGGTATCCCCAGGTGTGTTGGAGGTTGGGAAGGTTGCGGAGGCACTAAGGAGGCAGCCAGGCTGCTGTGTCCTTCTTGGATGGCTTATGTTTTCAATCACATGACTGTATGTCCTACAGTGACTATGCAAATAACGTGGCTCTTTACAAAGGACTTGGATGTGCACAAGTGCCCATGTGCACTAGCAGCCCCTGCAGCTGTTCTTCACTGGGGCGGTTAACCAGGCAGGGGCTGCTGTGTCCCCACTCCTTGCTCGTTATCCCTGGGAAAAATCCAGGCTTGGGCCATTGTACCTGCAGGGTGCAGAAGGCAAGGGGCCTTGCAGGTGGGGAGGTGCAAAAATGTGCCAGGGAAGGGAGTCCCTGCTCTCTGGTGCTTGACTGGCAGCCCATGCTGTGTGCCCACTCTGGGGAAGGCTCAGCTGTGCCTTTCTACCTTCCTAACTGGGTCTCCTGACATCTCCCCCACGGCCTTGTGCACCTGCTCCCATTTGCACAAGCATGTTGTGGCACCTGCCGCGGACCAGGGCCTCGTATGGCACTTGGCATCCAAGGTGTTCATCATGGCCTCCCTGTGACAGAGGAGGAGACCAAGGCTGGTCAGGTTCCCACACGTGCCCAGGACGAGCAGAAGTCAAGTCTGCATCTCCCCGGCTGCCAAGTCCAGGAACTTTCTCCAACACCACACTTGCTCTTGGATGAGGCAGGCATGAGCCCGTGTTTCCTCCAGAAGTCATTTGTTCTGTCCCTGGTGAAGACCTGGCCAGGGCTGGGCTCATCTGGCTCCCCGCTGGGCTGGCAGCCACGGTGGGTGGGGCAGGCAGAGCTGAGAGCCAAGTGTGTCCTGGTAGATAGAGACCACCGTGGGAATGATGAGTGCTGTGACTGTCACCCTCGGGGAAGCCTACAGTGGGCTGGAGTCGCGAGCCGAGATGCTAGCCAACTGCCTCTCACACTGTCTGGGGGGCCTGGGAGGAGGGGAGCCTAGGGCTGCAGGCTGGGTGGAGTGGAGCGGGTTTCCCTGAGAGAATCGCAGTGGGCAGAACTGTTACTTTAAATAATGTTGCCTACGCGCCAGAAATAGGTCTTCCCAGGAGGGCCCGCGGTAGCCCAGGACAAGCCCGACAGACGACAAGGACCATCCTGATGCTGCCCAGGGTAGGGTCAGGCCAGCAGCCCAGCAGCCTTGCTCGTGACCCGTTGGTGGGTCTGAGGGGGGAGGGGACCCTGGCTGGAGCCCACGGGCAAGGAGTCTTATGTAGAAGATGGGAATTCTGATTATTAAAGTTTTTGTCTCGCGACATGCTGCTAACATCTGCAAACAAATTCAGATCTGATGAGTCTCTAGAGCATTCTTTAGAATGTGTACTTAAATTATATGCACAACGTGCAGTTTTTAAATTTTTATTTTTAAAATAAAAGCAATATATGCATACAATAAAGAAAATCCTGAGGGCACAGGAAGGCATAAACTCAAGAGGCAGATGTCTCCCACCCTCCCCAGCCCGATTCCTCTCCCAGAGAGGACATCAGGTTCTGGAGTGTCTGTCCCCAAAAATGTTACATGGGGGGCCTGCGTTGTGGCACCACGGGATAAGACACTGCTTGTGACGCCAGCATCCCTTATTGGAGTATCGGTTCAGGTCCTACCCACTGCTGCACTTCCCATCCAGTTTCCTGTTGATGCACCTGAGAAGGCAACAGAAGATGACCTAGGTGCTTAGACCCCTGCCACCCATGTGGGAGACCCGGGTGTTGTTTCTGGCTAACCTTGTCTTTGACCACTGTGGACATGTGTGGAGTAAACCAGCAGATGGGAGCTCTTTCTCTCTCCGTCTCCCTCTAACTCTGCCTTTCCAATAAATCCATCTGTCTTCTTAAAACATGTTCTGTACATACCAATGTGTGTACGAATCCACCTTGCTATGTGTTTGCACATGTGACTTTGTGTACCTACACATATAAGTATATATAGGATCTCAGTTTACACAAATCAGCATACCGAACACTGCCATGCCATCACACCAGCCACAGACACTGCCTTTGTTGCAACAAGCAAGTGATTTGGGTTGGCTTCATTTGCGTGCTCTAAAGCGTAGCTAAGGATTTGGTGGCCTGTATCATTAACAGCTTGTGTTATCATTCTTGGCCTGAGCAATCTGCTATAATACTGTTCAGCCTCTGGCTACCTCGTATTTATTCATAAACCTTGTCCCCCCCATCCTTATCCCTCCTACTTCTCTCCCTCTTCGCCTCCTCCCGCCACCCCCATGGCCTTGGACTCGCCTTGCGTTTTCTTTGTATCCCAGAGAAGATCCTCTTCCACCCCCGCAGGCTTTCTGCCTCAGTCTGTGGCGGCAGCATCATGTATTGATCCAGTCCCATTCTGATGCACTTTTCCGTTGATCCCAGTTTTTAATCCGTTGACCTCGGCAATTACAAGCAATGCTACAGTGAACATCCTGGAATGTATCTTATTTTTTTTTCCCACATTGTTGCAAGTATTATCAAAAAGGCCAGTTCCCAAGAGTGTGACTCCTGGGTCAGAAAGCATGCATATTCTAATTCTGACAGATTTTCCCCCAGGGTTAGACCAATTTGCAGTACCACCAACAGAGCGGAGAGCTCCAGTCCCCCTCCCTGCTTGCCAACACCCAGGTTTGACCAGACCTGGAAGTCTTGAGCAGTCTGACATGCAAGTATGCTTTCATGAAGATAGAAGTTGTGCATTTTTTCCTGGTTTTTTTTTCAGCCATTTTTATTCATTTTCTTCTCTTTAACACCTAGTAGAGTTCTCTTCAAAGCTAGCGAGATTTCCCAGCCCATCCCACCTTCCGTCTCCTCTCTCAGGTTACCAGCACAGCTTCAAAGAAGCCGTTTCCCCCAGGTTGCCTCCCCTCACCGGGGGAAAGATAAAGACAGGAGCACTTGGGCTGGCTCTGAGGAGGACTGGAGAAGAGGAAACAGGGTTTCAGGACTGGTGCACCTGCTATCCTGGCATCTTCACGCTGCGTGCAGTCACGAGGAAGATAAGAGCTGCCATCCTGAGCAGAGATAAGGCACCCAGCTACCAGCGGGTTCTGGATCACAGAGTCAGGCCAGGACACACATGTGCCCAGCTCTGCACAAGACACATGCAGGCCAAGAAGGCAGGTAGGGACTGGGGGGTGTGGTCCCAGTCTAAAGTGGCCTGCCACCAGTCTGGCTATCAGAAGGACTCTGGGCCCAGCTGGGATCTTCCCCAGGGCAGAGGGGAAGAGTAGGGAAGGGAACTAAGGTTCAACATCAGGGTATTTCTCAGCTTCAGCTTCTGCACCTCCAAGAAAGAAACTCTGCCAGGGGGTAAGCCATAGGCTCTCTCCCATGCTAAGCTCAACACTTGGCAGCCATGCACCTAAAATGAGAAGAGTCGGGCCCTCGCAGTGGGCTTTGCATCAAATTTGATTTTAGCAGATCGGTAAAATTGCCTCTGTGCCGCAATGAGGTCTCTTTTTGTCTTCTCAAAAATGCTCTTTTTAAATAAAATGTTGATTTCTATGTATTCTTCTTTCCCTGGTATTTTTTCATTTTAGTCTTTAAAAAAAAAAAATCTCAGCTTGAGTTGCTTAGATGTTTGCTTTTTGGTTGGTTGGTTTTAATGATCTTGGCACAGTAGAATATTGACAATTGTGTCAGTACCCAATAAAGTGAATATCATGATGTGAGGATGTAGACAATGATGATATCATTCCAGAAGGGGGCGACTTCCTGACCTCTGACACCAGAACCCAGGCTGACCTCTGCACGCTGCTCACTGGCCCTCTGCTCCCTGTCTCCTAGGTACATGATCTCCAGCCTGGACCGCACCCACGCCGGCTTCTACCGCTGCATCGTGCGGAACCGGATGGGGGCGCTACTGCAGCGGCAAACCGAAGTGCAGGTGGCCTGTGAGTATTGTGGAACCCTGAGCATGCAGGCGGGAGGGGGCCCGGGCACGGGTCACACCCTGAGCAAAGCCAGAGCCAGCTGTGACCACCCACACCGCTGGGTGCCCCTTCTGCTCACCCACATTTTGTGGTTGCTGGAACCAAGACCCAGAGGTGGCAAGAGCTACCAGGGTCACCAGCTGGCCAGATGGTTCTGTGTCTCTGACGTGGCTAGAATAACCCAGGCACCCTTCATTCCAGGAGAGGGTGACTTGTGTCTCAGAGGGAGTCTTGCCACCTGTCTTGAGAGTCTCTTCTGAGGTCACACATTGACGCGGCAACCACAACCTCCCCAGCCACATCAGCCTGCTGGAGCTTCATGCCCTGGTTTCTCCAGCCCCCTCAGCCTGAATGTGCAGGGTCCCGTGGTCCTCGGCAGGTGCCAGAGCCCACAGTGTGAAAGGGGAATGATGCCTGTCTGTGGGGCCGCCTGGGCAGAAAGCCATGTAGGAGACCCTCCTGGAGCTCTGCCAGTGGCCCCAGTCGCCACATGGGACTATCCGAATAAGGAGATACCAGGGCCCCAGAGTAGCTGTCCACCACCATTTTTATTGTAGCTGCGTGTGCTGGAAATAAAACCCACGGTGGGCCCTTCCCTGCAGGGTTTCCCACAGGGAGAGGGCCCAGATATGCTGAGTCTCGAGGGCATGGGCACCCTCTGTAAGCCCCTCACCTTCACGCTTATCCAGGCCTCTCGGCAGGCACTGGCTCAGGACGGAGTGAGCTTGCTTCTGGGAGAGGCAGGTGAGAAAGGAGCTGAAAAGAAATCTCGAATGAAGTAGAGTGTTTATAATTGGAGCGGGGGAGGGACTTCCGGCACATCAGCATCAATGAAGCCTCCTGCGGAGCTTCTCGTAGCTGGGCGTGAGAGCCCAGAACGGGAGGCAGAGACTGTGTGTGAACGCCTGTGTGCAGTAGTGCGTGCCCGAGTCACTGTGCCTCTGTCCATGTTGGGAGGGGAGAGAACAAGGGTTGTACATGTTCACATGTCTAGGTGTGTGCTCACACAGATGTGTCTGTCTGGATTGGTCTACTGTTCGCCCACCTGTGAGCGTGTGTGTGCGAGTTTAGCATGTACATACATCAGGCAGCACTACAGATCCCATTCTCCAACTGAGCTGGGGAGAGGGGAAGGAAATGGGGGGGCATTTGGTTCAGCTAAACAAGGAATTTGGGGAGCTGAACACCCCAAGGTGAGACGACACTGACTCCCTGCATTGCACAAAAAAGGACAGGGAGGTCAGTGTCCGCGTGGCTCTGGTGCTTTCCTCCCAGATGGCGACAGGGATTCAAGGGCCCCTGATGACTCATAGCACACAGACCCTGCACAGGAGGGACTCTGCTGACGCCAGCTAAGAGACAGCCGATGTCTGCTTCCACCCTATACATACCCTCCTGCCCCGAGCTGGAGGATGAGGATGGCGGAGCCCTGCGCACCTGCCATGAACAGAAACCCTCAATAAGTAAGGACCCCCGGGGGCACCCAGCATCTTCCTTGAGAAGGCAGTGCGCTGCCGCAGGCCTGCCCTCTGAGGACACCCAGTCTGGGACTTGGGTGAGAAGCAGCTGGAGGGGACTAGTGGTGCCTGACACCCTGACTCTGCCTGGGCTCAGCATCCCCAGAGGGGGAGGGGTTACCCAGACGCACCAGTGAGGCTCAGGCACCGGCCATGACTGAGACAAAGCTGCAGGTGGAAGGATGTGGGGAGGGGAACCCCCATTACACTGCTTCTGCTGCACCCCTCCCCTCCTTAGCCCTCTCTGCCCCACACAGCCTTCTTATCCCCTCGCCAGGGATGCTAAGCCAGGCCGGGCCCACCCCTGCTTCCCGTGCCTCTTCCCATAGAGGGGCTGTGAATTGGGTTCTAATGAGAAATTAATACGGCAGCTGTGCTACTAGCTAATGATAACGACAAAGTCGTTAAAAAAAGATTCTTTACGTGTTTTTAATTACAGCAATTAGGGAGAAGTCAATAAGACACACACACCCGCCCCCCACACCCAGCGCCCTTCCTTTCCCCTCCAGGAATATGTGTGTTTTTAAAGTCACTGTACGTTTCTGGCATCAGGGGAGAGGAAGGAGTAGCTGGGAGGGTTGGGAGAGCCTGCCACGATCAGACGCCCCACACCAGCTTTGCTCCTCTGGGTCCTGCAGGGCTCCAGCCCTCAGCAGGGCACACACACGCCCATGAGCCACCACAGGGCAGCAGAAGGGCCCTGCCTTGGCCTGGAACCGGCCAACCAGACAGCGTGGCAGCCATGCCTGCAACATATGGTTGAGTCATGTGGCCGGGGTTTACGGCTGAGAGGCTAGCAGTGAGAGTGGCTTTCTCCAGTCCTGGAATAGGAGAGCAAGTGTAGGCTTGTTCAGGACAACAGTGTGGGGTGTTAATGAGTGCTGGTTTCTTTTTCAAAGATTTTTATTTCTTATTTATTTGAAAGTCAGAGTTACAGTGAAAGAGCAGGAGAGACCCAGGGAGATGTTCCATCCGCTGGTCCACTCCGCAGCTGGGCACATGGTTAAACCAGAAGCTAAGAGCTTCTTCTGGGTCTTCCACGTGGGTGCAGGGCCCCAGGTACGTGGGCCAGGACTGCTGATTGGACTTGGGTGTCTGAGGCCAGGGCGACTGGGGCAGCAAGAGGGAAGTAGACAGTGGAAGAGGTGGGTCGGGAGGTAGGACCGTGGAGTGGGCACTTTGGATGTTACTCCTAATACGACAGAAGTCACAGGTGGGCCAGGGTCACTATGAGCTTGTCGGGGACTGGGGAGAGGCCTTGTTGTCACGGTAAGAAGACATAAGACATGCCTTTCCAAACCTCCTAGAGTGGCTGGAACCAACGGGGTAACCAGATCATGTGCTGGTGGGGCCCAGATCCCTGCTGATGGAAGCAAAAACAGGAAACTGGTCCAGATTTTGGAAATGGCTGGCATCTTAGTCAAAATTAATGTGCATAACCTGCGGCTCAGGAACCTCCCCCCCAATTGCCTTTTCTTAAAAATAGGTTTATTTGACAGAATACAGGAGAGACAAGCAAGAAAGAGAAAGAAGGGCAGGAGAGAGGGAGGAAGGAAGGGTCTCCCCTCTGCCAGGATGAAACCACAAGCTTAGAACTCCATCCTAGTGCACTTGGACCATCTTCTGCTGCCTTCCCAGGCACATGAGCAGGGAGCTGAATCAGAAGTAGAACAACCAGAACGTGAACCAGCGCCCTTATGGGCTGCTGGCACCACAGGCAGCAGCCTAACCTGCTACATCGTGGTGCCAGCCCCCCAGCAATTGCGTTTTCAGCACAAGCCCTGGGTGGGACTCTTAGCCTTGTGTGTCAGGAGGTCCTCGGGAGGCTGTTCTCGGCAGGATACCGAGGGACAGAGAACAGACCCCCATGTCGGCAGCCCTGTGCTGTTACATCCAGAACCTTCTACACAGCCCCGAGAGCGCCTAAATGACGAGCCATACCTGGATGAAGCTGCACAGGGAAAAAAAAGAAGCATTGAAGAATAAGCAGGCCTAGGTCGGAAGGCCCCCACAGACTAAAGGTCCCCCAATCCTGCAGAGCTGCATCTATGCAAAAGGAGAGTTAGTGGAGGAACAGTGGCACAGTCCCCCCACCCCCAGCGTCCAGGAGGGAAATTGACTGCAGGGGGAGAGAGGAGCCACAGGGAGGGCACGGGGTGGGAGGTGCCCGGGCCTTGGCTGGCTGGCAAGTGCAAGAATGCTCGTTGTCATCTTTGGGTAATTTATGTTTGCTCTTTTGCATGTGTTACACCTCCCCTCATTGCTAAATGCTTTCCATCCAGAAGTGGAATGAGACCTTCAGGGCACGACACAGACACCGGGCCTCTCTAAGCCACCACTCTGCCCCCAGGCCCAGCCTTCTTGGTTTCCAGGTCGAATTTTCTTCGAAAAGCTGTCTCGGTCCTTGGGCCATATCCTGGCGCATGAAACAAAGCATGCACCTGTCAGTGTCAGAGTGAACTCTCATCTCTTTCTGCTGCTGCAGTACGATTGAGTTTCCCCAGGGCGCCCGGGACCCCCTGGCACCACGGGCCTCCCTGTGTCATCTGGCAGCAGGGGCTCCCTCTTAGCAGCTGCTCACCACGCAGTACAGGCAGTACAGACTGTGTTCCCTGGGAACACCCAGAGAGCCCTGGGACAAAGAACAGAGAGAGTGGACAGCACTGGGGACCTCAGAGCCACACTGCAAAGGGGGAGGAGATCAGTTAGAGACTGGACCGAGGCCGTCTCTGCCTGCTTTCCCCGTGGATCCCATCAGGCAGTCTCCGCATAAACATTCAAGGACACACAATCTGTGCCCAGATTTTGCAATCCCCAGAAAATCATCAGGAGTCTGAAGTCAGTGCATACGTATAAGGGCAGTTTATTCAGGTTAACCCAGGCTCCCAGCCGTCACCCACCACCATCACTCAGCGCCACCACTCCAGCCCAGCAGGGCTGGGCAGGGGTGGGGCGCGGCTGCAGCGGAGGCTGCAGCAGAAACAGCAGGGGCAGAACAGAAAAAGAGCCAGGCCGAACAGCACAGGGTTCTTACACATTTCAGGCCAATTCCATATAATTATACAGTCATGATTGGCCAGTTTAACTGTTAACTTTTTAAAAAGAACAACTTGGCAGGCTCCTATTGGTGGGTTTGTACTTTCAAAAAGTACAAGCTGGTGGGCTATAGGGCAGTGAACCACTTATCTAGCAAGCACACCAGGGCTCTCCTTCCTGACCTGCCGGGTGTCACGTCGGCCGTCAGGCCTGGGGTTCACACAGCCCCTAGCCAAGCAAGCAAGGCAGAAACCACAAAAGCAGAAACCACCGAGGTTCATCAACAACTACCCCTCCCTCCACAACCCATCCCTCCCGCCGCCCACCAGGCACACCCACGACCCTTCCCAACTGCCCTGAAGGACTTCTGTTTCCTCTGACCATCCCTTCTCTCCTACCCACCGGCCTTCACATGTGCTCCTCCCTACGGCCCTGACACCCCACACAGACCCAGCAGCTCCTTGCGAGAAACCTGCACGCAGCAAGACCTCTTTGAGTCCACCCAGGAGCACCACCATTTCGCAAATCTTTGTTGTTGTTTTTTTTAAAGATTTATCATTATTAATTGCAAAGTCAGATATACAGAGAGGAGGAGAGACAGAGAGGAAGATCTTCCATCCGATGATTCACTCCCCAAGTGACCGCAACAGCTGGTGCTGTGCCAATCCAAGCCAGGAGCTTCCTCCAGGTCTCCCACACGGGTGCAGGGTCCCAAGGCTTTGGCCCGTCCTCCACTGCTTTCCCAGGCCACAAGCAGGGAGCTGGATGGGAAGCAGGGCCACCGAGATTAGAACTGGCACCCATATGGGATCCTGGCATGTCCAAGGTGAGAACTTTAGCCACTAGGCCACTGCATGGGGCCCCGCAGCTCTTTATTGAAGCCCCACCATGGGCAGGCAGGCTCTGGAATAGGTACTGAAGACAGACCTGGTCGTATGTATTCCACCTGTTGATTCACTCCCCCTAGCCAGGGCTGAGCCAGTTCAGAGCCAGCAGCCAGAACTCCACACAGATCTCGCTCGTGGGCGCTGACAGGAGGCCTCCCCACCTCCCAGGCTGCAGCCCCTTGTGCTGGCTGCTTCTCCGGGGAAAACCCTGTTCTGGCCTCCTCAGCAGGTGCCTCCAGACGTCACGGAGCGTTCCCATGCTCATTGTTTGCCTGTCCCCTGGCCAGACTCCAGTTCCCAAGGGGACAGAGACCAGGTCTGTCTTCAGTGCCTGCTCCATGGACGGGCTTCAACAGGGAGCTAAGCAATGGTGGTGGCATTGTGCAGGTTCAGAGGGGACCTCCTGACAGCAGGTGTCTTACAGAACTGAACGGCATCGCCTCCGAAGGCCTACTGCCTAGCAGGAGGTAATTTTCATTCAAGGCCTAGGTTGGGAAGAGGGTGGGAGGAAGGCGGAGCAAGGTCGCGTGTAGGGCCAGCCCTAGCTGCTTAGCATCAGCTATGCCGCTCTGTCTTCATGAGCCTTAATTTCCTCCCCAGCAAAATGAAACTAATAAAACTAGAGAGGGGAGAAATAAACACGATTGCCATGAAATTGCTTTAAATTGTTCAAATACATCTTCTGACTTCTGTGGAAAGAAATCTTTGAAATAGATAAAAATTATTGTAAGGACCGAAACCCAGGTGATTTATTGATGTAATTTTTTATAGACAGAGCCAAGTAATAGAAATTAATAAACAATGAAAAATGTGTATTCATGAAAACTGAGCTCGCTGTGTTATGACGAGGATTAAGTGAGATAATAGGCGGGAAGGCTGCAGTCAATTTTCAACAAATCTTTGTTTCCTTAGCTCCGTTTGGATGGTCTGAGGTAATCTTGGCTGAGGAGGTGATATTTAAACTAAACGGTGAAAAATGTGCACCATCCCAGTGCTTTAAGACTGCAACTACTAGAATTTTCGGCACTCCCGTGTGCTCCTCTGGGTTCTGTAGCTATAGAGCACCCCCAAAGCACAGTGGAGTGCAGGGTCTGTGCTCTCAGACCCTGTGGTTTTAGAAACTGCCCAGGGCATGGAGAGAGAGTATGTCTGGGCTGAGGTCTCAGGGGAAGACCCCGTGGGAGCTGGCGACTCGGGTGCTCCATCACGCACACATGTCTGTCTTGGATTGGGCCTGGCTGTCACCTGGCGGGAGCCTTAGTTCCTGCCTGCGGGAGGCTGCTCCCCTCTCTGCCTGAGCTGCACTGGGCTTCCTCCCAAATCTGGAGGAGAGCCGAAGGGTAGCTGCGTCCCTTTGATGATCTACCTTGTCATGGCATAGCTTCTAGGATATTCTATTGGTCCTGTTGGCATAAGCTCCCCAGATTCAAGAGGGAGAGCTTTCTCCTTCCCTCCCTACCTCCCTCTCCTCTCTGTCTTTCCATTTCTAGAACTTGCTAATAAATAAATCTTTAGAAATAGAGAGCTGTCATGGGAGGAGTGCCAATTGCACCAGAGCAAGAAACTGTGACCCTGACATCCTTGGAAGATGCAGATAACCCTCGGCCCGGTGCAGTGAAAGGTTCTCTTCCTGCTCCATCTTGCAGGACAGGAAATTCAGGCTCAGCAAGGTCGCACGAGCAGTGTGAGAATGATGGAGTGGGACCCAAGCCGAGAGACCATGCAAGCCATCAGCAGCCCAGGCATGGGGACTGGCATAGGGCTGTGGGAGGAGAGAGCCCTTGATAACGGAGCATGTTAGTCCCAAGAGCCACAACACTGGACAGGAAGGGGAGTACCACAAAGACCCCAAGGGTTTGAGCTCAGATGGTCGGGACAGGATGGCAATGTCATCAAGGGGACCTGGCAAGGACTCGACCAGAGTCCCCCCTGGCAGAAACGCCCCTCAAAGGTTATGGGAAGTGGTTTCTGGGAGCTCAGGGAAGGACCAGCCCTGCAGCCATGAGGCTTCCTTGTAGCAGGGTTATGTTCAAAGGCCATGGGGTTAGAGTATGACCCAAACAAGAACCCAGCCCAGGCCTCAGGGCAGTGCATGGGTCTAAAAGTGGGTGTGCACGGGAAGCTCCAAGTCGGGAGAGCAGGTGTGTGTAAGCAGGGCCTTGCTGTACCCGGGATGGGGCCGGGCACAACCCGAGACGGGCTCAGGCATAGCGGCCGTGTGCCGTGGCATCTGCAGGTAGCAGCTTGCAACCTGGGCTCCCCCCTTGGAGCATCCTGGGCAGCCTTACAGACACAGGACAGGTTCCATCCCCAGCTGAAACACTCTCACCGTGGGGAGGGGGCAGGGGTTAAGGCTCCTGAGGGATTCCCAAGATGCAGATGGTTAAGGGCTCCTGCTGGAAGGAGGGGGAGATGTGGGGGTGCCAGTGTTGAAACATGAGAGCCACAGCTATCGGTGGAGTGCATGTGGCCTAGGATGTGGCAGAGGTGTTCTGGGCAGGGGGCACACTGTGGCCTGTGAGTCAGTGGCCCAGAGCCTCGCTGCCCTAGGGCCTTCTGGACCCACCCAGGGCAGTAGGTGAGAGGAGGAGTGGTCTGAACATGCTGTCTGCCTTCCCCACACCTGCACTGGTGAAGTCCCAGGCCTTAACATGTGAACTAAGTCTTCAGTGGATTCCAACCAAGCTGGCAGCAAGGGCTGCCTCGCGTGGACACACCTAACTGTGCCCTGTGTCTTGCTGGAACCCCGTTTCTGATCTAGCAAATCTGGGGTGGTCTGGGCCCAAGACTGCCTGAGGGGTGCTGCCAGCAACTACCTTCATTTTGTGCAGTTACCCTTTGTGAAAGAAATGCAAGTTTGCGTCCTGAATCCCATCTCCAAGCTGCTGCTCTAGGCTTCAGAACCTCCTCCGACCCACCCCCCACTCCAGCCGAGCACACAGGCCGGCAGCCAACAGGGTTTCCTGCAAGTTTCCGCCCGGCTTTCCACCTCCCTAACTGGCGAAACATCAAAGCCACCTGCCGAAGGGTGGGCATGCTCTACCTGGAGCAGGGCAGGGCGAGGGGCAGGTGGGCTTTGCGTTCCTCCACCTGCAGCCGCGCAATCACACAGGAGGGAATGGCCCTCTGCTCGCAGGTACCCATGACACCCCTCTCTCCAGCATGCCAACACTGGCCTCTCCTTCAGGGTACAGCATCGTGGACCCAAGGTGCGCCCCTGACCTCACACTTAAACCCCTGTAGTGTCTACAGGGCAGCAAAGGAGGAACAGCCCTGCCTGGCTTGAGATCTGAGTTCAAATCCTGATTCTGACCCTTCCTGGCTAAGTGAAACAACCTGTTGGAGCACCTGTGTGCAGCTGCTTTGATTGTAAAGTGTGAGGTTGTTGGAGTCAGTGGCTCCAAAGCCTGAAACTGGGCAGATCCGAGGGCCGGGTCAGAGGGTAGGTGATGGCTGACATGGCAGCCCCTCCCCTTGGTCACCCTGTCTGCTCCTCCCTCCTCCATCAGCTGCCACCACACCCCAGCCTGGAGCTAGGCTGACCACCCCTGCCCTGCCCTACCCACCCTCTCACCCCTGCAGATATGGGGAGCTTCGAGGAAGGAGAGAAATACCAAAGTGTCTCCCACGGAGAAGCTGCCGTCATCCGCGCCCCGCGTATTGCCAGCTTCCCCCGGCCGCAGGTGACGTGGTTCCGGGATGGCCGCAAGATCCCTCCCAGCAGCCGCATGTGAGCACCAGCTCCGGGAACACCGGAGGGAGGCCTGCCCTGGGTGGGACGGGGTTGGGCGGGACAGCGGGAGGGCACTGCCCTGTCTGCAGAAGCCTCCTGCAGCTCTTTGGGGACACAGACAGCCTGGAGCTGTCCTAGAGTGGGTGCAAAGTTGGGCTTATAAGGGGCTCCTTTGCCAAGTGCCATGTAGCTAGGTCCCTTTTCTGGGGAAGTCCAGGAGACACAGCTTCTGCTTTCCACTAAAGACTAATACTACCTCCAATACCTCAACAGGGACCTACAGGGGCACTGTCACATGGTGACAAGCCGAAGACTCAGGTAGACAGGACAGACCCCGGAGACTATTGGGGTGTGAGGGATGCGTGTTTTAGCCACAGGGAGATGTGGCCAGGGGAGGTCTACAGGCATGAGAAAAACACAGCCCCTTACCCTGTGTGCAAAGACCCTGGGTGTGACATGCAAGAGCTGGCTGGTGGGCAGGAACAAGGCAGCCAGCGGCCCACACCCCCAGCCCTCCAGTGCTTTTTCTTTGTGACCCCAGCCGGCCAGCCTTCTACCGACCCACTCGTCCCACCAGCCGTGCACGCTGGCCCGGGTCTGTCCTGGCCTCTACAGGGAGTGGAGGAGCAGATGGGCAGATCTGGCCTTTGGGCACATTCAGTGCGGCAAGAGGAACGTGGTAGCTCTGGCACAAAGACATCGTGCTGATGGGAGTTGCTGGCACAGAGGGGCTGCCGGGTCCTCCAGAGGCCCCAGACTCACTATACGTGTCCCCTCCCCCAACCCAGGGGGACAGACACTCGTTGTATCCTTCTTCCCTGTCCCCAGAGCACATGCTCACAGCATCGTTGTGCAGTCCTTACGGTAACTGAGAGGTGGCTGGGGTCAGCCCATTTTACAGACAATGGCAGGAAAGCAGTGAGGCTGTTGTCCATCTGTGAGAGCGGAGACCAAGGCGGGGCGTGGTGAGCATACCGTGGCTCGCTCTGCTGACAGATTCTCACCTGCTGAACGTTGGCTGGGAGTTTTGAAACATGCTGACCTGGACTATCCCAAGTTGTGCCCATCTTGTTCAAATCGGCGTGATGCAGACATTTAGGTGTTTTTTAAACATGTATTTAAAGGCAGAGTTACACAGAAAGGAGAGACAGAGAGAAGCCTTCTGTCTGCTAGTTTTTCCCCCCAGATGGCCACAACAGCCAGAGCTAAGCTGATGCAAAGCCAGGAGCCAAGAGCTTCCTCGAGGTCTTCCATGTGGATGCAGGGGCCCAAGCATCGGACTCGCTGCTTTCCCAGGCCATAAGCAGGGAGCTGGATCAGAATGCAGTAGCAAGACTGTAACAGGAGCCCATATGGTATGCTGGCATTGCAGGCAGAGGCTTAGCCTACTATGCCGTGACACCCCTGCAGGGCATCAGGATTTTTTTTTTTTTTAATTCCCAAAGTCTGCGACAGCAGATGCGATTCTGACATGCAGCCATGTCATGGTCGGGACCCACTGCCACGTAACAAAACATCCTAGTAGCTTACCAGAGGAAACTGCTAGGCTGCTCCTGAGCCTGCAGGGTGGGGATTTAGACTGGCTGCGGTCACCTGGTTGTTGGCGGATGGGAGTGGCCTCATGCTGCATGACTGGGTGTCTCAGCTGGGCACCCCATGTCCCCATCCACCTGCCACACGGGAAGAAGCGTGTGTCAGGCCTCTGCTAGCAGCCCACTGGCCAGAGCAAGGACACGGCAGAAGCAGAATAACAGGCAGAGAAACATGCCTGCTCCTGGAGGGAGGGTGTGAGCCCATAGTGGATGGAAAGATGGCAGGGGCACCCTGACCAACAGGGAGACTCGGGCTGTGGGAGTCAGAGTGTGCCCCCTGCACGTGCACACTGAGAATGTTCTAGAGGGTGACTGCCGTACCTCTGAGAGGCCCGAACTACTCCCTCTGGGGTTGTCATCACTGAGAGTGGCTGCCCAGAACACTGTGTTCAGAAGGATTGACACTTCATCTAGACTCAAGGGGGGAAAAACACCAGGATCGATTAGCAATGCCTGCCATGGAGCAGGATGGGGCCAGTTGGCATCTCCCTACTGCATTAGCTGGGGCAGCTGAAACCCTGGCCCCAGCTTCACACCCATAATCCTTTGCCTTCCTCTGTTCACCTCCAGCCTCTGCCCTCATTCCCAACAGCGTCTAGCTCCAGGACAGAACAGTACATCGTGCATACACCTGCACGCCTCCCAGGTCTGTCTTTCTGTCTTTCACCCACACACACCTGCACCTCTCCCAGATCGGTCTCTTACACACACACACACCTCTGCCACACTCTTCCGATATACACTAGAACTCTGGGGTGGATTTAGCTCGGCAACTACAGCACATTAATATGCATGGCAAGGACCCCTGGACGCAGATTCCCGGTGTGCTTGCTTGCCAGAGCTGCATAATTGCTGCTGAGCGCTAGCAGTAGAGAAGGCTGGAGCGGGGAGCGGGCGGGGTGGGGGAGATTAGCGACACCTCCCCCAGGCCTCCTGCTCATTGTTGGGAAGGAGACAAGATTCTTAACAGAGATGCATGCTGGGGGCCTTTGGGCTCATTTGCGCGTGATTCATTTTATTTGTAATTGAATTAGCCATTGAGGCCTGTGGAACTCAGAGAAGGGGGCTGGCTGGCTGCCTAGGAACTGCGCATGCATGTCTGCGAGCATGTGTGGCAGGTGGGGAGGGAGAATCGAAGGAGTGAGAAAGGCTTCTGGGACACAGCCCCCAGCCCGGCTGCCCACACCACCCAGGAATCCCTCTTCCAAGCAGGTTCAGTAGGTGCCGCCGGCAGGGAGCCCTCCTGGGTTGCAGACAAAGCTGGGTACACTCTGCATGTGGGTGCAGGCGTGTCTGCGACCCAGAGGGGCAGTCATCACACATACACTCTCCCTTCTGATCTCTCTGCCTCTCCCTGTGTTTCTGTTCAGGCCCTGGGCAATGTCAGCCTTCAGGTCTGCTGATGGCACACCCAGGAGGCTGGCTGCTTACCCACCAAATCCCCTTGCCAGGCCAGGGGTAGGAGGAAGGCTGCCCTCCACATCCCATGGGCTAAGGGAGGGCAGGAGCAGGGCGTCCTGCAGGGGATGCCCAGGGCCCACTGCTGAAGGCCAAGCACGTCTCCGCTTCTCCCCGCTTCTCCCCCACCAGCTCAGTAACACCTGGATGCAGGGAGCCGTAAAGCATGGCCCCGGTTCCCAGCAGCAGCCCGGTTTAGAAGATGCTAATACGGACATGGGCCACTGACACCTTTGCCAGCCCCAGGGTCCACTCCCCCAAGGGCAATTTTCTTGCCCACTGTTACCAGCTGGGGCCCCATCACACTGTCAGATGCCCGCTTGGCCACAGTGCCCGGCTGCGGCCTCTGTCACAAGATCCAGGCGAGTGTGGCAACCAGATGTTGCCGTGAGATTGTCAAGCATCCCCTGGAGGGCAAAGTTGCCCCTGGCTGGGACCCACTGCTGCAGGAGAATGGATGAAGTATCAGCAAAGGCAAGACGAGGCTGGACCCAGGAGCCTCTGCCTGGCATGAAACAGACCACGGGCCTCCTGGGGGCTTGTGACCCCCCACCCTGAGCTCCCTGTGGGCAAGCTGGCAGCTGCACAGCCCCCAGGCTCGCTGCTCGTGGGAACCTGTCCATCCTGAAGCTGGCATTGTGTCAGGTGAACGACACAATGGAGACGAGGGGAAGATGGCAGCTGCTGGGCTGCCTCTGACCAATGGAAAGGCGGTGACAGAATCCCTTAGCCTAAGAGCTGGAGAAAAATCCCGGGCCACTCCATCCTGGGGCTTCCCCCAAGCAGAGCCCTCCCTGCACGTGTAGTGGGAAGCCCAGGCTCCCCTCCTCCTGAAGACAAGGGAGCCTGCAGGAGACTGCCCAAGTAATCACCACACCTACTCCATCCAGTCCCTTTTAAATGTCCCAGCCTGGGTCCTGTCCCCCAGCCTTAGTTGGAGAATAAAAGAACTAATTCTCCAGGAGAAAGGGGTCATCATTAGAATACCCAAAAATGGGGGGGCAGAAGGGCCCACCTTCCTCCTAACCAGACTATGTTGAGGGTGTCAGGGGGAGAATGAAGCCCAAAACCAAAGAGGAGGAGGAAGCGCCCAGGCCAGCCTGGCCGGGCGGGAGCCAAGCGGCTACAGGAGCTCTCGTGGGATGGCCACACCCAGGTTGGCTGGCATTGGCCAGCAGCATCTGCCGGATGTTCATTTGAGTGCCTGTTGAAACTGTGTAACAGTCACCTAATGGGAAAATTTGAAAAGAATTCAACTGGATTTGTCCTTGTTAAACTAACATTAAGGATGTTTAACAGCTGTCCCGGGCACATTGTATTACAATCCCGAGATCCACTTGACAAACTAATGGTTTTGTTTATCGTCGGGAGAATGGGGAACCTGCGGGGGCATGCCAGGCAGTGTGAGCAAGGCTCCCAGCACCATCTCACCCATATCCAAGGGCACCCTTGCTTCCTGCTTGGACAAGCCCTTCTCTCCCCCCAGGCTGCAGAATGAGGGTCCCAGCAAGGAGTACCAGCTGGCAGGAGGTGGGGCAGAGGCAATTGGCCCAGCCTCACTCGCCACAGCACAACCAGCCCTCTTGTCCCTCTGATCCAGCCCAGCTTCAGGCCAGGGGAACCAAAACAGACAGGACCTTGCCCGGGGAAATCTGTGTGGCTGGCAACTGTGACCCTGGAGTTGGCCTGGGCGGATTTCTGAGTTTCTTTCTGGATCTGTCACTTCACTTATCCTTGGGGTAATCCTCATTCATCTGTCCCATGATCCCTTGTGGGGGCTGCAACGCTGAGGGGCCAGGGAAGCTTCCTGAGACCTCTGGCACTTCTCATAGCTGAGTCTGTGACAGGTGCTGCCAGCAGGTGCTAGAATCTTAGCAAATCAAATGTGGTTGGGGCCAGGCCCTCAAGGGTTGGAGTCACAGGTTGGGGCTGGGTAGCCTCTTTCCGAGCATGGCAAAGGAGGGGGTAAGCCAGCCCTTGTCCCAGGTACCTGCTCCCACTTCCTGGGGCCCCCAGCCAACAGAATCCTTTTCCACCTTACAGAGCCATCACGCTGGACAATACCCTCGTCATCCTGTCCACTGTGGCTCCCGATGCCGGTCGCTACTATGTGCAGGCGGTTAACGACAAGAACGGGGATAACAAGACCAGCCAACCCATCACGCTTGCTGTTGGGAGTGAGTTGGCAGCAGGGTCCAGGACTGTCATGGAGTGGGTCATTAAATCTCAGAACGGTGCTCCTGGGGGGTCAGGGAGGATGGGGAAACGCGTGGGCTGGGGGCAGCCTCCCAAGGGGGAGGAGGAAGAGATAGGCAGGGCTGGGGGTGGGAGTGCCTGCAGCCTACTCCTGTGAGAGCATGCAGCAGGAGAGGGGACGCTAAGCATGGCTGTTAACAGGGCCACCAGCACTGGAGAGGGGTGACGGCAGGGAGATGGAGTGTGCAGGTGTGGACTGGACAAGGAGTTAGAGAAAGAGGCAGTGCCTTGGAGCCGGGTGTCGGCTGTAGACACTCCTGGGTGCAGGGACTGAAGTCTTGCAGGACAGGAAGTTGCCCACCTCTGCTCAGTGGGCATCTAAAAAGCATGATTTCCACCCCAAGCCAGGTGGCCCTCACTGATGGGGACACAGGCTCCCGCTGAGAAGTGGCCTCTACTCCCTGGCTCCCAGCCCTCCCCAGACCAATGTCCCCCACCTACACAGCACAGAGCTGGGAAGCAGCAGGTGGCTAGGTGACCCCTGGGTGTCCTTTAGTACAGATACTGACCAGCCAGCCTGGAGCTAGCCAGCTTAGCAGTAACAGAGCTGCTTGTTTGTCCCTCTTGGCTAGATTGTCCTCTTCCTTCCAGTTCTATGGCTAGGAAAGAGAGTTGGGGTTGGGGATGTGGCAGCCCAGGGCAGGCATCACCCAGAGCACAGGCTGAGATGCCAGGCTTCCTGTAGCAGCTGAGCCACCCTGTGGGAGGGGAAACAGATGTTTATATCTTTGCACAGCTGTCTCATCCATCATCCATGGTCACACCTGTATACACTCACCGGCAGCAAGCCCATCTCCTGCCTCTGATCCCGGCCTCATCTGCCAGTGCCCAGACAGTTGGCACATCCCAGCCCCTGCCATGCCGTTTCTGGGCTGACCAAGCTCCCACAGGGCCCCGCCATCTTCCCAGTCTTTCTCATGCCCAAACTTGGATGGCTGGGAGGATTCTATCCCTGAGAAAGACCCACTGGGGTCCCTCTGCAACCTTTGACCCCAACCCCAACTCAGGGTCTCAAACACAGCCCAAGGCACAGCCCAAGGTACAACCCAAGGCTTGGGGCTGCTGTTTCTTACCAGAAGAGGAATTACAGCAGCATCTGAGGGAGACGTTTTCTCCTACAACTCTCCTGGGAGGAGGCGGGGGGGCTGTCCAAGAACCTTGTAGGTCCGGTCATTTAGCAAGAGGCAGAGCCAGAGATCTAAGGGCGCTCCGTGGTCTGGGTTATAGGGGGGCATCTCCCTGGCTGACTCAGTTCACCCTGTGAGTTGAGGTCAGGGTACCTTTAACCTATGCCCCCTCCTTTAGCACCTGGCTCCTTGGCAGAGGAGTGAGGCTCACTGCCCTCCTGGCTGGCAACAGCCCCCAGCCCTCCAGCCATCTCCCATCCAGTCCCCGACTTCCTCCTCTGCCACCTGCCTCTCCCACCCCTTCTCCCCCACCCCTGATCTGTGCTGGATTAAGAGCAGAACCGACTGATTGGGAGCTAATTTCTCCTCCCACGAGTGATTGCACTTCAAAACCCTGTTCCCGAAGCTGCCACTGAGCGCAAGCTGCCTCACAGCCTCGCCCGCCGCTGCTGCCGCCACCAGCCCCAGGTCCTTCCCTGGTCGCCCCCGAGCCAGACTCCAGCCTCACCTCCCCAAGCCTCATCTGCTGTGTAACAGGGAAACAGAGAAGGAGGGAGCAAGACCAGTGGCCCCAGGGTGGCCCTGGACACTTCACAAAGCCACACCTTGGGGGTCGGAGCTCCAGTGTGCCTTAGAAATACAATGTGAACCTCGGAAGTCATGTTCAGTCTCCCAGGGGCCCCCCCATTTTTGCAAAGTCAAAACAAAGAAGTGAGATTAATTTTATGCATACATTCTGATTAACCCAACCTATGTCCCAAATCGCATTCCTTTAACATATCATCATCTAAAAAACTATTCCCGAGATCTGTTATGCTGGTTTTTCACTTATGAAGTCTTTGAAATCTGTGTGCATTTTACACTTGCCATCCAGCCCAATCTGATTGCTCAGCTTCCGTCAGAGACGTGATCTGTGTTTAGATTTCGTGAAATTTACAGCTGAAAAGGTAGCGTGCAAGCCATCCCACACACGCTAAAAAATCTTCTAATAACCAAACTGGGGATCTGTTTTTAATTAAATGTGAATCAGCGGGAATTAAATGACACTCAATCAGAAGGGCAGCAGGAGCCCAGCAGGCACGTGTGACCCTGGCCGGGTGTGAGAGATGCGGGTGTGTTAGGGCCTGAGCACCCGCAGCTCAGTCCCTGGCGTCCCTGCCTCTACCCATGCAACCTGTGGCCCAGGTACGTCACCTGCTCACTTGTCATGTGCTGTCAGTGACCCAGAGGAGTCAGCCAGGTGATTGGGGGGGCGGGGATGGATGCCTATGAGCGCCCCTTAGATTGGCCATTATGAAAGCTGCCCTGGGCATTTGAGGGGAGCAGGGGGCTGTCCCCTTCTGCCTCCTGTCCCTCTCCCTCACTGTGGCTTCCTGTGGTTTTCATTGACCCCTGGGGGGATTCATTGTCCCTTAAATCCCCCTTGGCTGGGCTGAAGCAAGCTACGTTCTTAGCAGACCTGCCACACTGACTTGGGTCTGGGCCACAGCCTAGAGCAACTGGTGGTGGGGACCCTAAGGCAGGGGGCGGAGTGAGAGAAGGACCCTCCGCTGGGCTCTCTGAACACTCCCCCCCTCATCCCCACCGGATCCTCCTGGCCCTGGCAGCCCCAAGGACCATGACTGCGTGCTAGCACAGGTGCAGGGCAACACGCACTACGCATGTGGCCAGTCCTGGAGACGTAGAGGAGTGGGTGGCTGTGCACAGCTCACAGCGGAGAGCACCTGACAGCCTGGTGTGTCCTGCAACTGGCGCATTGGTGCTGTAACATCCCCAGGCCAGCTCCTGTGTCTTTCTGCCCTCAGGCCTCACCCCACTCTAACACATACCCCGAGGTCCCACGGGACAAGCCCTCTGAGGAGCCTATGAGGGCCACCTCTGCAATAACCAAGGCAGGCAGGGGATGGGAGGGCCATGGTAGGAAAGCTGGGAAAACTGGGCCCGAAGGGTTATGTCCTCGCTGCCTGCAGCCTCTGCTGGTAACTGGTAAAGCCAGCACTGGAACCCGGACTCCCTGCTGCAGAGACCCGACCAGCAACTACTGCCATCATGGTCTCAGGCAGGGCTACTAGTCCCTCCCCTTCCTCTCCATCTCTGTCCTGTGTCCCTTCTGCTGGGCACTCCACTCCGCCAGCCCCTCTGGCACCTGCCATTCTAACAGTGCAGGTCCCGTCCACATCCTGTCGCTGAGGTGACCAAGCCCAGCATCTAGGCCTCAGCCCTTGGTCCCTGCCCATTCTCCTACCATGTCCTGCTGTTGCCTGCACACCTGTACCTGTTTGGGGCCCCACCTCCTCTCTTGACCAGCCTTGCAACCTACTGTTCAAAATCCGAACCGTTTCCCCTAAGCTGCCTCCTTCCTGTGACCCAGTACCCTGAGGGCCACTCTGCCACTGCGTCGGTCCCAGAGCCCCTTCCTGCTTCTCATGCCATCCCCCTCCAGCTCACCACCCTCACCCCCACAAAGCACCGACCTTTGCTCGGTCTCCAAGTGGCTGAACAAGGCTGTCCTGCTCACAGCTCAGAGCTACCCACCCCTCCCCACCAATCCAGGCTCCATGCCGCCTTGGGTGCATCCACCCAGGAGCGTGGGGCCCTCCCCAGCACAGACCGCTTCTCCAAGGACCCTCGCTGGGACATTGCAAGGCGTTCGGCACCCTCTGTCCCTGGCCTTGGCAGCCCTCACTTGTCACACGCTGTGCCCAGAGCTCCAGCCTTCCTCCAGGGCCCTCTGTGGACCCTGTAGCTCCTTGGAGCCCAGCTCCTGCTTGGGCCTTAAATGTCTGCCTCTGCCTCGCGCCCCATTAATCTGGGCCATGCTACCTGCTCGCCCCAGCATGTAATAAACAACTTAGAGCACGCTTTTATGGATTCGGCTATATCAGCAGCTTTCAATCCGATCACTCTTTATGGCATCTACACGAGGCCTTTATATTGTTGTAATTATTTTACTTTTTATGCTTCCTTTCCTGCTGCCTTCATTTTCCTTTATTTTTCACATTTGACTCTCATTCTTCTTGGAGCCAAGTAGGAAGACCTGTCCAAGGCCAGCCTTGGCAGCTCAGAGCGGCAAGGGGGCTTCTCTCCACCCCCACCCCACTCCTGGCCTCTCAAGGACGTCCAACGGCTGTCACCCCAGGGTCATGCCTGTCATTTGGGCTGGCTCCCTGCAGCACCACCCGGAAATGGGCCAACTGGCTAGATTTGTGGCATGAGAAAAAAAGTCCTCAGAGGTTGTATTTTCAAGAGCCGGAGAGCAGGTGCACTAAGAGCCAGTCCTGGGCACATGCTGACCACTGCTGCGAAATTATAGCCACTCTTACAGAGCTCACCGAAAAAGAAAGGGGGGCCATGGATCGCCTCTGTGAGAAGAGGGTGTTGTTTATTTTTTTTAAGATTTCTTATTTGTCTGAAAGAGTGACAAAGGAAGGGAGAGAGACAGAGCTTTTGTGCATTCTCTGGTTTACTCTCCAAAGAGCTGTGAGAGCCCAGGCTGTGCCAGGCTGAAAGCTGGAACCCAGAACTCCAGGGTCTCCCATGCAGGTGGCAGGGGCTTAAGTGCTTGAACCATCATCTGCTGCTTTCCCAGGAGCATCATCAGGGAACTGGATTGCAAGTGCAGCAGTCAGGACCTGGCCAGAGCTCATATGGGGTGCGGGTGTCACAGCAGTGGCTTAACCCACTGTGCCATGCCAACCCCAAGTTTCTTTCAAGATGAACCCCCACCTCGGCCATGGGCAGCTCCCTGGTTTGGGTCACTGACTGCGGGCGGGCGTTCTGTTTGTTCCTTTCATGGGTGCCCGTGAGCTCCTGCGGGGTACCAAGCACTCATTCTTTATGCCGGAGACGTCAGCCATGGCCACCCTGTGGGTACCCACAGTACGGACTTCAGCACCAGACATCCTTGTCCTCCAAGTTCTGGGAGGACTCCAAGGTTGGGCTCTAGTGAGAGCCATCTCCTTGGCCTCCAGGCTACCTCCTTTGTGGGTCCTCACTGTGAGGAGGGGGAGGCAGGCAGGTTGTGATGGCTTCCTCTTGTGATACAAATCCCACTGTGGAATGTCCAGCTCGGGGATCCATGCAGGCATGTAGGACCGGCCTGGGATCTGTCGGCCTGCCGTGGCCCAGTGACAGGACACTGACCACAAGGTGCAAGACAATGGCACTTTCTTTCCCGGAGGCCAGAAGTCCAGATCCTGTCCTCGGGACGCACCAGCGAAGACCCCACCCCTCCTCTCCCCACTTTAGTGTTCCACGGCCTTCTGTCCTGCGTCTGTGTCTGTTTGAGTCTAGAGCCCACCCCTATCCAGTTCTCGCCTGAACTAGACACATCGGCAAAGGCTCTGGTTTCAGACAAGGTCACCTGCTCGGTAGTAGGAATGTAGGCATCTCGGGGTGGGCTGGGAGCATTGCCCAACCGAGCAGGAGAGCTGTATTGTGGAACAGGAGGCCAACAGCATACAAGCCAGTGAAGTAAATGCAGGCATCCGGCTGGGTTTCGAAGGTGCTAGAATGGGACGAGGTGGGGAGAGGAGGTGGCTGGAAGGCCCTTACGGTCAGCAGTGTCCTCCTGGGCACTCACTCCCTGTCCATGTCCAGTGGCTGCCTGCTATACACTGTGAGGGCAGACATCTCTCGTGGCCTTAGCCTCTGTGGGGCCAGACAGGAATGGGATCTCTAACCTCTGATTCTCTCCAGATGTGGGGGGCCCTGCCGACCCCATCGCTCCCACCATCATCATCCCTCCCAAGAACACCAGCGTGGTAGCCGGGACCTCCGAGGTGACCATGGAGTGTGTGGCCAATGCCAGGTGGGTGGTACCTCCCGCCCTTGGCCCTAATACTCCTGGCTCTGAGGAGGGCGAGGGGTCAGGATCCAGAAAGACCCAGAAATCACACTGCCCGGGGGCTGGGAGAGCAGAGGAGAGATGCGGGCACACAACTGTGCTTGTAGGGCAGGGCTGCCTCACTCTGCATGGCCCTGGATGGGTGTGGGTGTCGGGATTACAGAGAGACAGATCCCAGCCCAGGACACTTGGACTCGCCCTGGGCACCCTGAGCAGTCCTTCCAGAGCACAGCCCCCTTGTACACAGGCAGGTAAGAGGGAAGGATGCGTGGGAAATGATTCACACCGTGGCCATGAGCATCTTCACAGGACAGTGATGGATCAGGTGCCACTGCCTCCCCTTCCTGGCACACCCTCCCCTTCTGCCACTGCTAACCAGGTGGCAGAGCAGACACACACACAGCCCTAGGCTACCCAGATGCTTGAAACCACAAAGCCCCTTTTGCCGGGGGTCCCTCCACACTCCTCCTGGGGTTAGCACAGACCCCCTTGGGCAGAGCCAACATGTGAGAAGACAGTAGAGAACAGAGTTACCCAGGAGTCTGCGTCCCACACTCTGGGGACCCCGAGAGTACCTATGACCCAACCCTTGCCTCCCTGTCTACCCTACAGGCCCCTGATCAAGCTGCACCTGCTCTGGAAGAAGGATGGGGTGCTGGTGTCGGGTGGCATCAGCGACTACAACCGCCGGCTCACCATCACCAACCCCAGCAGCCGCGATGCTGGCTACTACGAGTGCGAGGCCGTCCTGCGCAGCAGCAGTGTGGCTCCTGTTGTGCGGGGCGCCTACCTCTCCGTGTTGGGTGAGGCGGGGTGCACAGGTTGGGGCCCACCCCTGGAGAACCCCACTGCACCCCTACATGCACCACAGGGCTCTGACCACCCCCCACCTCGGGCTCTCCTCCCCACAGAACCGCCTCAGTTCACCAAGGAGCCCGAGAGACACATCACGGCAGAGATGGAGAAGGTGGTGGACATCCCTTGCCGAGCTAAAGGTAACATCACAAAGTGGGCAGAGGGGGTCACGGACAGGAAGCAGTCCCAGATGGCCTGTCGGGTGTGGGGCACCAGCAGCACCTGGTCACCACCAGCAGGGTCAGGGCCACCAGACCTGAGGGCCTGGCTCCTCCTGCTCAACCACCACCTTGGGCACTGCACCTGAAAAAGGAGCATGTGTCCCCACCCACCCACTCTCCTGCTGCAACTGAGCCGAGGACAGCCCACAGCTGGGGGAAATCTAGGGTGACAGAGAAGGACGTGCACCGCCGTGGGCGATGGCCTGACACTGAGCCAAGGTGCCCAACATAGCCCTGAGCATGCAGGACAGTGGGGGAAGAGTGGGGTACATGGAGTGGGATGAAGAATGCTTGGACCACCAAGACACCATGGGCTGGGTGATGGCCCTACCCCAGGTCGTTCTCGTTACGGCTTCCTGAGGACCCACAGTGTTCTCGGGCAAAGAGCAAACCACAGACAGATGCCAACCCTCGTCCCGTCTTCTCAAATGCTGGGGCTGCAGGATGCAGCCTGGTCATTTGTCCCACCGAGTTAGGGATGCACTGGTACTGCCGGACATCACAACAGGAGAGTGCCCTTGTCACAGAATGCATGAGACTCCATGCCCCGTGTCATGCTGGGAGGCAGACACCTGGCAGGGGGAGAAAGTCCCTTCTGAGAAGAGCCTGGCAGCCTGAGGGTGGCCCAGGCAGGGCCAAGGTGAAGGGAGACCCCATTCAGGACGAGAATGTGGCCCACTCTACACAGTGCCGGAACCATGTGCATTTGGGTGACAGCCCAACTTGCAGGTTCCCACTTACACACTGCTGCTCACAGCAAGAAGCATCCACAGCTGGTTTGTCCAGTCCTGCATATCTGAGCCTAAGTGATGCTGGGGGGCTTTGCTCCCTGGTAACACTCACCCAGCACCCACAGCATTCGCGATTCGCCCACCGGGAACCTAGCACCTCTTGCTGCAGCATCCACGCACGCGCACGCAGGTCCCTAGCACCTGTCGGAGGCGGCTGATGCTCTCCTGTCACCCACAGGCGTGCCATCACCCTCAATCACGTGGTACAAGGATGCAGCTGTGGTGGAGGTGGAAAAGCTGGCCCGCTTCAGGCAGCGCGGGGATGGGGGCCTGCAGATCAGCGGCCTGGTGCCCGACGACACTGGCATGTTTCAATGCTTCGCCCGCAATGCGGCTGGCGAGGCGCAAACCTCCACCTACCTGGCCGTCACCAGTAAGCTGGCCCCCCTCGGGAATTGCGCATGTACCATCTGGGTGACCCGGGTCGCTGGTCCTCCCCCATGTCCTGGAACCACAGGTGCTTTGAGGAAAGGAGCCTTACAAAACTGGTTTCCAGCTGTCCCTACTCTAAAGCAGAAAAGGATGACTTGTATCTTGGGTCCCCTGGCTATAGGTCCTTGTTTCGTGTGGGCCCCCATCCTGCAGCCATCAGACTGGATTCTCCCTCCGGGAGGGAAAGCCTTAATCCCCTTGGTCATCCGTGCTTGTCCCTCTAAGAAGCGGGACAAACGAATTCCAACCAATCTCTGAGCTGTGACCTGTCCCTGCGCAGGGCAGGTGTTTGGGAGCCCTAGCCCTGGCATCTTCCCATCCCATGACACCCCAGGGCAGGAGGATGAGGCTGCTGGCTCAACGGCTCGGGCCTCCCAACCGCAGCACCTCCCGGTTTGAGGCCAAAGGGCTCCACTGTGTCTGTCTGCAGGCATTGCCCCCAACATCACCAGGGGGCCCCTTGACAGCACCGTGATCGACGGCATGTCGGTGGTGCTGGCGTGCGAGACCTCGGGCGCACCCCGGCCAGCCATCACGTGGCAGAAAGGTAAGCAGGAGGAACGCTCCCTGAGGCGTGGCCAGGAGTGGGGAGCTCCCAGGTCCAGCTGCAGAGGCTGTGCACTGCGCAAGCCAGGCCTTGACCGCCGGCAGCCTCCCTGGGCCTGAAGCCCAGCCCTGTATCTAAGCCCTGCAGCCCTGAGCGAGTTACACTTTCCATCTGTCCACCAGAGCAGCACTTAAACCAGTTAGCCACACGTTAGGCACTCAGCACATGTATGTGGGGTGACCGTAGGCACAAGTCCAGTCCACTCGGCTCATTCTTGGTGTGTAGGCACATGGACACACAGACCTGCAGACAGCTGGGGGGGAGCCCGCTGCATGGAGACAGGGGCTCCTTTAACATAAATGCAGCAAGGAAAACCTACCCTGCCCAGCCTCTGTGCCTATGTGATGCTCGCTCACTCTCCCCCACCTGCCCTCCTCCCTTCACTTTGCCCCAGTCCTCCCCTGTAGGTGACTGGCCTGTCACTACCTAGTCCCAAGGGCTGTACCTGGTCACCACTCACAGCCGCCAGGAGACAGCTCGTGGCCTTCTGTGGCTGCAGGCGGGCAGCATGGTGGTGGCCCGCAGGGTGAGTCCCTCCCCATCCTGTGTGACCCACAGGGGAGCGCATCCTAGCCAGTGGCTCCGTGCAGCTGCCCCGCTTCACGCTGCTCGAGTCGGGCAGCCTGCTCGTCAGCCCCACGCACATCTCGGACGCTGGGACCTACACCTGCTTAGCCACCAACTCACGGGGTGTTGATGAAGCCTCAGCCGACCTGGTGGTATGGGGTGAGTGTGCGAGGCTGTGCAGGTGCCAGCTCACTGTCACCTGGCCATTGCCTACCTGCCTGCCCATCCATGGGTCTGTCCCTGCCAGGTGCTCTTCTTAGCACAGAATCAATGGCAACCGAATTCAGAGGCCAGGGACCTGGCTTACATGGCCACAATGACATCAGCCAGGCATAGAAGGTATTTGGGGGTTTATGAGGTTATTTAGCCGACTTGTGTCATGTAGAGGAGGCGGTTGTAGGCAGGATGGAGTTCACAGGCCTGGCAGGGCTTCCATGGAGCTTAAACAGTCATCTGCCACATACAGGCCCCTGCCTCACTAACCACTGCTCAGGTGCCCAAGGCATGCCTGAAAGGGTGCACGGCTCAAGGGTGGAACAATAAACCAGGAGGCAGAAGTGCCTCTGTCCACCTATGAGAGCATATCCTGATCCCACCCTCTCTTCGCTCACACACGTGGGCGGGCAGACTGGAAGTCAGAGGGAAGCCCCCTTATCTCTGTGAGCCTCCTGGGTCTCCCGTCCACTGCCCAGCTCTGTGTTCTGCAGCCATTACCAACACATGCACCTGTCCCCTGCACCTGCAGCACACCTGGGCATCTAGGCCCCTGGGCCCACCTCCCTGCTCACCAGGCTTTCCCCGCCGTGTCTTCCAGCCCGGACCCGTATCACCAAGCCCCCTCAGGACCAGAGTGTCATCAAGGGCACCCAGGCGTCCATGGTGTGCGGAGTGACCCACGACCCCCGCGTGACTATCAGGTACTGGCTCTAATGCCCTGGTGCCCAGCCGGATGACATCAGGGCAGGTGTCAGTGCTGTGGAGGGATGGGGTGTGTCCTGGGGGGAGGGGGCCATGTCCAGGCTGACATATAGAGGATGCTGTGGACTCCATGCCTGGGGAGGGACCTCATGGGGCTGCCACTCAGGACACCCACATCCATGCTGGCTCCACTTCTGGGTCTGAATCCCCGCTCGTGTGCACCCTGGGAGGCAGCAGGCGAAATGGTGAAATGGTTTGAGTCTTGGGGCATCCAGTGGGAGAACAGAACTGTGTCATTGGCCTCAAGCTCAACCCTGGCTGTTGGCATTTGGTGGAGAGGAACCAGTGGATGAAAACTGTGTGTGTGTGTGTGTGTGAGAGAGAGAGAGAGAGAGAGAGTATTAAATGCAAGTATTAAATGATTTAATAAGTTATAAGGGCTCAGGCAGTGAGCTGGGGTGCAGGGGAGGAAGAGAAAGGAAGGTGAGGAGGAGAGAGAGGGGTTGGGAGGCAAGAGGAGGGAGGCGCAAGCACTGGGGTTGCTCTCCAGCACCCCAATAGGACCCCTGGCCTCATCCCAACCCACCCAAGTCTTCTCCCTTGGACTGATTTTATACTTGGATTAAGAATTCACTTAAGCCCAACAGGCTTCTTGGTTTAACGTGGGTGAAGTGAGTCAAGAGCAGCCGCAGGAATGGGACAGGGGTAATGCCCGCCCCTCCAGGGAGGTGGGAGTAGAGGGGAAGGTAAGGAGAGCACAGCCCTTCCCACGACTGGGAACCCCGCCCCCCACTCGCACAGGTCTCCCTTCGCTCGCTCTTTCCGCTGGACTGCAGGAGTGCCAGGTGCTCAGGTAGCTGCTTTCTTGAGCTGTCTCCCTGGCAGGCACGCCTCTGTCCCCGGCTTAGCGGCAGGCTGGGGTGCCATCTGGTGTTCACCGGGCATATGACCGTCTTTACCCCACCCCACCCCACCCCATCAATACACGCACCCCTACCAAGCGAGACCGCCCCCCCCCCCTCCCGCCAAGGTGAGCTTAGGAGTCTGTAGCCTCTCTACCAGTTGTGGGTGACAACTTCACCGGCCTGGGTTTTAAGAGATGCCTCGTTAAACGTGCAGAGCAGTGGTCGGCGTGTGAGCCTTGGAATTATGCAGAATATAGCCTTATTTCTGGGCTTTTTAAAGATTCTTCTGGAAAAAAAATATATTATGAAATTATACCAGCTAGAAAGAACGTCCTCCGAGGGAAGCAAGCCCTGTGGTGATTCTCAGATCATATGCTCTGCATTCCTTAGCTGGAAAGCTAAGAAGTTTCCTAGCAGTTTAAAGTAGTGTGTTGTTCATTAAAATGCCGCCGACTTTTTGGGAAAGACTTGTACGTTTGATTCCTTCCCTGGGCATTTTGTGAGGAGCAGAGGGGCTCAGGGGTCTCCTGTCCTGTCAATGGGCTCTCTCTCTCCCTCCCTCCCTCCCTCCAATACATAATTAGTTGAAGAGTTGAAGTTAAGGCCCCCACACGGGCAGCTGCAGGTTCTCAGGATAGAGCAGGGGGCCCAGGGTGAGGCCCCAGCAGCAGGTGCAGAGGAAGTGTGTGTTTGGTACTGGAACTCAGACCTAGACCGAGGCTGAGCGTTCATCTCCAGTTGTGACTAAGAAAAATAAACATTGTTACACTGTTGAACAACCAATCCATTCTGTTTGGGAAGAAAAACATAGGAGGTGCGAATGGGCAAAATGGGTAGAAGAGAAAAGATGTGGACAGATCTCTTTGCCTTCGTTAGAGACCACTGCATTAAGGTGGGTGCCAGGCAAAAAGCAAACTGTTTCCTGCTTGGCTTTTTCCCGTGATGCTCTTTGTCCTGTCACTGAGTATCTTTCTGTACACTTAGTTACACAGTTGCTCGGGCCTGTCCCCTGTGTGGGTGTGACATCATTTATGTTACCAGTTCTCTAGAATTGACTATCCAATTTTTTCTCAAGTATTGTCCAAAACCAGAACTGTATTTCATTCTAGGAAAAACGGAAATATTATGAATGTCCTTGCAGTTAGATGTTGCAAATCTTTTAAGAAGATTGAATTATTTTCAAAGTCAGAGTTACAAAGGGAGGGTAACAGAGAGATTGTCCACCTGCTGGTTCACTCCCCACATGGTCGCAGCAGCCAGGCGTGGCCAGGCTCCATCCAGGAGCTTCATCTGAGTGCCAGGGGCACAAGCTCTTGTGCCATCTTCCACATCTCTTCCCTGGCATTAGCTAGATTGGAAGTAGAGGATCAGAGGTTGCAGCTTTAGCCACTATGCCACAACGCCAGCATCGATCGTCTGTGAACTAACATTAAATAGAGCTGAGAGGAACCTTGAAAACTACCCATCAAGATTTGCTTAATCAGTTACCTGTAGGCCTGGTGTTGTGGTGCAGTGGGTTAAACTGTGCGCCTGTAATTCCTGCCTTTCACATCAGTGCTGGCTCTGGTCCCTACTGCTCCACTTCCAATCCAGCTCCCTGCAGATACTCCTGGGAAAAGAGCAGAGAATGACTCAGGTCCTTAAGCCCCTGCCACCCACGTGGGAGACACAGATGGAGGTCCTGGCTCCTGGCTTCAGCCCCGGTCATTTAAGCCACCCAGGGAGTGGAGCAGCAGATAAAGATCTCAACTTTCTCCATCTCTTCCTGTATCTATATGTTAAATCTGCCTTTCAAAGAAATACGTGTTTATCAAAAGAACAATTAGTATGCAGGTTATGTCATTTTAGAAAATCTCTACCTTGAGTTGAGTGGACTCTTTTTTTATCTTTCTGTTAGGAAAAATAATGGTAAGCGTGTTGGTTTTATAAGAAATCACCACCTCGACAGAAGATTGTACCATTGTGGGGTTGGCCCCAGCAGAGTGTGGGCAGCGCTGAGTGCTGGGTGCTGTGGATCTGAGTGTGCGGCAGCACCCTGGGTGCTGGGTGCCGTGGATCTGAGTGTGTTCTTAGCTGTGCAACAGCATCTTGCCCTGACTGGAGGTGGGCCATCTTCCCATGAGCCTCCTTGCAGTCTGTGCACCTGCTTCCATGAAATGTCTATCAAAGATTTGGCCCTGTTTTAATCAGGTGGTTGCTTTTCTTCTGCTTGACTTTTAAGAGTTGTTTGTATATTTTGAACAGCAGTGCTATATCAGATATTTCTTTGGCAAAGATTTCTCCCCAGCCGGAGGCTTCTGTGTTTATTTTCTTGGTAGTATCTTATCAAAGAGAAGAATTTTTTTTAATCTTAATCAAATGCAGCTTTATCCTCTCTTTCCTCTGTGAGGCCTGCACCTGTTGCCACGTGGAAGTTATGGAAGTTATCACCGAGCCTTGGTCACTCTGATTCTCTCTCTGGCTTCCTGGAGTTCTGTAGTTTCACCTCTCAGCCTATGGTCGCATTGGGTTGATTTTTGCGGTGGGTTTAGGATCGGTAGCTGGATTCTTTGTTCCCGGATGCCCACTTGTCCTGGCATCCTTTGTTGAAAACAGCATCTGTTTGGTTCATGTTTCCTTTTTTGCTTGATTTCCAAGAGTAGATTTCTTAGAGAACCCAGATTCTAGGAGACTGAGGTCAGAAAGGTAGTTTTAGTGTTATTATTAAAGATCTTTATGTATAGGTGTGTAGAGTTTGTCTACTGTTTGGGGGGGAAGCAAATTGTAAACTTTAATTAAAAATTTTAAATGGGAAGTTTAAAAAAACTTGACCAGATATGAAACAACTTTTAAAACCTTTAAAGGCACACTAAGAAAACTCAGGCTTTAAAAATAAAACACGTTTGATATTACCGAAAAAAGGCATCTCTGATAACAGTAGTCGGAGGCCAGCGCTGCATTGAGAACGCGGCTGGTTCTAGCGATCTGGTCAGCCGGCAAAAGCGAGCGCTTAAGGCCTTCAGCTCCAATCCTGCCTTCATTTCTTCTTGCTGGATGACTAAGCCGCTTGAGACAGTGGAGATGCTAAGCTAGCACTGACTGGCCCCGCCCTGCGCAGCCTTGGGAGTGGATGGACGGATGCTCCCCTGCTGGATCGGCTGCTCTTGTCTCTTTGCCTGTGGTTTAGGGTCCCTCTGGGCTGTGCCCATGTGGAGGTGGCTGCCGACCTGGGGGCTCATGTCCTGGATTTTCCTTCCTCTCCAGGCTGTCTTTGGCAGTAGGGTCTCTGCCTGCTCTCTGGCACCCTGATTGCAGAGAGCAGCGGTGGGCAGTGCTGCCAAGGAAAGCTGGGGGTAATGTGGTCACTGCCACAGGTAGTAAGGTGGGACTGCCTGCCTGTGGTAGGGCCAGCGTGTCAGGCCTGGCTTTGGGGGTGCTCTCTACCCGCCCCCAGTTCCTTCCCCCACTGTCATTATGCTAGCGATTCTGGTCATTCATGGAAGACCCCTAGGACGTGGACAGCATCTGTAATGGTGACACCCCTGTAATGGTCACTGCCTTGCCCTGCAGCTCCCCTGGGGCCAGCTGGCTCCCTGCTCACCCCTTTTTCCTTCTGTGCCATCATTCCCTCATCTCTCCATCTCCCACGCTGTGAAGACACTCGGTGGGGTTATCGCTCATTTAGTGGCCGTCTGATATACAAACATGACTTCCTTGGTGCTGTGACTGTTAAAGCAGCCGTATCTATTTCTGAGACTGAACCAGTTGCATCGTGGTCGTGACCTTCTTGGCCCTGCTGGCAGGTGCTGCCATGAGGTTGCCCTGGGTCTCAGCTCTATGCGTGCTGCTATCCATAGTGCAGGGCTTGGTTCTGGGAGTGCTTAGAGTTGGACGGGGACAGGGCGCGGCTGCTGGGTCTTGGTTCACAGCTCATGGTGGTGGTGGTGACCAGGTCAGCTGTGGCAGCTGTGCCTCCTTCCACAGTGTAATGGTAGCTAGGCCAGCAGTGTTGGGCTGGTAGCAAGCATGAGGGCCATTCTCCATTCCCGTTACTGGTCAAGCGGAGAAGCTGTGTTTTAGTTATTGGAGAGGCTGAGAGAGGAGAGAGCTCTCCCATTAGGCCAGCCACAGCTGAGAGTCTGGGCGTCAAGAACTCCGTACACTTGCCGGCAGCTCACATGGCAGCTTCAATAGCTTCAATAGATGCCAGCCATCTGCTGCCTCCAGGGGGTGTGTTAACATGAAGCTGTATTGCAAGGGAAGCCGGGGTGGAGCCCGATTTGGGACGTGCGGATCCCCAGTGGCTTCTTCAGTGCCAAGCAAGGCACTCACCCCTGCCAGCTGGTTCTGAAAGGGGCCAGGGCATGAGTGTTTTAGGCTGTTTAGGCTTTGGTCATTTTCAGAGTGACTCGGCTCTGCTGCTGCAGTGCCAACGGGACCACAGACAATGCGTCAACCGATGGATGTGTGTGTCTCAATAAAACTTTATTCACACCAGCAGACAGTGGACCGTATGCTGGTCCTGCCTGAGATGGTCCCACCCTTCTGGATTTGCCTAGCTGCTGTCTCACGGTGTCGTTAGTGTCACTGTCCTGCAGCGATGGACTTGGTGCACGGAGCGGATAATAACACGCATGGACTGCTGACTGATGATCAATAGCCAGAATTTATTAGTGGCAGCAGACTTTATACACTGAGGGATTAGGGTGGAGGTATTTAGCTCATCAACAAACCCACCAACTGTTTCTTTATGCTTTTGTTTTGGAAAGTCCTTTTGTCTTGTATATTCCACCAAGTGTTCTCATACACATACTTTCCACTCAACTCTTCTTATACAAATGATATAGTTGTATCATTTGTATAAGATATAATTGATATAATTGATACCGTCAGGTATACAAAAGGCAGTCATTCGCTTGTTCTCCTGCAAAGTATATCCAATCAGTCACACAAAAGGCACCCATTCAGTTGTTTATCATACAAATATTGTCCAATCAACTGTAATCCTGTGCTCGCTGACCTTCTAGGGGCGCAATGTCCTCCTACAGTTAGCGTGTTCTTCTATCCCTGGGTGCCTGCTAATTAGATAGGAGCTTAGCTACTACCTGCTTCCCAAAGCCCTGCGGCCGGAAGCAAAGGCTAGCTGCTAGAATAGCTTTCCGCAGCCAGACTTGCTGTTAAGTAAAAACTCTACCCACCCGTGCGTCCTGGCAGGGATGGCTCTGTTAGCGCAATGAATTGACAGTGATTGCCGGGCTTGATTTGTAAACAGGCATCAGAAGCCTTGAAAATTAGCTCAGCAGTCTTGCCGCCGAGAATTTATTTGTCCTTGAGGAAGTGGTGGGGAACATAGGTAAAACGCTTGGCTACCGGCTGTCGGTCGCAGCAGTAGCCATAGTGTTAGAAAATGAGAAACTGACCCAGACACCTGAACAGCAGGAGTCTAATTGCAAGGCAACTGTTCACACGCCATGCACCTGATAAAAGCCGTACAGGGGTCAGCACTGTGGCTAAGACACGGCCAGCAACCCTGGCATCCCGTGTTAGAATAAAGTGCTGCTTCCCATCCCGGCTACTCTACTTCTGATCCAGCTCCCTGCTGATGCACCTGGGAAAGCCAGGGGCGATGCCCCTCCAGGTGCTTGGACCCCTGTCACCCACAGGGCAGACCTGGATGGAGTTCGGGGCTGCTGGCTCCCCTCCAGCTGTTGTTCATCTGAGGAATGAACCAGCAGATGAAAGATCCCTCTGTGTGTGTGTGTGTCTTTAATAAAAAAGTCAGAAATCCTCCTTTCAAAGGAAGAGTGCATAGTGTTGTGTCGGATGGAAAGGACAGCTTGAAAAGCCGGAACGGGGTGTCTGTGACGTCATGTGTGTCAGCTCCGGCGGGGAACGCCTGAGCCCACCCCGTGAGTAAGGCGCTGAGGAGCTGGCTTGCACCACCCATCCTGCAACCCTAGGAGTGGGTACCATCACCTACCCAAGTTAGAGGAGGAACCGAGGCCAGGCCAAGCGAGATGAACTTGACTGGGAACCTGAAGCTGCAGGGGCCACATTGATCCTCTTGCCCCGCCCCGCCGGGGTCTGCCCTCATGCCGGGCCCCGACTTTGCAGGGAGGGCAGGATTGTAGGGAGAGCATAGCATTTTCTCCTCCTTTCCCGTTGTCCTGCGTTCTCCTGCCGTACCGGTACTTGCCACCTTTCTGCTGGCTTTTCTTGCCAGGTTTAGGCTGGAACACTGCCAACCCCCTTTCCCTGACACAGTCGCCACCTGTAACTCCTGGCAGTCCTAAGAGCTTCTCGTGGGCCTGGGCTCCTGCCCTGTCCCCTGCCACCCTGGTGGACGGGGGGGATGGGCACGCAGGCCAGCCCTCCCTGGGGGGACCACAATGACACACCTGTGTTTCCTCTAGCTACACCAAACAGCAAGCTGTGCCTGACCTCTCCAGGCCCCTCCACCTTTATTTTATTTATTTATTTATTTTGGACATCGAAGTCAGTTTGTCACAGCGCTGCATCGATCGAGTCATTCCCTTCATGAACCTCTGAGATGTTGCCTGTGTTGGAAGCTTCCTTTCCCAACCCAGGTCTTCTCACCCCTTTTAAAACACACTTTTTGCAATGCCTGGTTTTGGTGCTGGCTTTTGGCCAGAAGCAAGTGCTGTGCCCCGACCTTGAACCCTGGCCACAAAGGAGCCATTGTGACTTGATGTGCCATCTGCTGGACGCCTAGATAGCCAGCCTTGCACAAGCCCGCTGGGGCCTGGTGTCGCCCCTGCCCACCTGGGACACTCAGGACAAGCTTTGGGCTGAGCCCATCCCCTCTGCCCACTGTCCCCTCTGCCCACTGCCCCTTCTCTCCTCTTAACTGGCATTTCTGATTCTCAGGTATGTCTGGGAGAAGGATGGAGCCACGCTGGCTGCGGACAACAACCCCCGGATCCGCCTGGACAGAAATGGCTCCCTGCACATCTCGCAGACTTGGTCGGGGGACATCGGCACCTACACCTGCCGGGTGCTCTCGGCCGGGGGCAACGACTCCCGTGGGGCCCACCTGCGTGTCAGGTAAGGGTGGCCAACCTGCCCTGCCTGGGCGCTGGAAGGGGCTGGAGGCCACAGGGACAATGAGAAGGCTGGGGTGACTTCTGTCCCCTTCCATCAAGGCACCAGGCCACCTGGGAGCCCAGGGCCCCACACACTGGACCTTTCTCTCGCGCAGGCAACTGCCACATGCCCCTGAGCGGCCTGTGGCCACCCTCAGCACAGCAGAGAAGCGGGCCGTCAACCTGACCTGGGCCAAGCCCTTCGATGGCAACAGCCCACTGCTCCGCTACGTTCTGGAGATGTCTGAGAACAGTGAGTGTCCCCGCACCATCCTGCGCCTCCACCACAGCTGAGCAGGTGCATACTTGGGGGTGCAAGCCAGGCCTGGGCACGAGCCCCCCATACCTGGTCTCATCCTGCCCCACAGGCAGCCTCAGCTGCCTCCTGCCTGCCCATCAAGCCCTCGGGACACCTGAAGATGGTCATGCCCAAGGGGCGTGGCCCTCTGAGCCTGGCATAGCAGCTGCCCCTAAGAGCTCTTATTTCCCTTCGTATTTGCATTCTCCAAGTCCCCATGCTGAGAAGTTCAAAATTAGCAGGTGCAGTTGGGATGACGTTTTCAGTACATTTAGCTTCCAGCTCATCAGTTGGAGGGAGGGAAAGAAAGCATCTCCGTGCCCATGAGCCTTTGCTTCCTTCCAGTGACTCCCGCCCCAGCTTCCCAGCATCCTGTGGGCCGCAGGAATCCGGGAAAATCAGACAGGCCTCTGATGGACTGGAGGCAACGGTGGGGCACTCTTCTGCCAGCCCTGGCCAGCTGGCTCCCCGCTCGGGGAAGTGCAGATGTCCATTTCTGTCCCTGCAGATGCCCCCTGGACCGTCCTCCTGGCCAACGTGGACCCTGAAGCCACCTCAGTCACCGTCAAGGGTTTGGTTCCCGCTCGCTCCTACCAGTTCCGACTGTGTGCCGTCAATGACGTGGGAAAAGGCCAGTTCAGCAGGGACACAGAAAGGTGAGTGACACCAGCTGCCTCAGTCTCCACTTCTGTGGAATGGGCATAACAGCGCTATCCCCTCTGAGAGAAGGCACAAGGGCTACCTGAGTGAATAATGGATTAGCCAGGTACGGGGCCTGACTGATCCAATGCCCCAACCGCTCACCACTCGCCAGAACTAACTGCTCACCAGCCATGAGCCATATAAGGTCACAGTCACTGTTAAATAGGTACAGGGTTCTGGAGGAATCCAGAGCCTACAGGGTTTGTGTTCCCCCACCAGGCCCTGTTAGGGCTTTTATTGGAAAGACAGATTTATAGAGAGAAGGAAAGAGGAAAAGATTTTTCATCCACCGTTCACTCCCCAAGTAACCATAATGACCGGAGCCGAGCCAGGAGCTTTTTCTAGGTCTCTCACACAGGTACAGAGTCCCAAGGCTTTGGGCCATCCTCCACTGCTTTCCCAGGCCACAAGCAGGGAGCTGGATGAGGGAAGCAGGGCTGCCGGGACACGAACCAGCACTCATACGGGATTCTGGCGCTTGCAGGGCAAAGATTACCCAGTTGTGCCAGCCCCACCCCACCATGCTTGTATAAAAGGAATGAGATTTGGATAAAAGCAAAAGGTGTTTTAAGGCATCAGCTGGCATCACCCGTTCATGTCAGACGTGCCACACTGCAGCTGCATCTCTCGTACAGAAGCAGGTGTTGAGGGAGGTCAGGGGCTGGGATAACTTCCACACAGATCATTGTATAGTCAGCCTTTTATTATTGTTTAAGATTTATCTTATTGACTTGGAAGGCAGAGTGGCTGAGGAAGAGGGAGGAACAGAGTGAAAGAGGGACTCCATCTGCTGATGTATTCCCCCACACGGTCCTAACAGCTATGCCAGGCTGGGAAACAGGAGCTGCAGCCCGGCCCCCGCCCAGGTGGCAGCGGCCCAGGTACTTAGGCCGTCCTTCGCTGCCTTTCTGGGCTCCATTAACAGGGAGCTAAATTAGCAGGACACACGGTCAGGATCTGAACCCGTGCCCTGCTGGGGGATGTTGGCTTCGCAGGTGCCGCTGCCTCACAGCGCCGATCTGATGTGCGATCGGCTTTTCTAAAAAGACTCCCTGTGATGCATAAGGAGACGCTGCAGGCTGAAATCAATCGTTGTGATTTTGTTGCTGGTTTAGTGAGAGCCTGACTGGGTTTGGCAGAAGCAGCAAGAGGAGAGGGGCAGCGTGGGGAGCAGGGAGGGGGTCATGGCTTACCCCCATACAGAGAGCACCGAGCCCCTGAATCCCCAGGACCTGGCGGGGGGGGGGGCGGTGGGTGCTCGTGTGTGGTGCTGACTCATCTTCCCAACGAGCCTGAGTCACCGCCGTGAGCTGGGCGCCATCTGCCTCCCTCGGGTCTTCCTTCGCAGTCACGAGGGAGTGAGCTGTGTGTTTTAGAAAGCTGTCCATCAGAAAAGACGCACCAGGAAAAGAGACTGAAAGGGAAAGTCATCCATCAGAAATCATTAACTCCGGTTTCTGCTGGACGCCTGTCCGTCATGTGAACACGTAGGCTTAGACGCTGGAGTGCAGCGTGCTCTGGGCTGCGGGAGAAGGCACGCCCCCGCATGCCCCAGCACGCCCCCGCGCCTCCCCAGCCCGAGGCCAGGCCGAATGTTTGGGTTTGATTCTCACTTCCAGCTTCTGACTCCAGCTTCCTGCTAATGCCCAGCCCGAGAGGCAGTACTGATGGCCCAACTGGCAGGTTCCCCGCCACTCAAGGCAGGGAGCTGGACTGAGTTCCCAGCTCCCGGCCCAGGCCCAGTCATTGCAGACAAGGGATGAATCCGTGAATGAGAGCTCTTCTCTCTCCCTGCGTCTCATTCTTCTGCCTCTTGAATGAAAAACTCAAATGCTTAAGCATCAGCTCCAACAGCCGCTTCTTGGAAAAAATGGGAGACAGAGCCCCACAACCCTCAGATGCACCCAAAACACACTCATTTGCTCTTTAGTTTTGCAAGGCCGCCAAGTGAAGCTCATCTCAGAAACAGGCTCAGAGAGTACAAGCGCCTTACCTGGAGGCACATAGCAACTGTGCAGAACCTTCCAGAAACAGCCAGGGCAGGGCCCCTCCCTGTGTTTGCTCGAGAGAGCAGGGATGAAAGATCTGCTCACTCTTGGTGTTCTTCCATCCAGGGTCTCCCTCCCTGAGGAGCCCCCCACCGCACCTCCCCAAAACGTCATCGCCAGCGGCCGGACCAACCAATCCATCATGATCCAGTGGCAGCCGCCCCCCGAGAGCCACCAGAACGGGCTGCTCAAAGGTTATATCATCAGGTGAGCCTGGGGAAACTGAACCCAAGGCAGGAGGCATGGCGGAGGATGCACAGGGCAGGTCCACGCACGGCCAGCCTTTCTCCACCTCATGAGGACCAGGCACCAGGAAATGCCTGTGCCACAGTAGGAAGGACTTAGGCTAGACGTCTAGCAGAACTTCCAGCAACGAGAGCCTCATACTTTTGGAATGCTTCCTGGAAAGACTGCAGCATCGGCTCCTTCAGGCCCCATGGACAGGCCTTTGTGTACGCTGGCCTGAAAGTCGCTAAGGGCACCGAGACATCTGGAGAGCTTGGTATGCTTGCGATAGGATGAGCAGTGTGCTGTTTGGAATGAGCAGGGACTCAGGGACTCTGAATTCTGGCTGGGAAGCACTGGGGACAGCTCCACGTGACCTTGCCTGAACGTCCTCACCGCACTGGGTCACCCCAGACTTGAAGTCACTTCCTGATTAGCTCATTCTGTGCTGGGCTGATGGTTCATGCTGCAGGGTAGTGCTTCTCCAAGTGTGGTCCCTGGACCAGAGTCCTCAGCAGTACCTGTACGCACGTGAGCAATGCAGCTTCTTCAGGATCAAACTCCCGGCGGATGCTGCAGTGCCCCTGGGCTTGAATGAGCATGGGAGGGTTTTAGAAAATTGCTACTGCTGCTGTGGGGTGTCGAGGTGTAGTTGGCGTTTCCCCGACTCTTCAGGGACTTACCCAACACCCCCTCCCTCCCACAGAACTCCCAGGGCTGGCCTGCTTGGATCCCATTTCTCTATTAAAATCATGCACGCCCTGGGCCCGTGCTATCCAGCGAGGCAGCCTCTAGCACCTGTGACTGCTGAGTTTAGTACATCAGCTCCTGCTTCAAGCAGGCCCCTGTGCCGGGGACTCCCCCAGCTGGACAGCCGGCCAGAGGCCAAGGCTGAGCCAGTGCACGCAGAATTTAAAACATGTCCCTGTGTTTTCCCCCTCAGGTACTGCCTGGCGGGGCTGCCAGTTGGGTACCAGTTTAAGAACATCACGGACGCCGACGTCAACAACCTGCTGCTGGAAGACCTCATCATCTGGACCAACTACGAGATCGAGGTGGCTGCCTACAACAGCGCAGGCCTGGGTGTCTACAGCAGCAAGGTCACCGAGTGGACGCTACAAGGAGGTGGGTGGAGATTGTGACCATGGAAGGACCTTTCTCCTGGTCCCCTGCCTGCCCACTGGCCCTGCACCTGTCAGGTCGGATACCCGTCCTGTCCTGGGAGGCTCAGCCTGTGCTGTGTCGCCCAGACCCTTTGCTCTTGCCCTTGGAGGCAGGATCCCTGCCATGTACTCGGCTCCCCTGCAGGGTGGGAGGACAGAAGGGAAGAGGATGCTGAGCTGGGGACATAGGGACCTTCTACGATGTTCACATGAGCTGGGTCCTGAAACAGTTCACACTGAGTGCTCCGCCAGAAACCCTCCTGCCGACAAAAGCCTCTTTTGTATCCACCTGCTTTTACGTACCACGTCCTGTGAGGTGAGGCAGGCAAGTCCGTGAAACCTAGATGCACCACAGAAGGCAGTGAGGGTGGAGTCGAGGGGCACTGGCCAGCACAGGCCCTGGACCCCTGCATCCAGATTTCTCTACCAACCCGGATGAAATGCACTCACCTCACCCCTCCCCTCCCCTTCTCTCCATCTCTAGTGCCCACGGTACCCCCCGGCAACGTGCATGCAGAAGCCACCAACTCCACCACCATCCGCTTCACCTGGAACGCCCCCAGCCCCCAGTTCATCAATGGCATCAACCAGGGCTACAAGGTACCTCGGACCTGCCCTTGCCCCAGGAAAGTCCCCAAGGGAGGCCGGAGGCTGGCAAGGGCAGAAAGGTGAGGGGTAAATGGGCGAGCAGAGCAGGCAGGGACTCCAGCCACACAGAGGGGATACAACGAAGGGGACAGACTCACAGCCACGCCCAAGGCCACGTCCAACTCCTGGAACCACAGACAGTACAGGGGCCATTCTCGGGCACTGAGGTCTAAACAGCACCAAGCTGATTTCAGACTCAGGGATTCCCGGGTATGGCCCCAGCCTCGTGTGAAATACCCAGCCCATGTGACACTGGCTTTCAGGGACAGCTTGCTAGGCAACTTGCCCTTGACCCCACAGAGGTTATGGACATGGGGATAGAACTCGGTGGAAAGTCCCAGCGCCGCCGCCTCCTGTTGCCCTGGACATGTTCTTCGCTGTCAGAGCTGTGGTCCATCGATAAATGACATTTTGGATGCTGCAGCGGGAGCTGAACCCATCAGTTTCCTCAGCTGCACAGGGAGACAGCCCCATCCTGAGGCTGGTGTGAGGGCGAGAGCCCTTCCGTGCAATTTCCTGAACATGAGGATACGTGCACAGTGAGGACTCAGAGAAGGGGCTCCGTCATTGTCACAGCACATGTGATTCCACCCCGTGGCCCAGGAGACCTAGCCACGGGCATTTATTTTCTCTCATTTCTGGGTCACACAAGGCCCAGATCCAGGTGCCAGCCAGCCTGACCCCTCCCACAGCCCCTCTCACTGGCCTTAGAGCCATCTCCCAGACCCCCTGTGTGTTGGGGGGGGCACAGGGAATAATCCTGCTGATGTTGCAGGAGTGGGTGGTGGTCCAGGCCAGCTTCACCCTGACCACAGCCGAGAAACCAAGGCCAGCTGAGCTTTCCCCAGAGAGGATGGGAGGGATATGATGAGGGCAGGCTACAGCTGACTGGTTGCCTAGGAAAAACTCCTAATTGGGTCTCTATGGGGAGGCCAAAGAGGACTGCAGGATGCCTGCCTGGCTGAGCAGCAGAGCTGAGCCAGGATCAGTTAGCTGCCTGCTGCAATTCTATGCCCTGCCTAGCCAAGGACTACACTCTGGACTTCAAACGCAGTCAGTCCTCCCCCAGTTTGGGGGCAGGGGACAAAGCCAGTCAGTGGCCAAGACAGCTAGAACAATGGCCCACGGGACCCAGAGCACCAGGAGGCTGTGGAGGGTCCCCTGAACCCCTACACAGGTCCGAGGGAAAGGGCTGTGCAGATGCTGTTCGTGGCAGCGGGTGGGAGGGAAGGGTGGAGCTCTTTGCAGGTGCCAGGCAGCACGTGAGCTGCCTCGTGCACATTCCTCCCATGCAGCCCGCACACGACCCCGTCACCGCCCCATCTTACAGTGGCGAAACCAAGGCGCTGGAGGGAGGGCACTTGCTCAAGGTTAAACAGGACTGCATTGCTTCTTGCATCACAGAGAAACCAGAGCAGGTGTTAGCCTAGCAGTGCAGACCCTCAGAGACCTGGGTTCCAGGAGCGTGAAACTCCACCTACATCTCCCATGTGGGTACCAGGGGCCCAACCATTTTCTGCTGGTTTTCCAAGTGGAGCAGTAAGGAGCTGGATCAGAAATAGAGCAGACAGGGCTCAAACCCGTGCTCCTAACGCTCGTTAACGCACCGTCCTACAATATCTACCTCTTCCCGTTTAAACTGTGAGGATGTTCAGTTGTCTGCTGAAATGGAGGGAGGATGGTGACGAGCACCAACTTCATCGTCAGCTGCCAGGAAGGACAGCGCAGACACGTCCATCCATCCCCGGCCCTCTGTCTCTCCCATGGAACATTCTATAGCTGATCCTGTACATGTTTCTGTAAACCAAAGCCAGCTCCTTGTTCATGTGCCTGGGAGAGTTTGGGCACCCTCGTGGGAGACTAAGAGAAAGCTCCTGGCTCCTGGCTTCAGCTTAGCCAAGCCCTGGCCATGGCAGCCATCTGGGCAGTAAACTAGCAAATGGAAGATTCTTTCTATGGCTCTCCCAACAGTCCCTCCTGGCACCCCTCAGTTTCCGGTCTGACTCGCTGACTCTGGGTTCGTCTGCCCCAGGATCTGGATGAAGTCCCCACGCACGCTGCCATCGGGGCTGTGCGAGGTCTCAGTTGAGCTGCAGCTGCTCTGGCCCCTTCCTCTCTTTCCCCTGTGAAGCAGTAGCATCATTCGTCCCACGGGCCGTTGCACACTCTGCCTTTTCTGACTGCACTCCCGTGGGGTCATTCTGCTCTTCGCCGTCAACGCCGCTCACACTTGCCTTTGCAGTGAATTCGAACCTGGCACTAAAGGCTGCTCAGACGCAGGTCTTTGTTTTTTCTCAAAAGATCACTTCCTGGATGGCGCTATGGTTTCCCGTCAGAAGGTGCCAGGTCTGGCTCTCACACTTCCCAAGGTGCCACCAGTCCTTGTGTGCCGTTGTCACCACAGGACTTGGAAATGGTGGTGGCTGAACATCTTCATTCCACCTTGATTAGCGGAGATGCTTTAAAAAAAAGTTTCTTTTTGTCAATCTTTGTGTCACCTGACACTCCAGTTTATCCAGGAAATTGAGGTAAATGCCGAGTTCTTTCCCATGGCTTCGCAATTTTTAGTCCAAAGAATTGATTCTTCGGCACCTTTTTTTAGATTTTTATTTGAAAGGCAGAGTTACACATACACACAGATTGAGAGAGATCTTCCATCTGCTGGTTCACTACTCAAATCATTTTAATGACCCTGGAGCTGGGCCAGTCAAACCAGGAGCCAGGAGCCTCTTTCAGGTCCCCCTCATGGGTACAGAGGCCCAAGACTTTGGGCCATCCTCTACTACTTTCCCAGACCACGAGCAGGGAGCTGGATGGGAAGTGGAACAGCTGGGACTCGAACTGGCGCCCATATGGGATACCTGCGCTTGAAGATGGCGGATTAGCCTGTTGAGCCACAGTGCTGGCCTCCACACACCTGCTGTCATGTCATGCCTGAGCAGCTCAGTGGAGGTTGGAGATCTGGTGATGTGGGTTGATTTGATTGGGTTCTGCTAGTATTATACCATATGCTTAAGGATTTGTTAATATGGTGAGTTGCAAGTTTCCTTGTATTTTTAAAGATACATTTATTTACTTGAAAGGCAGAGTTGCAGTCAGAGAAAGAATCTTCCATGTACAGGTTCACTTCCCAAATGGCTGCAACAGCCAGGACTGAACCAGGCCACAGCCAGGCACCAGGAGCTTCATCTAGGTCGCCAGTGTGGGTAAGAGGGCCCCAAGCACTTGGGCCATTATCTGCTGCTTTCCCAGGCACATTAGCAGGGAGCTGGATCAGAAACAGAGCAGCCAAGACGTAAACCAACACTCCTATGGGGTGCCAGCCTTGAAGGCAGCAGCTTATCCCACTGCCCCACGTTTCTTACTAACGTGGCTCAGCAGTGCTCGTAGCTTCCTGACCATCGGAGTGACCAGATGTCCCAGGCTGGGTGCCTTTTCCTTGCGGCACCTGGATCAGCCGTTCCCTGAAGGAGTCCTTGCTCCTGCTCGTCAAAAGCGATAGTTCAACTGCCCACCCTGGCCTCAGGGAGATAACTCCTTACTCCAGGAATAGTGGGTGTTTCCAGGCCCCAGTAACGGACAGCTCCGAAGTATTATCATTTTTAATGAGTTTATTTATTTGAAAGGGAGAGTGGTCGAGATCTTCCATTTGCTAGTTTACTCCCCAGATGGCTGCCATGGCCAGGGCTTGACCAAGCTGAAGCCAGGAGCTTTTAGACTCCCGCGTGGGTGCAGGAGCCCAAGCTCTCCCAGGCACATGAGCAAGGAGCTGGCTCAGATTTGGAGCAGGTGGGACTCGAGCCAGCAGCCCCAGAAATACTATTCCTGAAGACAACAGTGGATTGGTATTTGCCATTCAAACCTGCAAGTGTCGCCACGGGGTCCGTGTCTGTTGGTCTGTTTTCTGTACCCTCCAAATTCACTTCCTACAACGCCAACAGAATTACCCGTTGACTTTATCCCACCAAGCCACACACCGGTTTGGGGGTGGCAGTGTCAATAGCTGGTGGCCGGCAGCCACTGTGGCTTGCTTGCAGTTGGTTCTATTCCATGGGTCTGTCCCGCTGGGGCTGAACTGCCAGTGACCGGCTTCCGAAGTCTTTGAAAGATTCTCTCTTGGTGTAATTTTGCCACAGCTCAACGCACAATTAGGTTCATTTTCTTCGTCTGCTTTCAATTTTTAGGGATTGATTTTTTTTTTAATTTAATTTTGGCCTGTAATTACATAGAATATTTACACAGCTCCAAATCTGCAAAGCAAATTCCAATAATAATAATAATAAAAACTTCCCCTCCATCCCACTACCCTCCACTCCCCTTGTAGCCCCCGTAGCTTCCTGGGGTACTGCTTTTCCCTGCCAGGTCTCTCCCGCAAGCCAGCTCGTGCATGTCTGTAAGTGGCTCCTCTCTGACACATGAAATGACACAGACCTTCTGTACTTCTCACTTTAACAGCTCTGGAAAGAGAGCAGTGGCTGAGCTTGCAGTCCATGTCATAATTCACTTTGGGGGCCTCCCGCCATGGCGTCAGGCAGCCCCCTTTGCCATTCTTCCAGTCTTGTTTAGGAGGTGGCTCATGCGTCTTTGTATTTTCACCATCGCAGTTTGGAGTAGATGTTGCTTAGCCATGGCATTCTTGGCTCAGAGAATATGTGTATATGTCATTTTTATACATTGCCAAATCCCGAGAGATACATTCTCTCCATTTATTTAGGTTTAAAGAGAAAGTGCATATGTGAGTCAAGAGCAGAACCATGTAGTAGATAAATAAATAATTGTGCAGCAGAAACGCAGCCTGCACCCCACCTCCGTTCCCCCAGCCCCACGGGCAGAGAGAAGCCGGTCAGGGAGGAAGTCCTCCTCCCAATTCCGGTGTGGTTTTTCTCTGCCGTAACTAAAGGCTTCGTAGCCACACACATCCTTCGCCGCTCTGGGAGTGCTACCTGCCCTGGAAGAGGCACATTGCTACCTCTGTCCAGCCAGGTTGCTGTCGCTGCTCCCGGTGACAGCCTGAGAACTGGCGACTTTCCCAGGTCACTTGCTGTCATCTTTCCTGTGCTGTCCGCAGGGGAGCTGAACCTCAAACCTCAGCCCCCGTGATGCCCTGTCAGCTTAGAATCCAAGACAGATTTGCAAAGGTGACATCAAGCAGAGGGCACGCCATGCTGTGAGTACCATGCAGAGGGAGCCAAGGGCATCGGCATGGAGCTAGAGCAGGCTCCTGGCAGGCGCGTGCAGAAATGCCCCACTTTGCAGAGCTCAGCTTCCCTTCTGGTTAGATCGCAGGCAGCAACTACTAGCCAGTGATCATTGCAGGGAGCCGTGGGTGTGGCCTGGGAGGGGCGTGGCCCAGCACTTGCACGTGACATGGCCAGAGTCCTGTGTGTGCCCATCTAGGCATTGTAAGCTGTTGGGGGCTTCTCTCATCTCAGCAAACTCTAGTGACATTATTCTACCTGCCAAGATACCTTTTCTCCTTGCTTTTTAAAACAAAGTAGCAATTGTCATTGGCCTAAGCCAAGCACCACTGATATTTACCCAGATTTTTATACTTGTTGGGAACACACCAATTAATTCTAACAGCATAATTAATTCAAATTTACATTAATTAAACGAAATGAAAACATGAAACTTGTTTCTTAATCTACTGCAAAGAAGTTGGGCAATTTAATTGCTGTGAAACAAGATAACCAAAATAAGGAGGATATTTAACATACTTATTAAATGCCACTTAGTATTTCTGATTAGTATTTTTGAGGGTCTAATTAGTGCCTAATTAACTTGCTATAGGCTATCTTTTCACAATACCAATTAAATTTCAAAACATCCGTTATAAACACCCGGCCATGAGAAATAGAAGATTAAGCATTGTTAGGGACATGAGTTAATCAGGGAACATTGGCGTGCCATTGTTTTATAGCTATAAATATCCATGCTTATTAAAACTCATCAAGTGTTGCTTTTCACCATTAATTGCTATTTAATCAACTTCAAATAAATGAGGAAATCGCCACGACCAGCTGTCATTGTTGGAGACAGATGATGGGGGCAGGAAAGAGGAGGAGGAGGAAGACTCTAGTGGGGGCGCGGGGCTTGGACCACCAGGCAGAAGCAGTGTGCAGAGGTGAGCATGAAAAAGGAGCGAGTTTCCACGTGGGGGTTTCCTGCACATGCCCACCGTGAGGTCATGTTTGAGCCAGGAGCGCTAACTTAGCCTGTGTACATGGATGCAGCTTCCCCACGCAGATAGGAAGTGGTCTTTAGGAAGCTGCCCCGCCCCTAGGGAGAGAAGTACAACGGCTGAAGTCGCCCTCCCCTTAGCTGTGTGACATAGAGGCGGCTTGGCCTGAGCCAGTTTCCTAATTTGTCAAATACAGGGCCAGCATCCCGACTCCCTCACAGCTTGGGCTTGCTCAAATGCACATCTCTTGTCATCCCTTAATGAATAGGACACTGGGTCTGCCAGGTTGTAGCCAGTCCTGGGGTCACTGGAAATCAAGGCAGTGCCCATTTCGTGGCATACACCAGAGGGTCCGCAGGAGGGACTCTGCGTCACCTGCACTGCCTCCCCCGTCCCTGGGAGGAGTCTGCCCACTGGTCCAGCAGAAAGCAGTGTGACCTCTTCTGGAACTTTCTCACTGCCCTACCTGAACTGCCGACCTCCCCCTAGCTGATTGCCTGGGAACCGGAACAGGAAGAGGAGGCCACCATAGTGACCGCCAGGCCCAACTTCCAAGACAGCATCCACGTGGGCTTCATGTCCGGCCTGAAGAAGTTCACCGAGTACTTCACCTCCGTACTCTGCTTCACCACCCCGGGAGACGGGCCCCGCAGCACCCCCCAGCTGGTGCGCACCCACGAGGATGGTAGGCAGCACCCCGCCTCTCCTGCCCCTGGCCTGCTGGTTCCCGCACCCAGTCATCCCAGGATCACCCCAAGCTGCCTTGTGGACAGTGGTCTTTGTCTCTGAGGCTCTAACTGGTGTTGGGTGGGGCCCTTTTGGGGTACAGTGCCTGGGCCAGTGGGACACCTGAGCTTCAGTGACATCCTGGACACCTCGCTGAAGGTCAGCTGGCAGGAGCCAGGCGAGAAGAATGGCATCCTCACAGGTGGGCACCCTCCCAGGTAGGCAGGCCCTGCAGTGTTGCTCCTAGCCAAGGGTGGGACAGGGTGGGAACAGGAAGGCCCATTCCCCTGCCTTCCAGCAAGGGTCATCCCAACCCTCCAACAAGCCCCTACTTAGGCACCTTGTCGGGGTGCCAGTGGCACCTGTGCTGAGCCACATCCCTGGGTCTCTAGCCAGGATGCCCACGGGCAGGCAGTATCACAGAGGTTACACCTGCAGCCCTGGCATGACCTGCAGGTCTCACTTCTCCTGGCCACTGGCTCCCTGTGCTCACCTGTTGCCTTGGTGAAAAGGTGAGAAGTAGAGCAAGGGTCAAGGCCAGCTCGTGATCCCAGCCAAGCTCATGCCACTTCCGGGGGTGGGGTGTGCCTCTCACCAGGGTACCGGATCTCCTGGGAGGAGTACAACAGAACCAACACCCGCGTGACCCACTACCTGCCCAATGTGACCCTGGAGTACCGCGTCACCGGCCTCACAGCGCTCACCACGTACACCATCGAGGTGGCCGCCATGACATCCAAAGGCCAGGGCCAGGTGTCTGCCTCCACCATCTCCTCGGGGGTGCCTCCAGGTGCGTGACCCTCTCAGAACGGGGCTCCTGGCCTAGCTGTGCTCCTCTGACCTCAGACAATAGGGTCTCCGTTTCCCCATCCACATCCGTGGGGAGTTGGGTCGGACAGCCATGTAGCCCAATGCAGGCTGTGCTCCCGAGAAGGTCCTGGCCAGCCTCCCTCCTCCTGCCTTCGAGAGGTTTCGGGACCCTGAGCTTGACCAGTCTGTCACAGGATAAACACGGGGAGGCTTCAGAAATGTTGAAGTCCTAAGTATAAGGGCAGGCGGTTTTCACATGGGCTGAGCTCCCACTGAAGACCCCAATATTCTACCCCCAGCTCCAGCTTTGAGGACTTGGGTCCCTGACTCCCAATGTGAGACCAGGCTTGAATTCCAGGCTTGTGACTTCATTCTGATCCAGCCCCAGCTATCCCAGGAATGTGGGGAGTGAGAATTGGTCCCCCTTCTTTCTCCTATCTCAAGCTTTATTTATTCATTTGAACAGTGGTTAGAGACACAAAGATCGTCCATCTGCTAGTTCACTCTGCAGATGACCACAATGACCAAGACTGGGCCAAACCCAAACCAGGAGCTTTTGCTGGGCCCAACCACTTGGGCCATCCTCAACTGCTTTCCCAGGACCATTAGCAGGGAACTGGATCAAAAGTGGAGCAGGGCCTACCACAGTACTCTAGTGGCTAAAGTCCTCGCCTTGCGTGTGCCAGGATCTCATGTAGGAGCCGGTCCTAATCCCAGTGGCCCTGCTTCCCATCCAGCTGCCTGCCTGTGGCCTGGGGAAGCAGTCGAGGGCAGCGCAAAGCCTTGGGACTCTGTACCCACATGGGAGACCCAGAAGAGGCTCCTGGTTCCTGGCTTCGGATTGGCTCAGCTCCAGATGTTGCAGGCCACTTGGGGAGTGAATCAGCAGATGGAGGATCTTCCTCTCTTCCTTTCTGTATGTATGATTTTACAATAAAAGTAAATTTTCTTTAAAGAGAGCAGGCAGGACTGGAACCAGCGTCCATGAGACACCAACATTTTAAGCAGTGGCTTTACTTACACCACTCCACTAGCCTCTCTCACCTCCCCTCCCTTTCAAATAAAATGAAAATAATTAGGGGAAAAAAAGTTTACTTGGGTGGAAAGATTTCAAATCTGCACATTGCTTATTCCCAATACACACCTTCTAGAAACTTTCTAGAAACTTCTGAAGTTGCTGTAGTGCCCACCAGGCCTGGAGCTGAGTGCCTCGCAGACAGGGACTCATGAGGCCTCACCACCAGCCCGAGGCAGGTGTGGTCACTGTCGTGTCCATCTCCCCAAGGAGGACACTGTGGTGTGGACGTTCAGAGGTCTGGAGCCACAGAGAGGCAGGACAGGGTTCTGACTCTGAGCCCAGAATCTCTGCTCTTTCTGCTTGCCTTGCCTTTGGGAGCCCCAAGTTGCTGCTTGGCAAGCAAAAACTGTTCCCTGTCCCTGCCCCCGTGGCCTCCCTCAGCCTTGGTGGGCAGGGGATCGGCGTGCGGGGCTGTGCTCAGGGAAGGGGGGATTGAATTCTGGTGGGCGGGGGGGCTGTGCTGAGGGGAGATTGAATCCCACCCAGGTCTGCTGAGCCCTGCTTGGTTTGGAGCAGCCTACGCTGTCAGGAGACTCACACAGGTCCCCACCTGTCCCAAGGAAATCAGGGCCCATTACTTGGCCCTTGAGGTCCTCCCTAGCCCCATGTCTCTCGGGCCCTTGTTGTTCACAGGCTTTCTTTTGCAACTGATAGCGGGGGAGACATTCTCACCCAGCCCCTGCTCTCACCTGAGCTCCGCCCCGCCTCCGACCTCCTGTCCCACCCTCTTCTCTTCCAGAACTCCCAGGGGCCCCCACCAACCTGGGCATTTCCAACATCGGTCCTCGTTCCGTGACCTTGCAGTTCAGGCCCGGCTACGATGGGAAAACCTCCATCTCCCGCTGGCTGGTGGAAGCCCAGGTAAGACTCCTCTGGAGGGCAGTGAGGGGGCCGGCACCAGGCTGACCTTGGGCAGCCCCACGCGCTCCAGAGCGGAGTCCCATGCGTGTTGCAGTCTGTGCATTTCCACACACAACTATCGAGGGCTGAGTACATGCGGGCCACTTGGTTAAAAAAAAAAAAACTCGTGTAAGTCGAAAATATCATAAACCCAAAACACATTAGGACACCCAACCTGCCAAGCTAGCCAGCCCAGCCTCCCCTCCCTTAGCCGTGCTCAGAAATATGCACGTTGGCCTACGCTGAGAATCTCAAGATAGTATTGCTGGGGGGTGGGGAGTGTCAATATTAAAAAGGTATCAAATCCAAGTGCATATCATTTTCACAGTCTGAGAAGTCCTTTAATCAAAACACATTGGAAGCTGGGGACCGGCTATGTCTGCAATGCCTGCTCCCCTGCACCTCTTGTGCATGGGGGGGGGGGGCCCTCCCCTCATGCCTTCCTGAGCCCGGGGGCTGGGGGGGAGAATGGCTGCCCCAGAACTGGGCCGTGTCTGCAGCCCTTTGCAAACCCCGGTTCTAAGTTGTGCCCGCACCCTGGATGCTGAGGGCAGCCTAGCCACCCACAGTGCTTATTGGTGCTTTGTTGATTTGGGTGCCAGCAGGGGGCGTTAGCCACACCCGGGGGTGTTCATGAGCCTCACCGGAGGAGCCCCACTGCTCGGCACCACCCCCACTATTCAGCCCAGCAGGGTCTAGGGTAGGGCCGGGGGCCTTCAGGTGGCATTCTAACACAAGCCGTCTACAAGTCTTCCCTGGAGCCAAGGTCAAGGGCCTGGATGGATGGTGGCCCCCTGGGGTGCCTTGCGGGAGTCGTGGAAGGGCTTGAGCCCAAGGGTGCCTCCCTTTCCCAGGTGGGTGTGATCGGGGAGGGAGAGGAGTGGCTCCTGATCCACCAGCTCGCCAACGAGCCTGATGCCCGTTCCATGGAGGTGCCCGACCTGAACCCCTTCACCTATTACAGGTAACCAGACGGGCTCGGGGTGGGCGATGCCACTCAAGCTCAGGGGAGGGGCACAGCCCCTCACGGTCTCACTCATGCTCTTCCCCACCCCCAGCTTCCGCATGCGCCAGGTCAACATTGTTGGCACCAGCCCGCCCAGCCAGCCTTCTAGGAAGATCCAGACTCTGCAGGCGCCTCCTGACATGGCCCCGGCCAACGTGACACTGCGCACAGCCAGTGAGACCAGCCTGTGGCTCCGTTGGATGGTAAGCCTCCCCAGGGCTCGTCTCAGTACCGACAGCACATCCCTCCTGAAGTCCTGCTCTGTACTGAGGGGGCTGGGGAGCAGCCAGGGAGGAGGCAGCAGCAGGCATTTGGCATTCATATCCCGTTTCATCCTCTGGGTAACCTCACAGGACTCATCTTCATCCCAATTTACAGCTGAGAAAACTGAGGCCCCAGTTTAGGATCTTGCCCCTGGTCCTGTGGCTCACTGGCAGGATTCAGGGACCAGCTAGGGGGCAAGGGAGGGGTCGGTTGGCCTCCAGGTCCTGCCCCACAGGTCGGGGTTGTAAGCCATCCTCCCTCCAGACATCCCACCCCTCCCTGCTGAAACCCAAATCCCCCGATGCTCCCGTCCCTTTTATAAGACACCATGGTATTGCATATAATATCTGTACGCTCTCCCGGATACAGGTGCCTTACAAACCCTAATCCATCAAAGTGCTGTGTACACAGCTGCGAAATTGTAGTGCTCGATGAATAGTGACCTGTAAGAAGCCCAGCCCTGCTTAGCGCACACACACAATTTTTCCCACCAAAATCTTTCCAGCCTCCAGGCTCTCGTCTGAGGCTTTTCTGCAGGCGTCAGACCTGCATGTTCTCAAAGCCCTGGTCTGGAGCCCCCCTGCTCCCTGTTTGCCCAATGAGAGGGTGCAGAGTGCTCAGTGTGCCAGGACTCCTCGGATCTTCTGCTCTCACCTTCCCTCAAATCCACCCTAACCGCTGAGCACACCAGCCCCTCCTCCTCTGGGGAGTCGACAAGCCCACTCCTCCGGGGTGCTGCTTCCCAGTGCAGATGCCACAGGCAGCAAACTCAGGAAGGCATAGAGTAAGCTTGAATTCTTACCCAAGTGCCTGCTGGGAAACAGCCCTGCACATCTCGTGGCAGAAAACACCAGCTCCAACACTTCCCTAGGCCCACCCACCCTTACTCCTCCTTCCTTTGCCTGGGAGAAAACTTAGCGCCAAATGCACCTTGCGAAGTGTCGCCCACACAGCAAGTCCCTTGCTGCCTTAAAGCAGGTGACACTGTCAGCCCTGTGTACTTTGGTGGCTACTTAGGACTCTCCTCCCAGAGGCTGGCGCCAACACGGAGCTGTCTTCCCTGCTGCCTTCTCCAGCCCAGGGCCCATGGCCAGTAACTTTCAGTCCCTGTGTTGCCACCCCCCCCTTGCACATCACATCTTAAGGTTCCAAACCAGAAAGGTCAAAGGACACAGTGTCCGGGGGACTACAGAGGGAAGGGGAAGGCAGTGGTTAGGCCAGGTAGGGCTACACGCAGTGTCCAGTGGGACTGCAGAAGGAAATGGGAAGGCTGTGACCAGGCCAGGTAGGGCCCCAACGCCTCCTCTCTCTGGCCTGCTTAATGGTATGTAGCTGGCTAGCTTGCTTAGCAGGCGAGACACCTGCGTCAGATCCCATTATAGCATGCACTGAGCTCAAGGAGAGCGAGCCAGCTGCAGTGGATTACTTGTGGTCAGCTGTGGACTGTGGGCCGCCCCTCATGGGAGGCAAACTCAGGGAGGTGGGGGCCATAGCTGCTCCAGCCCCCTCATGAAAGGAATCAAAGGGCTCTGTTCACGCCTGCTTCCAACACCAGCTGCCCTCACTTGCCTTGCCATGCGTACGTCTTGTTGCCTAAGTTCATCCAAACCACCTTGAACCAGCACACACAGCCCCCAGCCTAGAGCCCTAAGGCTCAGGAAAGAAATCTGTCTTTTCAGTGAAGACCAGAGAGGAAGAGGAAGTGTGGGGACTGCAGCTGGAGACAGAGGGGCTTGCAGACAGGAGACGCAGCCCCATCCATCCCCCTGCTCGCTTCCCCAAGGGCAGGCATGAGCCAAGACCAGGAGTGGCAGGCAGTTAAATGGAGCGTGGGATGTCACTGAGCAAGGCATATAATCAGAGCCAGAGATGGCACGTGCGTGGGCAGATCGGCGGTATAGTCTTGGCGGGTTCCCAGCAGAGCAGGTACGCCATCAAGAATGGCCACTGCTCCTCCTCCTCCTGGGCTGAGATCTGGGAGTGAATACACGGGGGCATGGGGACCCTCAGATGTACAGACAGGCAAGGCCACCACCAGGGGTGGGCACCCAGAGCTTGGTTGGTGGGCTCTCTGGAAGAGGATGCAGTTCTGCCTCACACCTGGCCTGCCCCTGCTTTGCCACAGCCCCTCCCAGAGATGGAATACAACGGGAACGCCGATTCCGTGGGATACAAGATCAAGTACAGCAGGTCGGATGGCCACGGCAAGACACTGAGCCACGTGGTGCAGGACCGTGTGGAGCGGGAATACACCATCGAGGGCCTTGAGGAGTGGACCGAGTACCGCGTCCAGGTGCAGGCCTTCAACGCCATCGGGAGCGGGCCTTGGAGCCAGCCGGTGCTGGGCCGGACCCGGGAGTCAGGTACCCTGCCCGCAGCAGGCTGGGGCCGCCATCCTGTCTGTGCTCAGCCTCATCACGGTGCACCTGCCACATTGCCTCGTCCCTCTCCTAGCACCTGCCCTGCCCTGTGACTGGGGCAGAGGGTGACCCTGGAGTCCCGCCACGGTGGGAGGGCTAAGCAGCCTCAGCTGTCCAAAATGGCCAGGCCCCTGCCCTCAGCTTTGATGCTGGAACCCCAAGAGAGCCTGCAGTGGGGGCTCAGGGAAGGAGTTAGCTTTAGGAACATTCTAAAAACAGTCAACAAGCTTCCCAGGGCTAGACAAAGAGGGATGTACACAGAACAGGAACCCTGGCTGGCAGGAAACCCTTATTCACACATGATCCGCTACCCGCTGGCTCTTAAAGGACAGACAGCCTTCTGGGACCTCCCTGGGGCCCCCTTCTCATCTCACCCCCTTTGCCATGTCAACAGACCTGACACCAGAAACAGCATAGGTGCCAACTTCCAAAATCAGGGGTACCATGCAGGACAACCTGCCGTATGTTTTCCCTGCGGGGTTCACATCAGGTCCTGAGTGCCTTCTCTCCCCTCCCCCCACCCCAGTCCCATCATCTGGCCCCACCAATGTGTCTGCGCTGGCCACCACATCCAGCAGCATGCTGGTGCGCTGGAGCCAAGTCCCAGAGGCTGACCGCAATGGGCTGGTGCTGGGCTACAAGGTAAGACCTACTGCCTTGTCCACCCCAGGCACCCTGTTCCTGTCACCCCCTCGGTGTCTCCCTCACTTCCTATCACAGTCACCTTGGCAACCAGGGAGTCCTGCTCTTCCTCCAGTGGAAGGGTGTCCGGCAGTCCCAGGGTCCTCTCCCAGGAGACCACCTAGGTGACCCCAGCCAAACTTGCAGTTTGGGTTTCCATTAGCTCCTGGACTTTCTCTTTCCCTCCCCCTTTTAAAGACTTACTTTTATTGGAAAGTCAGATATACAGAGAGGAGGAGAGACAGAAAGGAAGATCTTTCCTTTGATGTTTCACACCCCAAGTGGCCGCAACAGCCGGAGCTGCGCCAATCCAAAGCCAGGAGCCCGGAGCGTCTTCCAGGTCTCCCACACAGGTGCAGGGTCCTAAGGCTTTGGGCCATCCTCGACTGCTTTCCCAGGCCACAGGCAGGGAGCTGGATTGTCACCAACCCACAGCAACACTACCCATGTGGCACACTCTAGAGGGTCTGGAAAAGCTGGAACCGCAACCGGACCCCTTATTGCCAAAAGCGGCTGCCTTTTTCCCTGTTGGTCTATAGCTTTTCTCCCTGCTTCTCTAGCCCTCTCTCCACTACTCTTCCCATTCTTCTCCCCGTAGACCTTATTGCTTTTGTACCCCTCTCTGCTGCTTTTCCCTGTTCTTGTCCCTGTAGGTCTTACTTGTCGCCGCCCAGCAGTGACACTACCTACGAGGGTCTGGGAAAAGCCGAAGCCGCAGCCGGACCCCCACTGCCAAAAGCGGCTGCGTTTACACCCTTCTCTCCGCTGCCCCTCTCCGCATTGGTCTTAGCTTTCCTTCCCGCTTTTCCAGCCCTCTCTCCGTCGCCCTTCTGCCCGTTCCTGTCGTAGGTCTACATTGCTTCCGTACTGCTTTTGTACCCCTCTCTGCCGCTTTTCCCCATTCTTGTCCCCGCACATAGGTCTTACTGCTTCCGTACCACTTTTGTGCCCCTCTCTGCCGCTTTTCCTCCCCATGCGCCTTAGTTTTCCCACCCGAAGATCTTAGCCCCTGTAGCCCCTCTCTGCTGCCCATTCTTCCCGTCACTCTCTCTCCATCTTTCTCCTTGTTGGCCCCCGCCTTAGCTTTTAGCGGCTGCTTTTATACTGTTCTCCACCAATCACTTCTCCCCGTGGGTCCACTTGGCGCTACCTGATAGGCCAGTAGCAATGACATAATCGCATCAGCGAGCCTTCAGCCTATCCCTGTGACTTCCTGTTTACCTGCTGGCGAGACCAACCCCGCCTCCTGGCCCTGGGCCAGCCACCATTCTGTGATAGCCTTTCCTATTCCTGGGAGTGGCTTCGGCACCCCCGCTTCCCACACTGGATGGGAAACAGGGGTGCTGAAATTAGAACCGGCATCCACATGGGATCCCAGTGCTTGCAAGGCGAAGACTTTAGCTGCTAGGCTACTACACCGGGCCCTCTCTTTTTTCTTTCTTTATTTTAAATATATACTTTATTTTTATTGGAAAGGCAGATTTACAGAGAGGAGATAGAGAAAAAGATCTTCCATCTGCTGGTTCACTCCCCAAATGGCCACAACGGCCGGAGGTGAATCAATCAAAAGCCAGGAGTCAAGCGTTTCCCCAGGTCTCCCACGCGGGGGCAGGGTCCCAAGGCCTTGGGCCGTCCTCGACTGCTTTCCCAGGCCACAGGCAGGGAGCTGGATGGGATACTGATGCTCGGAGGTGGAGGATTAGCCAGTTGAGCCAATGTGCTGGCCCAAAGACTTTTTCTTTTAGGCATTGCCTCACTGTCAGGAATTAGGTTAGTCTCTGTCGTTCCTAGCTGTGTGGCCCAGAGCAAGCCACAGTCCCTCACTTGGCCTGTCCTCTCGAAGGACCCTCCCTGTTCTGAGATCAAGTCCATATTTGGGGTGCCCAGCCCTGGGGAACATGAGCTGTGTTCATTGCCCTGTGTCCCCTTAGGGGTCAAGCCACTCCCAGGATCCCAGGCCCACCCATCCCATTCCTGCCTGCCTGCCCCTGGGGACGAAGAAGCCCAGGGCCACAGCCCTCACCTGTGCTGGCCCCCAGAGGCCCAATCCTGCCCACAGCCCTCACCTGTGCTGGCCCCCAGAGGCCCAGGGCCACAGCCCTCACCTGTGCCGGCCCCCAGAGGCCCAGGGCCACAGCCCTCACCTGTGCCGGCCCCCAGAGGCCCAGGGCCACAGCCCTCACCTGTGCTGACCCCAGAGGCCCAGTCCTGCCCACAGCCCTCACCTGCGTTGACCCCCAGAGGCCCAGTCCTGCCCACAGCCCTCACCTGTGCCGGCCCCCAGAGGCCCAATCCTGCCCACAGCCCTCACCTGTGCTGGCCCCAGAGGCCCAGTCCTGCCCACAGCCCTCACCTGTGCCGGCAGGTGATGTATAAGGAGAAGGACTCGGACTCACAGCCCCGGTTCTGGCTGGTGGAAGGCAACTCGTCGCGCAGCGCGCAGCTCACAGGCCTGGGCAAGTACGTGCTGTACCAGGTGCAGGTGCTGGCCTTCACGCGCATCGGCGACGGCAGCCCCAGCCACCCTCCCATCCTGGAGCGTACACTGGATGACGGTGAGTCCGTACCTCCGGGGGTGCTCCCTGTCTCCCACCCACCCAGCCTCACTCTCCCCGGGGTCTCCCTCTGCTGCAAGGCCAGCCATGGCCTCAGCTGGCCTGGGGTCGGGAGGCACTCTAGACCCCTCTTTGCCCAGGATGCTAGTCACGTCCGGGGTGTCCCTGAGGGAGAAGTGACACTTGAGGGCCACAGGATGTCCAATCTGTTATCCTGCTCTTAATCCGAATGAATAGGACTCTGGTTCCCATTTGCCCTAGGGTGTTCTGAGCAAACTTCTAGAAAGAGGTCTTGCTGTTCCCCAGAGCCTCCTGGCCCTAACTGCAGGCGCCAGCGACACCATCCGGGCCCAGCCCCCACCCCTGCTACCCCACCCAGAGCTACCCAGTCCATCCTCTGCCCACCACATACCATGTTCTGTACCTCCTCCAGTTAGAAATTGAGCTAATGGAGTTAAATACATTCCATCCTCCTGCTTGGACAAGTAGCCCCCACCATGGCCTGTAAGACCGAATTCAAGTTCAGAAATCTCTAGGTTTCTCAACATTCGGTCCCAGCATTTGCACCACACACACACACACACACACACGTCCACCCCATCCCATCCTCTGCCCCATAGCTGCACAACAGCTATCCCTTGGCCATCTGAGGGCCCAGGGATACAGTCTGTCCTTGGAAAGGTGACTCCAGACAGGATTCTCCAGGATGCCAGGGGAACACCTCTGGGTATCCTTTCTGTTGCCTGGAAGCTCCTTGTCCCCTAGGCAGAGGAAGCCGGGAGCTTCCCCAGAAAAGGCCCAGAGCCCACAGACACCGCACCAAGGAGAGCTGTGCTACTGACACTTGCTTTGAGGTAGACAACTCCTGCCAGAGGACACAGTTTGCAAATAGGAACCTCATGGATCACATTTTCTTATCCCTGGTACCCAACCGGGTGCTAGGTCCTGCACGCTCACTCCCTGAGCTGCCTGGCCCCGTCGTCCTCCTCACCCACCGGGCTGCCCTGGCTCACGGCCACGTGGCTCCCTTACCACTGTCTCCTTCTCTTCTGTCCCCCTCCAGTCCCAGGACCCCCCATGGGCATCCTGTTCCCGGAAGTGAGGACCACATCGGTGAGGCTGATCTGGCAGCCCCCGGCAGCGCCCAACGGCATCATCCTTGGTAAGCCTGCACCTGCTCCCGAGGCCTGGCTGCAGGAGGTTGTGAACGAGACAAATGCAGTGTCAGCAAGAGGCACAGTAGGCCCAGGGAGGGTTAGGTCCCCCAAGGACCCCTGATTGGCTTTGTACTTGCAAAGAGCTGCTTAGTAGACCTCAGCTGCTGTTCATAGTGTGGCCAAGTGAGGGCGCGTGAGCCGGCTCAGCACAGCTGTGCTCGCTGCTGGACATCGGAACAGGAAGCTGCCTTTCACATCCAGGCTTCACAGCAGCTGCATGAACTTGGCCTCAGCCCCCCGACTTTGAAAATGGGGACTTGGACAGTTCCAGTTTCAGGCCACCCATGTGCCCCCATCCACCACCTACCCCAAACAACCATGCATCCCAAGACACAGCAAAGCTGGGAAGGACAAGACCTTAGGACCAGGCAAACCTGGGCCTCTCCCTGCCTGTTTCCTCACATGGGGCTAGTGCTGGGATCCCTTGGGCCTCAGTGCCGGATGGCAGCTGAGGTCTGGGGAGTGACCAAGGGGGTTGGGGCAGCCAAGATGGCCCAGGTACCATGTGGGCCGAGGAATGGGCAACCCCTTCTCGGAATGCTGAGGGCAGCCTGCCCGGCCCTCCAGCACTCCCACCTGCTTCCCCTCCCCACAGCTTACCAAATCACACACCGGCTCAACACCACCACGGCCAACACCGCCACGGTGGAGGTGCTGGCCCCCAGCGCCCGCCAGTACACGGCCACCGGCCTCAAGCCCGAGTCTGTCTACCTGTTCCGTATCACGGCCCAGACCCGCAAGGGCTGGGGGGAAGCCGCCGAGGCCCTGGTGGTGACCACGGAAAAGAGAGGTGACTGCCTGCCAGAGGGGACGAGGGGCAGGGCAGGGGCCCCCCAAGGCAACCAGGCATGACGGGTACAGGGGAACAGTAGCCACAAGGCACACTGCCTGGGCGGCATCCACTGTTGAAGTCACAGCAGCAAGGGGTCGAGTGGACTGGCAGAGCCGAGCTGACCCTCCTAAGGACCCTGATCCACTCTGGTTTCCCCAACCCCACCAGCCCTTGACCTTGTCCAATCCTCTTGCCCCAGAGCAACCCGCTGTCTGACTCCATCCAACAGACAGGTGTGAAAGTGATTGTTGAGAACCTGCACCCAGCACAGCAGCCAGCAGGGAGAGGGGGTGGTGCCGCTGATACCAGAGGTCAAGGCCGTAACGGGGACCTCCCCCCAACAGAGAGGTGTGGCTGGGATTGGAAACCTGCAGGAGAGCAGATGGAAAGTGAGGCTGAGAGATGAGAAAACCCGGGCGTGGAGTTGGGTGAAGTAGAGACCTGCCCACAGAGGAAAGCAGGGGTGCCACCCACTCCATCAAGGCTGGGCCACACTTGTGCAGGAGCACTGGCGCCCTGGTGTCTGTGCCCCTTGGTGCAGTGCCAGGTTGAGCCTCTAAGCAGTATGGGATCAGGGCAGACAGAAGGCACCAGGCCTAGGCCCGGAGCATCTCGCTTCTTGAGAAAGTGCAGCACCCAGCCCATCCCCTGCCCCCCAGCACCACTCCGCAAACCCTTCCTCACCCTGGAAGAGAGGGTCCTGACTCCCCTTCTCCTGCCACCACCCCTCTAGACCGGCCACAACCTCCTAGCAAGCCCGTGGTGCAGCAGGAGAACGTCCGGGCACGCAGCGTGCTGCTGTCATGGGAGCCGGGCAGCGACGGGCTGTCCCCTGTACGCTACTACACCGTCCAGACGCGGGAGCTGCCCAGCGGCCCCTGGGCGCTGCACTCGGCCTCCGTGAGCCACAATGCCTCCACCTTCATCGTGGACAGGTGAGGCAGGTCTGCACTGGCCCCTCGCAGCTGGGGCAGCTCCGTCGAGGGGTCCCAGGTGGGGTGCCGGGGGACGGGGACAGAACACCCCAGAGCTGTCTTCCAGAGCTGGTGCTGCACAGGAGATTCCTGTCCACTGGTCCCTTCCAGCTCTGTCGCTCCTACCTTCTCTCCCTCTGGAACTCTGGCAGGGCTGCCTCTGTTCACCTATTTCTGGGGCCCAGAAGCCCCCCACTCACCCCCCTGAGCAGCGTGCAGTCTGTTGTCCCTCGAGGGTCCTCCTCGTCTTGAACAGGACAGCGGGGCTGGAGAAGAATCCTGTGGCCCTCCCTGTCCATTGTGATTGTGACTTGGCTCTCCATTCCCCTCCCCTGCCTCCAGCAAATCAAAAAAGAGGAGGCAGGGAGGACAAGGGTCAGCAGCTAGGGGTGGGCGGGCAGCGTGCTGGGAAAGGGGCAGGCTGGAGCCTTGGATGCTTCTTGGCCCTCTGACATGGACCTCACGGGGATCGAGTCGGGGAGGCCTGGTCCCAGACGGCCCCTTCATTGCAGAGTTCCTGTCTGAGCCTCCATGTTCCTGTGTGTGTGTTGGGTTGGCACCTTGTCTCTTCCGACACAAGGATGGACCTGGACCGTGAGGCCCTGTGGAGGAGGCACGGGGAGAGGTCCTCGGGGAACACTCGGTTCTTAACCCTCATCCCCACTGCCGTCCTCTCCCCACCCAGGCTCAAGCCCTTCACTTCCTACAAGTTCCGAGTGAAGGCCACCAACGACATTGGGGACAGCGAGTTCAGCGAGGAGTCGGAGTCGCTGACCACCCTGCAGGCCGGTCAGTCCTTCTCCCTGGGAGCTCACTCCTGGGCCCCTGGGTGTTCTCTTCAGAGGGAGCGCCAGGCCTGCAGGCACCTCTGGCTCCCCAGGCAGCATCCTGGGGGTAGGGAGGGGAGGCTGGGCCCAGGCAGCAGAGTCCCCTCCAGGCTGAGACCACAGAGGTGAACGGGGCTGTGACGGGGCAGGGTCACAGCAGTTCAGCAGGCCTGCGGCTCTGGGGACAGCAGAGGGGACTCTAGTTCTTGGGTTTGGACTGGGTCAGGTCGGAGCCCTGGGGCCTGCAGAAGCAAGGCAGTGAGCGTGGAGGGGGGCTGAGGCAGCACCTGCCCTGCCTTCCAGCGTCTGCAGGCTCCGTCCCCGTGAGCTCCCCGGGATCCCGGAGCCCACCCGCCTGCCTCTCTCCACAGCTCCTGACGAAGCCCCCACCATCCTTTCGGTGATGCCACACACCACCACCTCTGTGCTAATCCGCTGGCAGGTAGGACCCCCACAGGTCCCCCAGTAAGCTTCGCTCTGGGGGCAAGGCCGCCTGCCTCCCCCAGGTCTGCCTCTGACCCCGGAAGCACCTGGGACAGATCAGGGGCTCTAGACATGTGCTTGTCACAGAACATTCCAGGCACACACATGCTCATCCCTCATCCCACTGACCAGGGACCACTTCCTGCAGAGATGACCCAAGCCCCAGGAAGAGTGGCCATGCAGCTCGTGAGCGCCACGGTCTAGTTTACTTTTTGTTTAAGACCTATTTATTTTTATTGGAAAGGCAGATTTACAGAGAGAAGGAGACACAGAGAGGTCTTCCATCTGCTAGTTTACTCCCCAAGTAGCCACAAAAGCCGGAGCTGAGCAGATCTAAAGCCAGGAGCCAGGAGCCTCTTTCGGGTCTCCCACGCGGAGACAGGGTCCCAATGCTTTGGGCCGTCCTTGACTGCTTTCCCGGGCCACAAGCAGGGAGCTGGAACAGCCAGGATGTGAACTGGCGCCCACACAGGAGGCTGATACTGATGGGTGGAGAATTAGAACGTTGAGCCACAGCACTGGCCGCAGGGCGAGCTTATTAACTTCTGATCTGTGTGGGGCCTCCAGGGTTTCCGGGACCCCCATAAAGTCCATGCATCCTTCACCAGGAGCCATACCATACTCCGGCACCTCCAGATGTTCTGCTGTGGCCCTGGGACCACCACAGGGGGCCCTCAGAGGCCAGGCGGCCCCTCATCTTTCAGCACCTTTCTGTGCTCACCAAAGTCTAGCCTGGGCTTCTGCAGGCCACCCTATCCACATCTGATGTTTGGGGACCAGGGGCAGGTGCGTGCCTTTAGTCACTTGCAGTTTCCTGGCCCTCCCCCAGGCTATGAAAATGCCCCACGGGCCCGGCGCGGTGGCGCAAGTGGTTAAAGGTCCTCGCCTTGCACGCCCGGGATCCCATATGGGCGCCGGTTCTAATCCCGGCAGCCCCGCTTCCCTTCCAGCTCCCTGCCTGTGGCCTGGGAAGGCAGTCGAGGACAGCCCAAAGCTTTGGGAACCTGCACCCGCGTGGGAGACCCGGAAGAGGCTCCTGGCTTCGGATCGGCATAGTATCGGCCCGTTGCGCTCACTTGGGGAGTGAATCATCGGACGGAAGATCTTCCTCTCTGTCTCTCCTCTCTGTATATCCGCCTTTCCAATGAAAAAAATAATAAAAATAAATTTAGAAAAAAAAAAAAGAAAATGCCCCAGACGTGCTGTGGGCAGATCAGGGCCAGACTGGCAAGGAGGTGCCGCTGGCAGCGGGCAGAGAGCTCATCAAAGGCTACGCTGGTCCTGCAGAGCTGTGAAAGAGCCGGTGGGCTCTCCCGCTTAGCCGGGGATGCAAGCTGAAGTCAAGGGCAAAGTGATGAGGGGGCTGGGAACAGCAGCCCCCCCCCCCCAACAGACGCAGGGTCTGTGGAGTCTGAGATCCCGGACAAGGAGGCAGGTGTGAGGAGAACAGAACTCCTGGGGCCACTGTGTGTCCTGATGGGGCTTCAGGCCTCCACAGGGCTCTGTGACCTTGCACAGGCTCCTTAACCTCTCTGTGCCCCTGGTACAGGGCGATGGCCTTGGGGGCTTCTGAATACCCACTGAATGGATGAAACACTCGCTCCACGTGCTTTGCAAATTCCTCTGTCGTGATGCCTGTCCTTGGCCATGACACACAGCTCTGTGCGTGCGGGAGGCGTGCAGGGATGGAGAGCGGCTGGGCCAGGGCCCCTCGCCATCCCCTGCTGCTTCTCCCACAGCCGCCAGCCGAGGACAAGATCAACGGCATCCTCCTGGGCTTCCGGATCCGGTATCGGGAGCTGCTCTACGAGGGTCTGAGGGGCTTCACACTTCGAGGCATCAACAACCCGGCAGCCAAGTGGGCGGAGCTCACCTGTGAGTGACACTGGGGGAGAAGGCGGGCTTGGGGTGGGGACAGACACTCTCCCCTCCCTGCTCTGGATCTTGCTGGAATTCTCTAACCTGAACCTCTGTATGTACCCCTCTCCCTTGGGTGCTGCTGCCTGAGCTCCGCCCTCGTTCCCCAAGTCACTGAGGGACCCGAGGACCCCCGCCTGCCCTCTTGGACCCTAAAATACATGGACAGACCCCCATGGCCTTAGGCAGCGGGAGAGAAGGGAAATATAGCACAGTCCAGACCAGGGTCGGGACAGGCCTCTGTGGCCTTGGCCTTGGCCTCAGTGCTCCCAAGGCGAAGGGTGAGGAGGCCCCAGGGTTAGGCTGCACAGCGGAGTTAGCGACTCAGTGTCAGGAGGGCCACTTGGGCAGAGGTGACAGGTGGCATGGCTGCAGGGCAGTGAGGGGGAATGGGAGGAGAGGGCATCGTCCTGCTGGTTTGTGGAGGAGAGAGGGTAGCAAGCAGGATGGAGGGAGGGTCCGGAAGGTGGGGTGCCCAGGGACGAGAGGGAGTCGTTCCTGTACCCCTGACGCCTCCTCCCAGGCCACCCCCGCCTCCTGGGCCTGGTCTCCCGGCAGGCAGCCGAGAGCAGGGATGCAAAGCGGGCTCGTAGGACCAGCTCCAGGAGCGGTCCACAGGCTGCGTCGTTACAATGCCTGCTCGTGCTAGTGGCTTGCTGTCGCCTGTGAGTCGTGCGGCCAGCTTTACTATCTCCTTGAGGTTTCTAACTCCTTGGAGGATGTTCACAACCCCGGTGTTACATGGTGGCTTTTCCCAGGAGTGCCACTCAAAACAAGTGGTCCTCCAGAGCTGACCCCAATGATGCCAGGCTCCCCAGGGCCTCCAGACACCCGTAACCTGCCCTCCCCCGCTCCTGCCCAGGCCTCCCTCTGCCTACCCCTCCCCCCCACTTGGGGGTCTTTGTTGGGGGGGCCGGGGAGGGTGTCACACTAACCTCCTCTGTCTGCTGTCTCCCGGCCCCTCCGCCTCCCTGGCCCCTTAGCCCTGTACGCCACACGGAACCTGAGCCGACCCGGCCTCACCCAGTACGAGCTAGACAGTAAGTCTCCTTGCATGGTGGCCCAGGTCCCCACCGCCGCTGTGTGGCTGGAGAGCGGGCACCGGGACGCCTAAGCCCTGCCCCTCTTGCCCCAGCTGTTCTCACCCCACGGTGCCTTAACCCATGGGACTTTGCCCAGTGGCATGAAGAAGCAGGTGGTGACCAGGGTCCTGAGTGTGGGAGTGCAGCCTTGTGCTGGGGGGGTCACTGGGGATGATGGCAGAGGGGCGGTGCCACAGGACAGGTGGGCGGGCCACAGGCTGGCTCTGGCTCCCCGTTTTTGCCAGCCTGGCTGTCCCAGGGGATCTGGTGCCAGTTCTTATGAGACACAGCTCTCCTGGCGCCCAGATGTGGCCCTGTGCGCAGGTAGAAGCTGTACTGGCTGGATCTCATTTGGCCTCCTGCACATGCCTTCTGATTAAGCTGGGGTGGGACTCCCCACCCCCTAGTTAGGACTCCCTCCTGCCAGGGGAAGGAGCAGGAAGAGGCCCACAGAGAGGCGAGCAGAGATGGGAGGGACCTTGCCACCTGCCCCTCCAGGGTGTGCAGCTGCCCGCTCCAACGTCTTGCCAAGCATCCTCACACGTGTGCCCAAGCGTAGCAAATACCTCTGCCCTCCCAGGTGGCTCTGCCCAGCATGGACAGTGGTCTGTGTGTCCCGCTGTTGCTCACGCCTGAGCAGGCTGAGACAGTGACCTGTGTGTGTGCCCGCTGTCACCCACAGACCTGAACAAACACCAACGCTATGAGATCCGGATGAGTGTGTACAATGCGGTGGGCGAGGGACCCCTCAGTGCTCCCCAGGAGGTCTTTGTTGGGGAAGCCGGTGAGTCCTGCAGGAAAGACCCTTGTCCCACCCCACCCCCTACACCTCTCTCCTGGGTCCCTCAGTCACCTGTCACCCTTCCACCCTCCAGTCCCCACCGCAGCACCCCGCAGCGTGGCTGTCCACGGTGCCACAGCCACACAGCTAGATGTGACGTGGGAGCCACCGCCACTGGAAAACCAGAATGGAGACATCCAGGGGTATAAGGTATGGGGCCCAGCAGGGGTGCTGGGCAGCGCAGGAGCCCGTGGGTGACGGGCTGGGCTGTTGGAACACAAGGCACAGAAGGACTGCACCTGTAGCCACACTGCCACCCCTCCTCACCCCTGCCTCGCCAAGGTGGGCTGTTGGATACAGAGACCTGGCCGTGTCTGAGCAACGCACCCCCACCAGCCGCTCCCCTATCCGTGACCCAGAGAGGCAGCTGGGGGGTGATGACATGTACATGCGAGGGCTAAACTAGTCAGACTGGCAGAGAGCAGAAAGGGTAGTTGCTGAGGGCCTGGGGGTCTGGGGGGCCGGGGGAGACATTGACTGAAGGGGGCTGAAGTTTGTTCACACTGTCATTTTGTGGTGCCCGTGCATGTGTGTCAAACACCAAGGGGTATTCCTTAAGTGGACAAGATCGGTCAGTCAAACCTCCTAGGGGCCGGCGCTGTGGTGTAGCAGGTTAAGCCACCAAATGCGATGCTGGCAACCCATGTGGGCACAGGTTCAAATCCTAGCCACTCCACTAATGATCCAGCCCCCTGCTGATGCTCCTGGGACGGCAGTGGAGGATGGCCCAAGTGCTTGGGACCCTGCACCCACGTGGGAGTCCTGGAAGAAGGGCAGCGGGTGGACAGCAGTGGATGCCACGTAGTGATTGTAATGCTATGCAGGACATCATTCTCCCAGCAAATACTCAGTTCTTCAGCACCAACAGTGTGCCAGGCGGGTGTCCATGCTGCAGGGCCCTGGGCCCTGGCAGCTTGGGGTCTGGGCTCAGCCCCTCCATGCACTTGGCACAGAACCCCTAACTGCTGATGACCATCTCACAAAGGCCTCCTGGACTCGGGACAGTCAGGATGCACCTGCTAACAGCATCTTGCTCACGTACCTGCTGCCTTGGTTCCTGGGGCCTGACCACACCCCTCCCTGGTGGAGGATTCCTCTCATGAGCATAGCAGAGAAGCCTTGTCACTTAACCCATCCTCCCGCTGTCCCCGTGTCTGCGGTCGGCTCCTCAACAGACTCCGTGCTCGCCAGTTCCCATCCTCTTCTCAAACCCAACCCAGGAAGCCGCTTCTGCCCAGGTCATCAGTTGCCCTTTACCTGCCCACCATCAGGTGCCAGGCCCCATCCCGCTGACCTGAGGCAGTGTTTGACACGTGGGTCTCCATCCTCCCTCCAACCCCTCATGCTGGAGATCCCAGGATTCCACCCTGGACCCTCTCCTCAACTTCAATGAATGCACTCGCCCTCAAATCCAGATTTTGGGTTGGCCTTGACCTTGCTCCTGTGCACCAAAGCCAAGGGAGGAAATGAGTGCGTTACTCCCAGCTCTCATCTGCGCACAGGAGCCGTCTGTCATTAACAGGGTTAGTGAGAGAAAGCAAGGTGGATTACTTCTCACCCTGGTTATCTTCTGAGAAACTGAAAAGCATGTAACGTGCAGAAACCTCCATGGCCAGCAGATGGCGCCAAATGACCTCCCATCCCCTACCGGGTCTGGGACCAACAGGTTTCTTGTGTTCAGAGCCTGAGTTGTCCTATGGGACAGGACCTATGGGTTCCCCCAGGAGCTCCGGGGTGAGGGCTGATGGCGCCCCATACTGTGCTGACCCACGAGCATCGCCCCATGGCCTTGGCTGGGGGAAGAAAGGTTCTGGAAGGGCCTGTAAACCTCACAGCATCAACGATGACTCCAAGACCCAGCTTGCATAGAGGCAGGAGGGAAGAGGGAATGGACAGGGGGGGGTCTCCATGCCACTCACCCCCATGCCCTCTGTCCCCACAGATTTACTTCTGGGAGGCTGAGCGGCGGAACCTCACAGAGCGGGTGAAGACGCTCTTCCTAGCCGAGAACAGCGTCAAGCTCAAGAATCTGACCGGCTACACCACCTACATGGTCAGCGTGGCAGCCTTCAACGCCGCGGGCGACGGGCCGCTGAGCGCCCCTGCCCGGGGCCAGACCCAGCAAGCAGGTGCAGTAGGGTGCTGGGTCCCGGTTGCCCCACACCTCCACACACTGAAGACCCCAGGCGAGGGACAGTGCAGCTGGCAGGACGGCCAAGCGCGTGAGAGCACCCGGGCAGGCCAGCCTCGCCAGCCCCCTGCCCCCCCCGCCAGCCCACCTCCTCCCTGACTACTCAGGACCCTACTGAGGGTCCTCTGAGAGCCCGCCCAGCTTCACGCTGGGGACAGAGCACTGAGCAACATCCCACTGTAAGGAATGGGCAGATGGTGAGAGCATGGGGGTCGGTCGGAGAAGGGGAAGGGAGTGGGGCGGAGGGGTGGTGGGTGGCTCGGGGTAGGTTTACCCACAAAGACCCCATCAAGACCATGATTTCAGAGCTGAGGTTTAAGTGAGGAGGAGAGGCTGGCTGTGGAAAGTTTTAGAATGACATGCAGGTGGAGGAATGTTCTGGACAGTGGGACCAAGAGGTGCCCAAGGCCTGGGTGCTGGAGGAGCTTAGCGGGGTCAGTTGGAGCCGGGGGTGGCGGGGAGCCTGCAAGGGGGACAGGAGTCGGGTCACCGAGGGCCTGGGGTTAAACGGAATGTGAGTGACCCAGTAGCTGGATCTGGTGGCAGAAGACAGAGCAGGAGGGGAGAGGGGAGGGCAGAGGAGGGGTGCCGAGCAAGTTCTGCTTCCTGGGCCACCCACCCACCCATCCACCAGGGTCCTGCTGGGGCTGGCGGGAGCCCACTCCGGCAATGTCTGTGCCTGGCCGTGAGCCCAAGGGAGTCGGAAAGTTTCTGTTGCTGTGGCAACAGGACAGCGCGTTCTGTCCCACATCCTGGGCTCAGGGGAGGCAGGAAAGAACTCCCCCCCCACCCCCACTTCCCCGGGTCTTCAAAGTCAGCTAACACTGCCCCCAGGCTGGAGCCGGAAGCTGGTCTGGATCGTCTTTGTCCCCTGCAGAGGCTCAAAACTGGGCAGGAACAGGCCAGCCTCCCTGCCAGAGGCCGCCGCCTCCCCTTCCTCTCAGTGGGACCCCGAGGAGGGGTCCTGCCCCATGTCCCACGTGTCAGGGCCCTCTCTCCCCACACCACCCAGCAGGTTCTGGCTGCCTGTGACTGGCTCCCGTGTGGGCCACGTTCCCTGCAACTCCTTTCATGCCCACCTGACATTCCGCGGTCCAGACACCTCCCGCCTTCCCTCTGCCCACACAGGGGAGCCCAAAGATGGACTCCAGCTTAGCCAGGAAATGGCCTTGACCCACCGTGACCCTGGGGGTATAACAGCTTGTCCCACCAGCCAGGGCCGCTGAGCAGTGGGAAGTCTGAATCCCGCAGCTCGTGGAGAAATGCCACATCCTTGTCTCCCAGCTCTACAGACTGTGACATGAGTGTGCTGACCCCACGGGAGTGGGGGAATGGACCCCCGTGACTGCAGTGACCCCTCCCACTGGCCTCTTATAGGAAAATCTGCTCTCTTGTTCATTCTGGGCCTAGGCCCGGACACTCCTGCTGGCTCCTTGGCGCAGAACCAGCCTTTCTTTGAGAGACTAACAAAAATCCCTCGCTGTTTCTGCAGCCCCAAGTGCTCCCAGCTCAGTCAAGTTCAGTGAGCTGACCACCACATCCGTGAACGTGTCCTGGGAGGCCCCGCAGTTCCCCAATGGCATCCTGGAGGGCTACAGGCTGGTGTACGAACCGTGCACCCCCGTGGATGGTGAGTTGGCATCATTCACTGTGCCACAAAGCTCTCACGCAGGGTGCTGTCAAGTGGGCTTCCCTTCCTTGAGCCCCCTTCCTCGAGGCCGTCCCCACGTCCAGGCTCCCAGCCTGGGACATCAGGCGTTCCCCATCTTTCTACTCCAAAGGGCTGCCCAGCCATAGCTACCGGGTATGAGCTGCTGTAGGCACTGGGGTGCAGCCAGGCCCCAAGGGGTGCCCTGAGGGCAAAAGATGACCTGACCTTGGGGACAGGGACTCTCCTCTCCTCCTCAGTCTGTCCCCAAGAGCAGGGGCGGAGTCCCAGGGTCCTGGCCATCGTCCTGGGCCCACGGAAACAATGACCCTCAGTTCCCCATGCCGAGAAGCAGTAGGACAGGTCCAGGGCCTCGGGCCAAGGTCACAGAGACACTAGGCAAGGCAGAGTTCCGGACACCTCCCTGCCTTGAGAGATGAGACAGAAAGGAGCAGGTGCCCGGAGTCCCTGCTGACCAGGCACCCTGCCTCTGCAGCATCTCTGTCACCCATGCCCTTGCTCCTGCCACCTGCCAGAGGTGAAGGAAGAGCCATGCTTGAAGCCCCCTGGGATCCAGACCCCTCAGCACCCCTGCCCCCAACCCTCACAGCCTGACTGTGTCTGTCCCTGGTGGCACGTGCACCCTGCAGATATGGGACACAGAGCCCGGTCCCAGGGGAGGTTGTGGTAAGATGGGTTTGGATCCTGAGGCACAGTGCGAGCTCCACCTCCTGGAAGCCCTCCAGGTAATCCCCTCTCACTGGGTGTTGGGATTCTCCCCACTTTGCCTGAGTAAGCTTGGTTGTGCAGGGCAAAGGGGCAGCTGGGGTGGCGGGGGGACAGTGTCCAGGACACAGCTCATCTCAGCCCTATAACCAGCAGGACCCTCATCTCGCCCCTGTAAACAGCTTCTGGGACCCTGTTCTGCACTCGGTGTAGACAACTCGGCTATGTGGGCTCCTGCAGGGAGGCCCCTCCCCCAGGACCCCTCCCTTACAGACCCCCTCGCTGTGTTTGCCCCAGGGGTCAGCAAGATCGTGACCGTGGACGTGAAGGGAAACGGCCCTCTGTGGCTGAAGGTGAAGGACCTGGCAGAGGGCATGACCTACAGGTTCCGCATCAGGGCCAAGACCTTCACCTACGGGCCGGAAGTCGAGGCCAACGTCACCACGGGCCCAGGAGAAGGTAGGGGATGCTGTGAGTCGGGGGGGCATGGCCTAGGCATCCAGAGCAGCAGTGGGCACAGTGTGGGTGGGAGTGTGCCAAGCTCACCCCTCCCTCTGCCTGCCCAGTCCTCCCTCTGCCTGCCCAGTCCTCCCTCTGCCTGCCCAGTCCTCCCTCTGCCTCCCCAGTCCTCCCTCTGCCTCCCAGTCCTCCCTCTGCCTCCCAGTCCTCCCTCTGCCTGCCCAGTCCTCCCTCTGCCTGCCCAGTCCTCCCTCTGCCTCCCCAGTCCTCCCTCCGCCTCCCCAGTCCTCCCTCCGCCTGAGTCCCAGGCCTTGGTTCTTCGTGCAGCACAGGGCACACCCCCTCAGCTCCGGTTCAAATGCCTCTCCTCGCCTCCACCTGCTCCCCGGGCTGGCCACACCTCACTTTCCCTTTCTGCTCACTTTCTGTCGCCAGCCTCTGCTTGAGCACAGAAGCCACACAAACAAAGCCGGGGAAACTTGCCTCGGGCCTGCCCTGCACCTGCCCCTGCGCAGTTCACCTGAGCTGACTTCCCTGTGAGACAAAAGCAGGAAGAGAGAGCTGGCCCTTGGCAGCGCCTAGGGGCACAGGAGAGGGTTGCCGAGGGGACAAGCTGTTCTCACTCCAGACTGGCAGTGTCCCAGGCTGGGCTGGAGGCGATGAGGGAGGAAGAGAGGGGGGCAGGAAGCATGGAAGGAGAAGTAGCGGGCATTCAAGTGTAGCCAGGCGGGGTCTACAGCAGCTGGACACCGTGGAGGCTTCTGGTCCCGGAGGAGATAGCAGCTACCCCTTCCCCCCAGCTCTGAGCCTTGTCCAGGGTACAATGGGCCACCCCTTCCCCTCCAGGATTCCCTGTATACCCAACCCCTCCTTTGCCCCAGGCCTGTGGGCAGGAATCTTGAGAGAAGAAAGAGGTTGAGGTCCTCCCAAGGCCATGAGCCCAGAGGGCAGCTTGTCTTCCCAGAAGGCAGCTTGGTTGCCTGCTCCCTGGCCACTGGCTCCAGAAGCGCCTGCTGCGCTGGGCCTTGGGAATGTCCACTGTGTCCTGGGAAGCGGGAACAGCAGCACATGGCATGCAAGTGCAGCTCTGGGGGCAGCAAGAGTTCAGGGTTGGGGAGGGAGTGCCAGGCTGGCACTGGCCAGGTGCCGCCATAGAGTAGAAGGGACCAGGTCGCTCTGTAGATAGGAACCAGGCTAATGCGTCACAACTTCCTCTGCTGCCCCCTTGTGATGCCCAGCTCCCCTGCTGGCCCACTGCCCAGGCTGCTACCTGCACGTGCCTCCACACCCACTGGCCTAGCTGGCCCGAAGCCCAGGCCTGCCTCCCTGCGCTCCCATGAGGCTCTCCGGGCCTGAGCCCTGCTTTCATCTTCGCAGTTAGGACAGGAGAGAGATTGGGGGGACCCTTCAGCAGCCCCTATAATCTGTCCCGCATCTGTGGGCCCAGCTGCTATCCTCACAGCCACCTCACTGTCCTGTGGTGCATCCTTCAAGCCCTGCCACCCCAGTGGGCCTCCCAGTTGGGGACACTGTGATATACTGGAAGTCCCCATGCCCGGAGCAAAGGGCTCCAGGTCCCCTGGCTCACCCCAAACTTCATTACCCTGGGACTGGGAAAGACTGTTGATTGACCCGAGGAAGCAACAGCCAGCTCCAGGCGTGCTCCATTGAGACTCACTTCTGGGCGTGTCAGGAACAGGCTGACTGACGGTGTGGCCTTCCTGGATCCCTACCCATGTCTTGCCCACCGTGTCCCATGTGTGCAGGGGCCCCAGGACCTCCGGGAGTGCCCATCATCGTGCGGTACAGCTCTGCCATTGCCATCCACTGGTCCAGCGGAGACCCCGGCAAAGGGCCCATCACCCGCTACGTCATAGAGGCCCGGCCCTCAGGTGCGTGTGCCCCACCCTGGCGAGGCAGCAACTCCCCTGGTCACTCCCCACCCTCCAACCCCCGCTGCTTCCCAAGTCCTCACACGGGAGTGGGGGAGGGGTGGAGCATGCTGCCTCAGCAAGCCTGGTAACACTGCAGATGGGAGGAGAGGTCCCAGCAGGCAGTGAGAAACGGGCCCGGGCTGCTGTCGGGGTCAAGGCACACCCACACACCCACAAGGCTCCCGGAGGGGCCAGGTGAAGGCCAGCTGGAGTGAAGGACACTCCGGAAGCCAGAGGGAACCCCCGGAGTGGTACATGCCGCATCCGCTGTGGGGGCACAGCTCAAGATGCCCAAAGCAGCCGGCCCTGTCAGCCGCCTCTTTAGGCCTCGAGCTGCCTTCAGGCTGTCCACACAGTTCCATAACTGTACCCGCCTTCCCTGTCACAGCTGGGATCTAATCGCTAGAGATCCAAGGCCATTAGCAGCCGGGTGACCGATAAGTCACTCAGAGGCCACTCTCCACTCCTGCTCCCACACCCCAGCCTGTCTTCCTGACACCTGTTCCCCAGCTCCGCTTACTCCAACAGCAAGGAGCTGGAGGCGTGGTCCGTGTGTTCCACGGCTCTGTGGTTAGGCAATTGAGATGTAGAGCGGGGATAAAAGAAGACTTTATGTCTCTAATCCCCGTAACAAACCATAATGGTAATGGGAAACAGTGAGTAGTTCATGGTTCTGATGGAGAACCGTGTGTGTCAGCTTGATTCTCCGGGTTGGGGGGGGGGGTGGACTGCTTGTCGCCATGGCAGTTCATGGTTGTAGTCACTCCTGGAGGCCGTTGTTGGCACCTTGCTCTAACCCCCGCCATTGCAAATCTCTCATCCACCTAGTGCCTCGTTGTGGCCGGAGGTATGTGGGCAGGGTTGGCATGCGCCCTCTCCAGATGGTCCCTGCCCAGGCTCCCAGGCCCGGCTGCCCAGTTGGCCAGGAGACCACCGCATGCTTCTCCCAGCCAGGCCCGTGCTCCGAGCTGGCCGAGCAGGTGGCAGGCTGTGGAATGTTGGCCTCAGACCACAGCACTCTTGATTTTTTTTTTTTCCCCCTATTCTCCCCCACCCTGCCCACATCACCACGTGAGACCAACAAGTGTGTGCCAACAAGCTTGGGAACCATGACTTGGTCTACACAGGCGGGATCAAGACAGCATAGAAGGAAGGACCAAGCCAGGAAGGGCCAGGAGTTAGCGACAAGGACAAGGGAAGAAAGGCAGTGAGGAGAGGCTGGTGGGCCGGTGGGCCTGTGGGCCGTCCCCTCTGGGCCCCCACCACTTCCTCTGTGCTGCTCCCATCCCTCTGGCTGCATAGCCTCATGTCTGGGTGAGGAGCTCTGGTCCAGCTCCATGTTCTGCGTTGTTTGTGCTTGGTGCTGCGTGAAGCAAACTCAGCATGCCCTCTGGGGTGCAGCCAGGGATCTGCCTGGGATTTGCAGGTCCGTGAAAACTGTCCCACACATCAGCTAACCCCAGGGCCCCAGCGGGGCATTCCAGCAGCTTCTGGCCTAGCCCTGCTCTTGCCCCGGCTTCACCCTTTGTGGGGGGTGGAATGAGTGTGGGTGGTGTGTGGGAGCAGGGAGGTGTTTGTTAAACAGCAGGCAGGGAGTCCCTAGCTTCTGGAAAGTAGCAGCAGGGTCTTCAATGGGCTGAGCTCATCTGGAAAATTCCAGTTCAGCTCCCAATTGTACACAGCACTGGACCAAGCACCCAGGAAGAGTTCAGAGAGCCGGCCAGCCTTACTTGGAGACGCGGGCTCTGCCCCTTGGAGCAGTGTGAGTCTGGGAAGACATTAGGTGCTCTTGGGACCTTGGCTTTCTCATCTGTAAGAGGGGACAATAATTCCTCCCTTTTTTTTTAACAATTGTTTTTGCAAGGTCAATATAATACAATTGAAAGATATTTATTAATGCATTCATGTTCCTGCCCTTTGGAGCTAAACATCCCCCTGAACGATTCTCTTTTTGGGCCTGGAGTCATTTCGTTCTGGGAAGATCCTTGACTTGAAACACCTGCTTTCACTGTGTATGTAATAGGTGTACTGTGCATATAAAAACAGATACATTTATTTGAAAGGCAGAGTTACAGAGCGAGCGAGCAATCTTCCATCTACTGCTTTATTTCCCAAGTGACTGCAACAGCCAGAGCTGGGTCCGTCTGAAGCCAGGAGCTTCTTCTATGTGGGTGCAGGGGCCCAATCACTTGGGCTAACCCCCATTGCTTTCTCAGGCTTTTAGCAGGGAGCTTGATCAGAAGTAGAGCAGCCAGGACTCAAACCAGGGCTCATGGAGGAAAGGGCTCATATTGGGGAAGGGGTGGGAGGGTGTATCCTGCAGGGTGGTAGGGACTTTCTGTTCCCTGGTGGTAGCCGCCCACGGAAAGGACCTCCATGGTGATGAAGGCGCAGCCCCCATGGGACCCTGTCTCCTGGGACCCATGAAGAAGACCCCTGACCCAGGCCTAGAGTGGCTGACCCTAAACTCCGCTGACACCAACAGGAAGTCCCACCCCTGTCAGGGTCCAGGGCTGGGCTCTCCAGGATCCTCCTGGAGCACCTGGTTAGGGTCCCTCCCTCCGAGCCTTGCTGTCACCATGGCAACACTACTATGCCCTGATGACGGTGCTACATCTTCTCTTGCACAACCAACACCTCACCCCCAGACAAGGCCCAGCGATCTAGGGATGGACAAAGAGCCACTTAGCCTCCCATTTGTTCTCCGTGACACCAGGAGGCAGCGGAACGCACGGAGCTGACCATGCGCAGCTCAAGCGTCGAGTCCGCTGCCCTGGGTGGTGGACACGTGACACATTGCGACATGTCCAAAAGTGACTGAAATTTCAGTCTTTGGGACTCGAGTATGTGCAGGTGTGGGGAGATGTCTCAGCGAGGGGACACAGCATTGGGTCATCAGCCTTTACACAGCGCAGAAATCGGTTCGTTGGCGTGGCATTGGCTGTTGGTGCCTACATGGGTTTGGCAGCGTGGTCCTTTCAGACGTTTAGGCTAGATAGGCTCAGCCCTGACTGGGTTGGCGGTTATAGCATCTTCTGCACGGTGCATATTTTTAAATACAACACAGATACTCAAAAAGCCTCAAGTGGACCATGCAGAAGTGTTGACTTTTGACCTGAGGCTTAGCGAGTGTTTAGGTGTCCTGCCGGGCAGCATTGAGCAGCACTGCCGTCAGTGAACGGCAAGCTTGGGGTGCGACTCGAGACCCCACTTCTGTGACCTGACAGATGAAGGCCTGTGGGACATCCTCATCAAAGACATCCCCAAGGAGGTGAGCTCCTATACGTTCAGCATGGACATCCTGAAGCCGGGGGTGAGCTACGACTTCCGGGTCATCGCCGTCAACGACTACGGCTTTGGCACCCCCAGCAGCCCATCCCAGTCCGTGCCAGGTATACCAGCCTCTGTGGGGAGCGGGTAGAGGAGTGGCCCCAGAGCAGCTGAGACATTGGGGCACCAATGCAGTGTTCCCCGATGTTCAGAAGCAATGAGTGTTGAGGTTGGGACCAGAGCCAGCTGGGGACCTCAGATCTTTGAGGTGTCCCTTCCAGGACTCCTGACACCTCAGAGGCTTCACTTCTCTAAACCCTTGACCCCAAATTCCACCACTAACTCTGCCTACTGGGGCCCCACCACCAAGGCACAGGTGCAACTCTAAAACAGCTGCTCCATTGAACAGGTCCCTTCCCTACCCTCTACCCCCATGCCCAGATTGATGGGCCCAAACAGCACTGATATGGAAGAGCCAACCACGTGGATTAGCTGTGCTGGGTGTAGAAAACCCAGCAATGGGGGCTTGAAAGACGGGAGGCCTTCTAAAGACACAGCTTTCCTCCCAGCTGCCCCTGCAACTTATCACCAGGTCCAGTCCAAGCAGACCCTGGGGAGAAGGCTTTCTCAGGCCACTGGAGGCCAGAAAAACACCTTTATTTTGGCCCCACCTGCCTAGGATGGGGACCTGGGGGGGGGGGCCGGGGGAGCTGAACTCCCTGGCTCTGATACCTGCCTGTGTGTCTCAGCCCAGAAAGCTAACCCCTTCTACGAGGAGTGGTGGTTCCTGGTGGTCATCGCCCTCGTGGGCCTCATCTTCATCCTGCTTCTCGTCTTCATGCTCATCATCCGTGGCCAGAGCAAGAAGTACTCCAAGAAGACGGACTCAGGTGAGTGAACTGGTCCCTAGTCCTGCTGCCTGCCTCCCTGCTGAGCAGGGAATGTCCCTTGCAATGCAGCTGCGCTGACAAGTGGGCCAGCCTAGGGTGCCTACACACAGGCAGGTGGGCCAGCCTAGGAGACCTACAGAGTCCCCACCTCTTAACCTGGTCTCAGCTCTACTAAGAGAGATGGACAGAGTCCAGCAGGGTTGGGGGAAGGAAGGAAGGAATTGTGGGGCCAACAGGGATGGCCACATGGTCTAAAGGTATGATTGATTCCTCCCTTCGCCCTTGCCAGGGAACAGTGCCAAGTCTGGAGCCCTGGGCCATGGGGAGATGATGAGCTTGGATGAAAGCAGTTTCCCTGCCCTGGAACTCAACAACCGACGCCTGTCTGTCAAGAACTCCTTCTGCCGGAAGAATGGCCTGTACACCAGGTAGCGAAGGGCCCTGTGCACGGCGGCCAGAAGCCGGGGGGTCCTGGGGTGCACCTAGCAGTGCCACCTGACCTTCAGCTGTCCTGGAGAAGCCGGGGCAGGGCCCAGGCAGCACGGCCCAGGCAGCACAACCCAGTGGTTGCTTGGGTTGGGTCGAGCCAGACCCGGCCACCGTGAGGACAAATTCACTGAGAGGTGGGTCCTAGGTGTCCCTGCAAGGACAGAATATGGCTACTTTGCAGTCCAGGACCAAGGTCAGATGGCCAAGTGCTCGCCGGTGGCTGCTGTGTCCTCCCTACATCCTGTGTGTACAGGAAGTGCCCAGCCACCGTAGTCCTTGTTTATACTCAGCGGGGACAAGCTCAGCCATGGTCATTCTCAAAGACAGCTTGCCAAAGAATGCTGGAGCTGGTGGGTGCTTGCCTCCGTGTTTGCTCCTGCCTTCTCTCCTAGCCCAGCCCCCACCTTCCCACCCCTGCTAAGGGCCCCTTCCCTGTGGCCACTAGGCTGCCCACTCCCAAGGACCCAGGGCAGTTGTCGGGACCTCCCAGCCCTGGCTGATCAGAGGTGGCAGTGGGATGCACCCGGGGTTTGCAAAGGCCCAGGGGGACAGCAGCCAGAGGGCCTCGCATCTCCAGCCTGAGATTGATTAACATTCCCAGCGAGCAGAGCCTTCGCGGGTAACTCACAAAGCTGCCCTCTGTCTGGTCGGGGAGGGAGGAAGCGATGTGTGTGTTCATGGGAGGGGTGAGGAGTGAGGGGCAGGCGCTTGCTCTCATTGCCCGCCAAATCTAGCCTGGAAAGAAAGAGCCATTTGAGACAGCAGTGGCAGAGCCAGCTGGGCCCAGCATGGTCACAACAGCCCCGCCAGGCTGGCTCCAGGGCCCTGCCGCATGGAACAAGGGGGCAGTATGACCTACCCTGCTTGTGTGTGCGCGTGCGTGTACACACACACGCATACACACCCAGCCCCTGTGCATCGCCCCCTCTCTCGAGGCTCCTGCGTGTCTCCCCATGTACCGGGAGGTTTCCACAAGTTCATGGAAAATGTATGTTGAGGAAAACTATGTGTGGGTTGTGCAAACTCCCTATTCCAAAAAGAAATTTCTGTGTGGCTCCACAGCCCCGGGCCCAGGCACTGCCGCAGGGCCCCCTCCATGGCCCTCCAGCCCCTGTTCCTGTCCCTGCTCCCCTTCCTCCTCCTCCGGGCCCCTCTCTGCAGGGCCCAGGCGTTCCAGAGCGGAAGCAGGAAGGAGGAGGAAGACGGGCTGGAGAGATGCTGTGAGCGGTGCTTCTCCCTGTCTCGCCATGGCCTCCCCAGTCAGCGTTCCCCCGACCCCGGCCCCTGACCTGCTTCTCCACTCTGCACAGGTCCCCCCCCAGGCCCAGCCCCGGCAGCCTCCACTACTCAGATGAAGACGTCACCAAGTACAATGACCTCATCCCGGCCGAGAGCAGCAGCCTGACCGAGAAACCCTCGGAAATCTCCGACTCTCAGGTGAGGTGTGAGCAGGAGAGGAGAGCAGGAGGGGGAGCTGGCCCGGCCCTGAGGAAGGCAGTGGAGACCATGGTTCCCGAGCTGATCATGGGCCTACTGGGGTAAGGGGGTGGCTGTGTTACACAGCCTTCCTCCCTGCCTTGCCTTCCTGGGGCCCTGAAGATTCAGGGGGGCTGCCCAGACAGACCCCCAGCAGTCACAGGGCCCTGGGGCCACCTGCCTCGTTCAGCTCAGGATGACTGAGGCCCTGGGAACCTGCAAGAGCCACCCTCGTGTGCTCAGCCACCCAGCAGCTGCACGTGCAGGGGAAGGCACCGAAGGACAAGGCCTGATCAACCTTGTGCAGAGGGCTACATGGGATCAGAACACACTCCAGAGATGGAGGGCAGAGCTCCTCGGACCCCCAAGAATGGGACCCCACAAGCAAGTCCTGGGTCCATCCGGCTTTGCTTGCTGGGAGCCGGGGTGTCCTGGGTATGTGTAGTCCCAGGCACCTCGGTGTCTCTGTAGCACCATCAGGCTTGGCGCTGGGGCTGTGGAAGCAGCTCTCGGAGGTCAGGCCCGTGGGGCTGAGCTGAGGGCCGGGCGTGCTGCAACCCATCTGCAAACATCAGCTTTCCTAGTGCGAGCGGGGCTAAGGCCTCAGGAAGACAGAGCGTGAGAGAGTGGCCGTGGGTGGCTCAGGCAGGACACTGTCCCCGGTCACACATGGGAGGGCCTGAGAACTTTCTAGTGAGACAGAGTCACCACGCCCTCGGCCCTGGCCGGATGGTTGTTGCTGAAGAAGGGGTCCATGAAAGGGAACTGTGTCCATTCGCTGGGAGAGGAAGGGAAGAGGTGCCAGCAGGAAGTGGGGCTGCTGAGGTGGGCAGCAGGTATCAGGAAGCCGAAGAGCTGGTTATGGGCCCTGTGGACTGAGGGACTTGGCTGGCTAAGGTTTGGCTCAGCTCCAGAGTCACTGATGGGCATGGCAGAGCCAGACAGCCGCGCCCCAACTCTCTGTGTCCCTAAATTGGAATGTGCAGAACCCCTAACCTAGCTTATCCAGGAGCTTGGTGTGGGACACAGCTGCCGCGGCCCCTTAGGATTCACTGGTGGCCCCTTGTTCCGGGCATGTGACCCTCGGCACCACCGTGACGTGGGGGTCCATGGTGCAGGCCCATCACCTTTGGGGTCCTTTCTAGAAGCATGCTTCTTTCTCCCCAAGATGGCCAGTAGCAGCATGCAGATACTACTCAACATAGACAACAGAGGTCTCAGGTACCCCACACCTCCAGGCTGTGGCATAGGCTCCTTGGGCCTTGTTCTCATCTGTCTCCTTCAGGGAACTCCATGTTACCTCTCCCCGTGAATCTGGTCCCTTGCAGGGGCAGGGAGCACCCAGAGTTGTCCTATGGCCATGAGGCTGTGCCAGAGCCTACCAGCCTTGAAAAGGAACCCTCCTGGGCAAGACCCTCTTATTTCTGAAGTTACTCTCCAGGGCAAGGAACCCTGGCTGAGCCATAGATCTGGTGTAATGGGAGGGAGTCCATCCCTCAGAGACTGTTTCCATAGCAACTTGGAACAGAACCTGCTCCTTGCTGGGGTCACTGACCATCCCAGCAGGACAGGCTCTGCCCAGAAGGGTGGGGGTTGGTTCAGAGCAGAGACACACTCAGAGGACAGTGATCCTGGCAGTGAAGTTGTTGTTGAAGAACTCCCCAGCCCACCCCCCAGCAGCCATGTGTGAGTCCAGGGACTCACCACCATCTTCACAGGGCTGCTTGGACCGGGAGACACCGTTGGCACAGCAGCGGGTGGCTGTGGGTTGGGGCAAGAGGCTTAGGTTTGTGTCTCAGCTCTGCCCCAGCCCTTTCTCCACACCAGCCCATCTGTGCCAAGGGGTATCTGAGCAGTGCATTACGTGGGGTGCCATGCAAAGGAATCGGTAGGATAACTTGGGGCTGTTGGTCCCGGGAGGTTATTTGGGACAGCATCAGCTTATAGGTATGGCATCGACCACCCCATCCTCCAACCCCAGGGCACTGTCATTTGGAGGCCACTGTCCAAAGAGTAAATCACTTGCATATATCTGTTGACAGCCCAGCCCTGAGTCCTCAAGCGTCACCAAGAGGATCCCGGGTAGCTTGCACCACCATCCAGCAACTTTGGGGCTCTGCTTTGGGACATCGCTGCAGCTGGATATGCTTGCCCTGGGCTTGTGGCAATAGATGGGAATTTGTGTCTTAACAGCTCACAGGGCCTGGATGTCTTCTTAAGGTGTAGGGGGAAGGGACAGATGCTGGTTCCTCCAAGCTCCTTTGTTTTTTGAAAGATATAGATATTTTTACTTGAAAGTTAGAGGTACAGAGAGAGAAAAAAAAGAATCTCCTAACCACTGGTTTACTCCCCAAATGGCTACAGATGGATGGACTTGGCTCAGTCCATAGCTGGGAACCAAGAGCTTTTTTCCGTGTCACCCATGTGGGTGCAGGGACCCAAGGATTCGAGCCACCCTCTGTTGTGTTCCTAAGCCATTAGCAGGGAATTGGAGCAGCCAGGACTTGAACCGGTGCCCATATGGGATGCTGGTGTTATAGGTAGATTAGCATGTAAGGCCACCACACTGGCCCTCCATAGGGCTTATTTTTTTCCCCCTTTTAAAGATTTTTTATTTTTATTGGAAAGGCAGATTTACAGAGAAGGAGAGACAGAAGATTTTCCATCCACTGGTTCACTCCCCAAGTGGCCACAAGGGCCAGAGCTGAGCTGATTGGAAGGATCCAGGAGCCTCTTCTGGGTCTCCCACACCGGTGCAGGGTCCCAAGGCTTTGGGCAGTCCTTAACTGCTTTTCCAAGCCACAAGCAGGAAGCTGGATGGGAAGTGGGGCAGACAGAACACGAACCAGCGCTCTCTTGTGATCCCAGTGCTTGCAAGGCTAAGATTTAGCTACTGGGCTGTGCAACAATGCTCATTCCTTGAGTGTACTGAGTTCCCAGATGGGACAGAGAAGGGCTTCTGTTCCCCAGGAGTTCCCGAGGGCTGGAAGAGACAAGCCTGGCTTTCCCTCTGATGCCCCCGTAACACACATGGTCAATCCTGCACGTGCAACAAAGCATCTGTGGGGGTGGCCAGGCATCTGCACGAAGTGGCCCTGGAAGTCAGCAGCCCCCCAAAGCCAGGGCCCCACCCCCGCCCCACACTCCAGATCTCCCAAGAGTGAGGGTTGCCTGTGTCGCTTGCTTTATGTTGCAAGTCAGACCACCCAAAGCTCACGCCGTCTGCAGCTGTTTTCCTGTGTGGTGGCTGTAAACACAGTCCCTCTAACTTCAAAACAAACACGCACAGCACACTGTAGGAGATAGGCCATAGCAGGGCTGCTGGAGGGACAGCGGGGAAGGGGGCTGCCGACAGAGGGGAGGAAGAGGCGGGAGAGGCGGCGAGTCTATGGCCTAAGGGATGGAACCTTGCAGACATGCAGCGTGGCAGCCTGTGGATTCCACTTGCAAAATAAGAGTGCAAGTTTGGAAGGGGAATAAATGTATGTAGCACGTAGCTCCTCTCCATACTCAGCCCTTGGCAGTGTCAGATGTGGGGCCCCTCGCAGCTCATTAGAATGGAATTCAGCCTGCAGCAGAAGATGAGAGGGGACAAAGTGGATGGCGCCCACTGACTTATCCATCACCCAGTCAACAACAAGCCAGGACAGACCCCCAGGGGTGTTTGTGAGTGGCGGTGTTTGAGGCACTGGGGCTGTCATGGCCCCTTTCTCAGACTGATGACAAGGAAGAGTGAATGACGGAGCCACCTGCAATACCCTCCCCCCATCACGCGTGTCCTGCCACCTTCTATGTGCCTTGCATGGGCAGGCCCCGCAGGGCACTTGGGAGTGTGAGCATTGGGTCTGTCCCCCCAGCGTAGGGCTCATTTGTTCATTCCTTGGAGTGTTGGTTCGGCAAGTTCCACAGCCACTTGCTGTGCGCCAGCTAAGCAGTGGTAGCAGGCCCCATTTGCATGCTGTGGCTCCAGTAGGGGCAGACCCTTCTCACGGTGACACTGCAGTGTGTCAGGCCACGTGGCAGTGGGTCATCACATGGTTTTGTTCTGCACCTTGTGGCACTGGGGCAGAGAAAACATTGGGAGAAGTCTTCAGGAAAGCCCGGCCACCCCCTGGAGACTGAGAGGGCTGCCTGGGGGAGGTGGCGTTTAGCTGACAGTAAACAAGCTAGGGTTCTGCACAGAGCTGGCTGCAAGGAAGATCCTGTGCTGTGTGCGTCCTCCTCCTGTAGTCTCTGGCCTTTTATTCTCTGTTCGTTCTTGCAGGCTGAGCCAAGGTGCCCACCTCCAGCTTCTCCTGAGCCTGGCCCACAGGGATCCTGGCTACCCAAGCCGTTCCAAATGAGAGACGGGGAGGGCGGAGATCCACACTGAGCACCTGCTCCCACCCCCAGGTGGCTGCAACAGCCAGCACTGTGCCAGACCCAAAGCCAGGTGCTTTACCTGGTCTCTCACTTGGGCCAGCTTCTGCAAGTGCAATAGCAGCCAGCTGGACTGGAAGTGGAGGAGCCAGGACTCAAACCGGTGTCCATATGGAATACCAGCATGACAGGCAGTGATTTTACCCACACCCCCAGACAGAAGCTCAGGATAATTTCCATTTAATAGCTTGGATAACTGAGGCTCACAAAAGCCCTCAGGAGGACTGGGGTTCAGGTGTAGGTTTGGCCTCCCTCAGTGGGCAGAGGTGGACAGGAGAAGCCATCCCTGACCACAGCCCCACCTAGAAGCCTCCCACAGCCGAGAGGAGGACACACGGCCACAGTCACACTACCTGGGCTCCAGGAGTACATGTGATACTGTGCCTGAGCTGAGCGATTTCCAGCTGTCCCAGCCCAAGGAGTGCCAAACCAGGGCCCCTGTGCCCTCCAGCCCAGCCCGGGGACAGCAAGCCAGGTCATTCAGAGATGCATCACCCATATCCCACCTGGTACAGGGGAACCAGGCTCAGGCGCGCGCAGGACTCCAAGCTGGAGCCACTGGGGCCACACATGGGGGATGGGGCCTCCCGCCCAGGCTCCGGACCCAGGGTGGCTTTCCTGCCATCTGGGGCAACAGTTTTGGGAGATCCAGCAAGATAAGGACCCCCTGTCCTCGGTGCAGTTACCAGCTGGGACAGGATGTGAACCAAAAAGCCTTGGCTTTGTTTGCTGCTGCCCCTTTTTGTTGCTGTCTTCTCTTGGAGATGGGGAGTGGTCCTCCTGCTCCCTCCCCATGCCGGTCCTCAAACCTGCAGGCTGCGCTTCCCCTGCCTCGTCCCTGTTAATTGCTGACTGAGTGGCTTTGAGCAGCCCAGGCAGCCCCTGGCCGACCTGCCCAGCAGTCCCTGAAAGGGCCGCTTTGTGCTGGGCCCGGCCCTGGGAAGCTGCATTCAATTACCCAGGCCGCGGGAGAGTTGAAAGCTGCAATAGGAGCCCCTGGGCCCCCCTTGCTGGCTTTCTTCTCACCCCACCCCCATCCCGAAAAGAAACAGATGTTCAGGGAGAGGGAGGCGGGGTCCCCAGTGGAGAGATCCTCCCGCCCCCCCACCACCACCACCACCTTGGCTAGGGCCAGTGGGGGAGGGGCGGCCAGCCTAGCAGCCAGAGGAGGGCGGGAAGAGGAGTCCCGGCAGGAGCCGCATTTAGTGGGAAGAGGGTCAGGCCCCACTCCTGGGTGAGGAGTTAGGGGACACAGGCTGAGCCCCTGTCTTCCCCTGTTAATACCTTTTACAGCATCACTATTAACGCGTCTCCCCTGTGACCCATGGGACTCTGCCCACTTCACGGACCAAGATGCTGACGCCGAGAGAGGCTCTTAAATTGCCCCCTCCAACATCAGCACCAGCCTCGGCCTCCATCCCCTTTCACCCCAAGACTGGTTCACTCACGGAGAGATCCCCATAGACTTTAGGTCCAAGGCCTGGGGGGAGGGGCTGGGCAGAAATTCTAGAACCCCTGGAGGTGCTGTCAGCAGCTATTGAAGCCAGTTTATGGGAGTGGCCAGAGAGACCTATCCTTTAGGGAAAACCATGGGAAGTCCTTAGCTCCCTGAGGGTAGGACCCTGCTCCTACCTCCTGGTCCTTAATGCGGCTGCTTCCGCCGGATGCCCAGCTCTCCGCAGATGGAGCCCGCCCACCCGCCGCAGGTCCCCTGTGTGCTGAGGCCGGCCGGCCAACAGCTGGGCAGCAGGCTGCAAAAGGGGCTGGCATTGTGCTGCATTACATAATGGGAGAACCGGCCCAGGGACTTTCCATTGTCTTGGGCGGCCAGCCCTGCCCTGCCCTGCCCTGCCCTGCCCGAGGAGGGGTGAGGTCCTGGGAGGTGGGTGTGCACTGGGGAGAGGAGCAGGAGAGCAGGGGCCAGGAAGTTCAGGGTCCCTGAGCCTGGGGTGAGCAGGCCAGGCCCAGCCGCCTCCTTCCCGCGTTCCTGGGATGCACAGGCAGGCCTGCGAGCTCCTGGGCCGCTGTGCTCAGAGGTGTTCAAGCAAACCAGCGCTTCACACTCTGCCAGGGGCCTTTCCGCTCTGCTCTCACCTCTCTCTGAGCCCGTTGTTGGCCTTTTGGCCAAGGTCACCTCGCACCAGCTCTCCCCCCAGGCTCCTGCACCTGGAGCTCCCAGGGCTCTTGCAAGTAATGCCGGCCCCCTACATGAGTCGGGCAGGAAGCCTGGGGAGGGTCGCGCAGAAGTTTGCTTTCCACTCAGAGCACAGAGTCTTCCAGAAAGTTCCCATCTGGTGTCTTTAACTCCCTCTCTAAACAGAGCTGGGAGCCTGGCTGGGGGAGGGGCTTGTGCTATTTTTAGATGCAGGCTTCTACTTCCAGGGCGAACAGAGATTCTGGCTGATCGCCCCGTGGGCGGAGGAAGAGTGTACCCAGGACCCTGAAGTACCATGGGAATGTCTTTTTTTGGGGGGAGGGGGCAGGGAAGGGGAGTGGAGGAAAAGATCTCCCATCCCCGGAAAGGTTACAACCACAGGACCTGGGCCAGTCTAAAACCAGTTTCCCACTGGAGTGCAGGAACCCCTTGGGCCGTCCTCCACTGCTTTCCCAGACGCATTAGCAGGGAGCTGGATCAGAAGCGGAGCAGCTGGGACGCAAACCAAGGCTAATCCAGGATGCTGGAGTCTGGGGTAGTGGCTTTACCTGCTACGCCACAGAATCATCCCCTCCAAATGTTCTTTTTTTTTTTTTTAATTACATTTTTACTGGAAAGACAAATTTGCAGAGAGAGCTGAGCCAATCCAGAGCTGAGTTTTTTCTGGGTCTCCCACACAGGTGCAGGGTCCCAAGGCTTTGGGCCGTCCTCAACCACTCTCCCAGGCCACAGGCAGGGAGCTGGATGGGAAGTGGAGCTGCCTGGACACAAGCCGGTGCCCATATGGGATCCCAGCACTCGGAGGGGCGGAGGATTAGCCAGCAGAACCATTGCATTGGCTTTAGCCCCCAGAAAGTCTTAATATTGATTTTAGATGTTTGAAAGGCAGAGTGACTGGGAGAGACCCAGCAAGAGAGCTCTTCCATCGGCTGCTTCGTGCCCCAAGTGCCCACACAGCCTAGGTGGGGCTGTACTGAAGCCAGGAACTCCAGATGGCAAGGGCCTGAGCCCTGGGGCCAGCTTCTGCCACATCAACTATGCTAGCCCTCCCCCACCTTCCATTACCTGTAGTCACCACACCGGTAAAAGGATTAGATGGAAAACGCCCAAAATAAATGGAGAGCCCACACTCCTGTAACCGCCAACATAGTACCTCAGAATACTCAGGGCCACTTTGTCTTTCTTTGTTATCACTTTCCCTTCCTCAGCCTGGTCTAGATGTTACACTTTATGCTAAGGGAGTAACTAACACCAGATGCTTCGGGTGGGCTTGGAGACTTGAGCAGGCTCACACACCCCCTGGAGGTCTGGGGGGAGTCCCCCATGGGCAAGGGGCCTGCCGTGTCTACAAGGTCTTTTCCAAAGCTACGGTAGACCCTCCACCCCCAGGATTCCCTCTGCAAGGAAGTGGACAGGACCTGGTTAGAAGGTAACTCCCACCACATTGGGGCTCCAGTCCCAAGCATTCAGCTAACCTGCCCCACCCCCGGATCTCTCCCCCAGGGAAGCGACAGCGAGTACGAGGTCGACCAGAACCCCCAGAAAGCCCACTCCTTCGTCAACCACTACATCAGTGACCCCACCTATTATAATTCATGGCGGCGCCAGCGGAAGGACATTTCGCGGGCCCAGGCTTACAGCTACACCGAGAGCGACTCCGGCGAGCCCGACCACACCGCCGTCGCCAACAGCAACAGCGCTGGCCAACAGGGCAGCCTCTTCCGGCCCAAGGCCAGCCGGACTCCAACGCCCCAGAACGCCCCGAACCCCCCGAGTCAGCAGAGCACCCTCTACCGCCCCCCGAGCAGCCTGGCCCCCGGCTCCCGGGCCCCCATCGCGGGGTTTTCATCGTTCGTTTGATGTCGGCAGAGGAACGAAGGAGGAGCAACGCTGGGACCCACTGCTTCCTGCACCACCTGCCGGAAAGCAAAATCAACCAAGAACCCAAGTCGACTTTTCACCTCCCAAATTTATTTTTCCAGGGATCCCAGGGCCAGCCAAGCTGGGAGTCCAGGAGGAGGCCAAGACGCAGGTGCTGAAGGGATGTGTGTGGGGCTAATTTCCCAGCCTGGAGCTTGCTGGGAAGCTTCTAGATGTCTAGAGGACTGTTCCCTTCCCACACATGTGGGATCCCTGGCCCAGAGGGTGCCCACCGGCCCCTTGCCCCGATGAAGCCCTTGCCCAGCCCCTGTCCAACCTCACCCACATCCACTGCCCACCCTCTTGCTCAACCTCTCCACCACCAGGCATTTGGTTCATTTGGAAAGAAAACAGAAGGGGGGGGGACTATAGGATGAGAATTTACTTGGCAACTTCCTTGTTCCTGCATATTTTTTTGATTAGGAATGCAAGGAAGAGGCCCCCAGCCTGGGAGCCCTGCCACCTCCCTGTGTTGGAAGCCGCTTTCTTGAGCACAGACAAGGAGAGGCCCCGTCCTGGGAGCAGAGGCGCTGGGTGGGTGCTCAGCGCTGAGGCTTAGCAGGAAATCGAGTGTGAAAGAACAAAGCTTTATTCTCTTCCAATCCAGGTAGCACCTGCTTGCTCCTAGCACACGCACACCTCCTGTATACTTGCAAGAAAGGGGTCTATGGCTCCTGTCCTAGAGAGAACCTGGCCGCACCCCCTGCCCATCCCAGCCCCTGCCTCTCGCAGCCCAGAGGGGCAGCCAGGCCCTCTGTCTAGAGCCCAGGGCACCTGCTTCGCAGGATCCAAGAGTAATGTGACTCCTGTAGTGTTTTCCGAGCCAGGTTCCGCCTATGGGAAGTTGCCGTCCGAATCCACACACAGCCTCGGGGACTCACGGCCAGGCTGGCCAGGAGAGGGGCAGGTGGTATGAGATGGAGAGGCAGGGTGCTGATGGTGGGAGAACCAGCCACAAAGACTGATCTGGAGAAAGCTGCTTTGGGTGACCTTGGCCTTGCCATTATCTTGGGATTACCAGAGCAGAGGTTTTGGAAGGGGCCTTTGTAACCGCTGGGGACCCCAGCCAGCCCTGAGAAACCTCCCTGAGACCACACCCGACTCTGGGGTGGCCGGGTACCTCCCTCCAGTGCAGACAGCCGGGGATGGGGGTGCTCTTTGTGGGGCCCTTAGTGGTCCTACCAGCAGGAAGGCGACACCCTACTTTGGGGGTGAGAAGAGTCAGGGAATTTGAGACTGTACCCCACTCTGCACCTGCTGCAGTCGTTAACTCTGGTTATGGGGATGGGGGGCGGGGGGACCAGGGTTCCTTGCCATGCTGTTAACTCCTGGGAAATGTCAAGGGGGAAGATGGAAGGTGGCTCAACAGGCAGACTGCCCCAGCACCCCTAGGAATGGTGGGGACCCTACTAAGGGAGTGTTGGGAGGAAGCACCACTGTCCCTCTCCTTGAGAGAACACTGGGCTGAGGTCGAGCCCCCAGGAAGCAGGATGCTGGGCCCTCTGCAGACTCCCTGCCCAGCGGCACATCTGGCTGCCTCAGGGCCTGCCCACTGTGCTATCCCCTCCCTTCTCACCTTCTTGGTTTTGTTTGTTTTTTGGTTTTTTTTCTGGTAACAGCTTCATTCTTTCCTCTCTGCTATTTGACCATTTAAGGAAGTTCCCAGTTTGCATGGGGGATTACTGAAGTCCAGCCCATTGGGGTTTTTTGCAGAAGGAAGCAGGGCTGAGCACAGACCCGGCCTAGGAGTCATCTGTACTACACAAGGGACCCATGTTCTGTGAATGAGTCACGGGGTGCACTGAGCTCGCCCCCGCGCTGCCCCACCCTCCCTGCTCATTCACACTCGAGCTGACCCACACACACATTGTGTGCACACGGGCATGCACACGTATGTACAGGTGCACACTCGTGTGTGTGTATGTGTGTGTAGCAACAGGCTCTTGCAGCCCCTCTGGGCCTACGCTGCTTGCTTGTAAGGCACAGGTGACCTGGCTGACTTGCACCTGGGGTACAGCTGGCATCTGCTGTATAAGGCAAGGAGGACACTATGCCAATCCCTAGATGAGCCCAGGAGGCCAGACTGGGCCCCCCCCTGCCCTGCATCAATACCTGCCCATCTGGATCACTGTCCTGGCCACACCTGGAAGCCCCAGCACCCAGTTGTGGGACCTGTGTTCTTTAAGAAGACCTCTCCCTGTCCTTGTTTACATATCCTGGGGCAGTGGAGGTGCCCAGCCCTCCTGCCAGACTCCTGGCCACACTTGAAGGACATGACAGGCACTGCCCATGGGAGACAGGGAGCCCCTGCACCTGCTAGGGCTCCTGCTCCGGTGACCACACAGGGAGAAGGGTCACACGGGGACATACCTGGCCCATTGGGCGTAGCCTGGCTCTGCCCTAGGGACAGCTCCTGGCATCATGCTCAGGAAGCCACATTTGGCACTCCGGGGCTGGCCTTTCACCGCCTGCCTGCTTATGCCCCCTGCGTTCCCAGGCGCTCCACACCCAGACGACCGAGACGAACCAAAAACACGCTGTGGCTTCCAGAAATATCTTCCTCCCAGGGCTCCGTGGGGTTAGCCAGCTTGAACCGCTCCCCCTTCCGCCCTCCCTCTCCCAGGCCTAAACCAGACACTGCCGTGACTCAGAGGGGCACAGCGGGACCGCCTGCCTGGCGCATGCTCCTTGAGGCATTCCGCCACTGCCCGCGCCTCCCTGGGTGGTGCTTCTAAGGGTGCCAGGGCCTCGCATAGGCCGGGGCACCTCCTGCCTCCCTGATGTACACATCTAAGGAGGGAGGAGGGGAGGCCTTCGGAGCAGCTCTGCCAGCTTCTGAGTGCTTCTGTGCTGTTCTACCCGGGTGCACCCCCCCGGGCATGCTCCCAGGCAATCCCGGGCACAGGCTGGGGACCCCATGCCCGTTTCCGTGAGAAAAACCAAAAGTATTGCAGTGAATCACCTTTTTGTCACCCACAGAGACTCCAAAAAGAAAAGAATCTCGACACAAATGTTTATTTTTTTGATTTAAAAGATATATAATAAAAAAATTATGGAGAGAGAATTCGTTATGGCAGGTGTCTGATCTGTGAGAAAATATAAATATATATATATCTATATGTCCTATAGCTTGTTAGCAGGTTTATTTTTTAAATGAAAGGTGAGAAATTGATTTGAAATATATACAACGAGAAGTCCCGTGTCCTGTTGAACTGTCAGTATTTTATAAATAAACTTTTTTTTTTTGAAGTTGTGAAGCAGGAGTGATTGTTTCTGCAAAGGCAGACGGACAGCCCTGTCCCCGTGGCACACCCAGCCCATCCGTTCCCTAAACACCTGTTTCTCGCCACATCACACTTTTGACAGGGAAAGCTGAAGGGCTGACCTACCGGCCCTTATTCACAGATGGGTGGACACCCGTGCCTCCAGGTAAGCTCTGTGGTCTTATTTATTGTAAACTTTGCCCTGATCAGAGTCTGCATGGAGCAAGCGGTAGTGATGGACCACAGTGATAACAATGGAGCAGCAGCCGCTGACACACATTCCCAGCCCTGTGAGTGACACCTGCCTTCCTTGCCACAGCCCCAGGGGCACACAGCACCTGGCTACGCAGTGAGAGTATAAGACTGGCCCTGGGGTAGGGTGGGCGACTGCGATTTCCTCCAAAGCAATCTGGTTCCAGACACCCAGGCAAGCCCCTGGCCCCTTTGAGCTTTAATTTGTGCCAGCTGGTAGCCCCAGTGAGTTCCAAAGCCAAGAAAGGCCGTGTTGTCAGGCGCACCTAACCCTGGCCATTCATCTAGGATAAAGCTCAAGCTTACGCTAGTGAGATGTTGTGCGCTACCACGGGTATCTTGCATGCATTACTCAAGGAAGAGGAGGAAAGGAAAAAACCAGTTTAATAGTGTCTGTGGTGCCACTCATGAGTCCATCTGTGTAGCCCGGCAGATGCCATCCACACCGACTGCTCAGCCAATACAAACAAAGCAGAGGTATTTACACATCTGTGAAATGCCCCGTTTTCACCTCCCTTGACATGGGGGCCCTGGCACTACTCATTTCTTCTTCTTCTTTTTAAGATTGGTTCCAAGAATTACCATCTGCTTTGCATAAATCACGCTTGTAATGCATCGCCAGATCATCCCAGATCCTCTAAAATAAAACAAGCATATATCGGAATTTCAGATTCCAGAAAACCAAATCCTGAATTCTCTTTTTGCCCTTGTATTTCTCAGCTCTTGCCCCCTGACTATTCCACAGTCTTTAATTTTTTCTTTTTTTTTTGCAGCTTTCCTTTACCCAAGCATTCCTCTTCCAAAGAATTCACCATAATTTTGAGAGAAATAGCGATTCTGCTCCCCCGCACTTATCCGCTTACATCATAGTTTACAAAATCATGCAATTACTAGAAAAAGTCCAGCTGGCATAAACAAGTTTGGGATAACTTGGTAAACACGCAGTGTGGTTCCCTAGGAGCAGAGGGGCACAGGCTGGGGAGAAAGCAGCCTCCTACCACCGGCTTTTAGGGTACCCTGAGCACCAGAGGAGGAACCTGGGGCATCCATCACCATGACCGGTCGGTTCACTGGAGGTCAGTTCAGGGAAATTCTGTCCACATTACAGTACAAACCATATGTACTGTACTTGGTCAACAATTGTCAAGTTGATTAAGGGGTTTTCAAGAGTCATTTTGACAACATACAATTTTTATCTTACACATAATTTGGAATCCCACGCCTTCATTAGAAGTCACTCCGGGTCTGATGCCCTGGGAGATGTTTACTTCAAAGTAAATAACTAGGAAGCCATTGTGGGCCTGGCCTCTGATTTTAGAATGGTCCCTTGTCAAAGGGAGACAACAGGGTGCCCTGTGGTGTTCCCAGGGGAAGCAATTGATCTGGATCTACCGCCGGGGCTGAGGCAAACATCAACGACAAGCACAGAATTTGCCAGAAAGGCTTTTGGACCCTCCAAGAGGGCAGCGCACACAAAGCACTTTTGTTCTAGACCAGGAGAAGCTTCCTGAATTGCAGCCTTCTTCCAAATTCATGCTGGAATCCCAGGCCCAGCCCCTCCCCAGTCGAAGCCCCCGTTTGCATGGACCTTAGCCACCTACAGCCTTTTTTGCCACAG